GCTCTAAAATACGAAGTTATAATTATTTTACTTATAACGACTGTAGCATGCAAGTGTAATATCATTTTGGAGTTTAAAGTTTTTAGCCCTCTCACAAAGTTTAAAGTAAATGTTTATCTTGATAGGGCCAAAAATTATAGTCATTACTAGGTTCACGGGACAATCAACAGGCAACCTTAAATAAAAAGTTAGCAGTGGTCTTTTTAAAAGAAAAAATTTTTGGATGTCCACGCATAATAAAAAAAGGAGCAAAGTAACAAGAAACATGTAAAGAAACAGGTGGACACTTAAGTAATATAAGAGCAAAACTTATTAAGCCAGCTAACATGGGTATAAGTTGTAATAAATAGGTAAAGTTTAATTATCTGGTTGCTTTAAAATAGTTATAATTTAATATTTTTACGAAGTCTAATATAATGAGTGGCACTAGATGGGTGAGGGGCGAAAGCTGAATCCAATTTCTTACGTCAATATAAGTGTAAAGTAGAGAGTATATCATGTCAGCTGCTTGACACCTATCTAAGTTTTTTGGTGCACATATATAAAATATAACATTGTCCGGTGGCAAATTTAAAAAACTTAGCTTTTTATTATGGTAAAAAGTATGATGAGTTAATGTAAACCCCTCTCAACCTGGTAAACGCGTGGGCATAGAAGGGCCAAGGACTTAAGTGTACTGTATTATTACGCAGTCAGGCGGAGGAGGGAGGTGCTTTCTCGCTTCATATAACATCGCTCTCTCAAGTAGCGGGTAGTTATTATCATGTGAGAGTTTCCGCAAACCTAGCTTAGTGTTATGGGACTAATTATTATAACAATTAACAAGAGAACTTTCAAAAGTTGAATGGTTCAAATAAAACACCTGTAAGGTGGTTTTCTTATTTATTTACTTATCTCATTGACGGTTTATAGCCAAAACTAGGAGGAGGATAACTAGGTGCCCTGAAGCCAAAATTGGAATGATAAACTTTTTATAAATAAAAATAGTTTATTTCTTTAAGAAAAAACTTTGAACGTGCAAAAATACATAATGGAGTCTCACAATTCTTCTTGCTTACTAAACATACCGGTTAATATTTTTTCTAAATTTAACGTTTATACTGAAACCCCAAAGTAAGTTTATAAACATTAGGGAATTTCAACCATATAGCTTGCATTTTTCTAACAAATAAATAGTTATTTTCTTTTAAATAGCTAAAAGTTAAGAGGTAAATAAACCTGAAATTAAAAATTATAATAACTAATTTATAATTTGTGCTTCTATAATAACAAAAAATTCGGTTAATAAAAGTTAAACAATTACTGTGTTGTGCGCAAATAATGCGAGTTCAACTCTCGTATTTCTTTTAAGTCATCACACAGTTTTAGTAAGGAAAGTATAGGGAATAAACATTGAGCTGTTTTATACACCCAAGCAAATGGTAATCTGTGGAAGCTAAGAGGTACCACAAATTACTCCTATTTTCTATTGTGGATAAGGGAGGGAGGGCTCAACTTTATAAAGGGCTTACTAAATTGTAAGTTATTTGAAACTTCTGACAATATTCCGGAGTTTGTACTGGTTACTAATAGTTATATTTAAAAAGAGTATCCTATTTTTTATTTTATAAGTAGATTTTTTTAAAATAAAAGCATCTTTATCTTTATAAAATATTATATTGCCTTCGGGTTTTTTGTATCTCCTTTGGCTAGCTAACCCTACCACGTATGGGGCCAAGATAACTTAATCAGATGACTCTTTTAGAGTAGCTGTGGCCCTTTAATTTTTATGAGTTTATCGTTAAAAACATTGCCTGTAACTTTTTAATTAGGTAACTACACTCTTACGGCGCTTTATTACTGACCTATTTATGTCATAATTCTTCTAAATTATTAGTAAATATACACTTCTTTGTATAATTAAGCAGGTTAAAAGACACTATATAACTTTGCTAAAAATGTTAGGTATATAAGCTCTTTAGTTATTTTTATAAGTAACTTATTCACTTGATTGGGCTATCTACCACGGCAATTGCTAAGTAAATTACATAGTGAGTTAAGTTTCAACTGTTCTTTAAGATCCTGCTTAGCAGCTGTGTTGGGTACGAAGAGAATTAACTGTCTTGTAACTTTTAGATCATATATTTATCATAGGAATGCCTTTGCGCCCCCAGACCTACGATCGTGCAAGTGCTTGTAAGCTAGAAGCTTCCTAGGAAAATCCAGCAACCACTGTGGAGGTAGTTATATATGATTTATACGGTAGTTTGGCTTCGGCTTTATCATTGTGTACATAACCATCCAAGGACGGAAGATTTACAAAATGTTGTACTTTGCGCCTTCAGGGCTTATGACTCTCCAAGATTCGAGAAGACACTAGTTTCAAAACGATTCAGCCACCTTGTAATCGTCCTTGATACTAAAACCTCTGAGGTTGTTTATAAGTAGTGTGCTCTGTCACTTGGAACTTAGGGTTTACCTATACATAGGGAAGTTTAAGGGGTAAAAGCTAACGCACAGTTCGAATGAAAATACTCTTACTACTAATATAGCCTTTGCTAGGCGCTTCCAAAGTAAGTACTCAATTTTTTTCTTATATAGCCAAGAGAGATGGAAAAAGGTCTCAATATATGTTGGTGCTAGTTTGCACCATTTTTTCTAGCATTACTGGTAATAATATTATAAGATATGCGTAACCATCAATGAAAGCTAGGAATGGCATCGTTTTACCTTATTCTCTCTCTCTTTTCTTAGTCCAGGTCGTTATCAGTTTGTACTGACTAGCCTTTCCTGTAAGTTGTAGTATAATGATATTGTTTAATAATTAAGGTTTATTATTATGACCTTATCAGTCTCTGAATTTTTAGAGAGCATCTTTCTCATGACTGTGAACGATCGTACGTGTCCGAAAGAGATTGACAAAGTAACAACTTGGACCTTACCACGCTACGAGTTAAGCACTTACAACCTCTTTTATTAAAACACTAGAATTCAGTACCCGGAAGATAAAAATCATTATATAAACTCCAGATAATTTTTCTTATTTCTGCCCAACGTCAGTCCTTTGAAATATCGATGGCTACTATCTCAGCAGGTCGACCAACCCCATACACAACTTACGCCGAGAAACCTCAAAAGGCTCGCGCTTTAAACAGTCGAAGTTTTAGAGTTATAAAACTATTACTAAATCCTACTATATAGTGTATGTGACATTATTGATGAGCTAAGCATAAAAAATAGTATCATTTTTATTATTACGTGTTACTTAATTCTCTTTTCAGAAAGGCACCTTAAAAACTCTACCCAAGGCTTTTAAAAGTATTTACTCACTAGCAGATGCAGTACTTGCGTTTATTATCTACTCAAACCGTGATAAAAGCGAAAATGCAGGACATAGCTGGAAAGTAAGCAACAGCGCAAAGGGAACGATTTAGGTAGGCCTTCTTTTCTTCAATGTTACTTAAACTACTTAACTGGTATTAACTTGCCTTAGTTGACTTCATCCGCATTACGTGAGGATCCAGGAAATTTAAGAATTAAATTTCTTCTAGCTTTGACCATGTTACAAGTTATTTAGTATTGCTACCTTCAAGGTGGCACAACCCACTAGGATTCTACCCCAAATAGGTTTAAACTAGTTATAATCGGTTTAAAGAGTTCTCTTGGTTATCTCATTTTTATGTATTAGTATACAAAGGGCTATAATAATTCTACACCCCTAGACCAAAAATCTACACGATATGACTGAAACAAATCTAATAAACGGAACAATTATCAACCAAATCGAATTATTATCTTCTCAAATGAACGCAAGAATTCTCCATATCAATAAAACATCAGTTATAAACTCAAGTACAGTACCCATTAACCCCAGAGATGTTAGCATTATAACCTCACTATGGTAAAGACAAGAATAAAACTGAATTTAGAATAATTTATCAAATTTCAGTATTAAGCAATTCTGTCTGTGTAAAAGTTAGTCCTTTGTCTAGGATGTACAAGGATGTAAAATTATTGTTATTTATAAAAAATAAATTACCTGATGTAAAAAATTAGTCATTAAGCATGGGAAAGACTAAAAAGTATTTTTTTAAATACTAAAAGACTAGAATATTTCTAAGCACAGAGAATAATTTTGTACTCTAAATGACTCTAATTATTAAATAGAAGAGAGAATATACACTTTATAAATCGAATAATTCTCTTAATAAACATAAACTAGCTTTATTATATGAGTATAACAATTTTACACTGGCATAGTTCATTCTAACCGACAAGGTGAAGAAACAATTTGCAATAATTTTTTTTTTTTACATCCTTGTAAATCTTTATAGCTAAAAAAGCATTTTTTTCCGTATAATATTTACTTTGGGTTAAAACTTTTTAATTTTAAAATAATTTTTTTTTTTTGAATATAAAAGTACTTTTAGTGTTTTAAGTCTAAACATGGTTTTGTTCAGTAAAATTGATATCTTTTTATTCTTGAATACTTGCAACAGAAGGCTTGCGAAAGGAATTAATCAAGATATTTTTTTAAGGTAGAGTAGATATTTCGCACCCGAAAAATCCATCTCTCGTGGATATCCTTAGCAGTGTGCAACTACTTTGCAACTGCCACACCACCGCAGCAAACCTTCTCAAGACTAAAGCACGCAACTTGTGTACAGAAGCTTCACGCACTCACTGTCACGGCAAATCTTCGTTATAAAAGTGAACCCACGGAATTCTCTTTTAAGAATTATAAAAGTGTACTTTGTCATTAGTTTGATATTCGATATAAAAAAAGTTGTTGATATTTAGCAAGTTACAACTCTTTTTTTAAAATATAATTTTTGTAGTTAATATTGAAATAAAATAACTCTTTTTACTGATGCTTAGCTAGATTTGTTAAAGACATATTTTGAACGCTTAATTTCTCCTTTTTATATAAAAGTATTATTATTTTTTTTATTTTACACCTTAAATTCTAGTTAGGTGGCTTTTTATTTTTACTTACCAATTTTATGTCTCTAAAGATGGAGGCTCAACGCATCGGTAATCCACCATTTTGTTCAGAGTGTGGTAGTCTGTTGCCTTTGCCCGATGGCCAAGATTTTATAAAATGCGGGCTGTGTTTTAATTCCGTAAAAGCTTCAGGTTTTAACATATTCCCATTTATGACAGTTTCTTGCATTATATCATGAAAGTATACGAACAAAGTAAAAATAAAACGCGGAGTAGAGAAGACGCATTTTCTTCTCGTTCACTTCTATTGTCACAAGTTCAATATACAGAAAAAGCTGCGAAGGTAGTGGATTTTTTCTTAGTGTTGATCTAAAGGCTTAAATTTTTAGAAACAGATTGAGGAGAAGTGTCCCAAGTGTGGACATCCTGAAATGTCCTTTCACACAATGCAACTGCGTTCAGCTGATGAAGGACAAACTGTTTTCTTTTCGTGTCTCAAATGCGGGTTTATTAAACTTTTCAAAATTTTTAAATTTTATTATTTAACTTTAAACTTTACGTAGATATAACTATTCAGTGAACTCATGAATGTTAAGTAAATATTTTACTGAATCCAATTTTTTAGATGGAAATTTTTGTTTTTCAAATATAACTTTTATAAAGAAAAAGTTATTTTAAAATAGCACATTTTAAAAAAAAAAGTTAAATTCATTAAATTAAAAAAATCCCTGTAACAAATATATATGGTGAATATATATTAGTATTGCTTTTAATAATTAAATAAACTTGATTCTAAAGAAAAGATAAAACAGTTCCTCCGTGAAACTAAGATTTGGGTAAGTTATTCATAACTAGTACAAAGTGCTTGGAAGCTAATTTTACGCTGGCATCCGTTATTCATTAATAATTGTGTACTACGTTCAGGTTTGCGTAAAAAGGTAGAAAATATTTATGCGTTGGTGAACACTTAGTATCCTTTAAGAGGAAAACTTTAACCACACAGTTAATCTGCGTAGACAACTTTTTTCACGACAAAAAATTGACGTGTAAGTGAATAGTTAAGAACTATTATCAAAGTCCTAAAAATTTTTTTTGAGGCAAGTTTCAGTAGTAATAATCATAAAATACCATTATAGTTCGACAATAGTAGAAAACTGTAATAAATCATTCACTTAAAGAGCGCCAAAAGCGATGCTAGTATGGGGAACACTTTTTTAAATTTTAGCAACCAAAACAAGGCGGGAGGGGAGGATTTTTCTGTTCAAAGGAGCCATCTTGGGTTGAAAACCGCTTAATTTTATATTAGAGTAACAGTATCAATCGTTTATTGTTCTTTTTTCTAAAATATCGGTGTATCGTTTGACTTCGTACGGTTAGTTAAAATACGAAATTTCTTATTTGCTTATAGCAGTAACAGCGGAAGCAACTTATTACATAACTTTCAGTTATATGGCTGCCATTAGATTTGAACAAAAAAATTATTACCAAAAATTGACTTTTGAAAAAATTTCTTATCCCTCTCGTAATAACATAAAAATACGCGTTAATTAAAAGAAGCAAAAATTTATTCCTAAAACTTATTAGATTATAGTTAATATTAAAGATTTGTGTAGATGCTCGCTACTAAATTTACTAATAACTTAGTTTATTTTGAGCCTGTACTTGGTTTTCGTGTCTTAGTACTTTATTATATACATAGTATGTATATGCGGACAGCTTACAAATTCGTTGACAGAATGCGCCTATACAAGGTTCGTATGTAAGTTTCTGAGCCCATAGGCTATAAAAAAAAACAGTAGGTGCATTTCCGTAAAAGACTTCATTATCCAGTTTGTAGGAATAAAGTGCGCCCTGTCATTGGTCGCAGGAGCATTTTTTTTGCGTCTTCAGGAGTGCAATGGTTAATGGTTTTTCGTACGTTCAAGCAACAGCTGCGTGAACCAGGGCCATAATAGGGCGTACGCAACACTTTTTAGAAGCGCAGTTTTTTACGTAAGGGACATTGCGCTTCTGCGGTAGAGTGCGCGGTGCTGCTGAGAACCCCTTGGGATCGTAACGCCTTCGAGGTTAAAAAAATGGGGCAATGCAGTGCATCTTTGCATTAATGGTTATCCTTCATTGACAGCCTCAGTTGGCAAGTGTTTCCAAGTAGCTTGTAGGCGTTGTTGTAATAATGAGAGTCTCTTTGAGGAGCCGTAAACTGTGAAGGGTGTAGTACTAACTGCGTTGCTCGCCTACACTTTTAAGTAAAGGATTAAGTTTCACAAAACCTTCTAGTCCCTTACTACTCTATTAGTATTATTGTATTAAGGCCTCTGTTTAAGACGACAAACCGGGAATATTTTATACTTGTGCACGCACAAGTCGTGAGAGTATGACCTCACTACTACAAACTGGAGTTTACTCACGTGTTGCTGAACTTATTTTACAGTGTAACAATTATTTATATATTATAATATGTTTTAAAAATTGGATGTAAGTTTAGAAAACAGTCGTTGGTGGTGTTGTTCCTATTAAACATTCAAGTAAACATAAAAATAACGCTTATACCTCTGGCACAACCAACTATATAAAACAGAATCCCAACCAAATTATTTCTTATATAACAGCTATTAAAAGCTTAATAAGTACATGCGTATCAACTCTCAAAATCTAGATATGAATTGTTAAGATTGCATGAACAGGGAGCAAGTACTCTTTTCTAGCCACATCAAAAATTCTATATCCGACAATTTCTATAATATAACACCTAATAGTATGATATGTATTTTTTTAATAACAGTATATATACGTGTAAAAAGCCCCTGAGCAAATGAAATTCTTACCACCAACAATAAATTACAAAGTTTTATGGTTTTTTTCCTTTATACTATAAACTTTTGCAAGGTGCACTTGTTATCAAGATTTCTAAAATTTATTTGTTTCCTTTCTTAAGTAAAAGAATTTTCTTTCTGCTGATAAAAAAAGGAAAAGATCGACTGACCCTCCTTCAAAAGAGGTTACAAGTTTGTCGCCTGCAACGGTGGAAAAAAGGGAAAGTTAACAACAGTATATAAAAGCTTATTGCCATAAAGCTTATAGAAAACCTTTATAGCTTTAAATTTTTGATTATATTAATTTTGACGCTAAAGAAAATAACTTTTAACTTTAGCAGGTTTAACTAATCACAAAATTTTTATACATTGTAATTCTCTAAAAGTACTAGCTAATCTTTCAAAGACATTGTTATATCAACGAGGCTGCTTAGTTAATGGTCTCTACGTTCAAGGACTTGTATGCGACACTGGCAGTACCCTCAGGTTGTTTCCTCTGCAAATATATAGCACTTAAAATAATGGAAACAGGATGCTTAACTAATTAAGTCCAATGGGACCCTACTAACTAGAATTTAAATTTAATTTTTAAAAATGACATTACCTTTTTATCCACCAGTCAAAGGGTGTCAATTCTACACCGAAAAAAGCTACCTCTAAGTTTCACTCGGGGTTTCTCAACAGCAGTGAGAAAACTTAACTTAAAGTGTATTACCAAAAAGTACTTCCTCCCTAATTAAATGACAGAGACTCAACTACAAGGCTACGCATATGATGTATTATTTATAAGGCAATTCGTGCCTCTCCCCTTTCCTACTTTGTTTTTATTATATTATATATTGCCTCTAGTCAAATCTTTGAATCCCTAAATAAATAAACTGTTTAACACTGAGCCTCTGACCCTGCAGCCAAGATAAAACAAACAAGTCGTTTTATGGCTCCTCTTTCACAATAAAGAGGCCTTAGGTCTGATAAGTAAAATTTTAAAACATTCGCATGTAATTTAAATATAGTTTGGAAAAATCTTATAAATAATTCTACTAAAAACTTGAAAACAGTAAAAAGAGCCATCTTTGCTCTCAAGTTTAAATGCGCTATAAGCCATTCTGGTAGCTATTTAAAAGAACAAATTTTAAGAGTGTGCAATATACCACCTTTTCGCCTTTGCATATTATTAAATACCACTTATTTTTAACTACTACCTTGCCTTTTAAACTAAAGCTTCTAAAATTTCTTACTTTGTTAGTGTAAAACTAACTTTACACCGCCATACAATGATATTATCTTCTTAAGGTTAAAAATCTCAATTTTTTAGTTTTCATCATATATAAATTATTCAAAAAATTTTTGTAGCCAAATTACCCACTGCTATAGACAGCTAACTACTAGTTATTCAATATAGCGCTAACCTTATAGACAACCTACGTCTTTCTCGCGCCTCTGTTTAGAAGTCCACAATAGCTATTAATTCAAAGAAAAACAAATAAATAATCCCGCGCAAACGAGAAACCTCGTCGCAATTATAGTTTATTTAGTAACTCTGAAAAGCTCAAAATAGATTTTGCAGTGTCTAAAGTATAATATGCTTGTTAGTTTGATGACCCATGGTTTTAAAAATTGTAACAGATGATAAAACCTAAGTCCAACTTAACTAAAAAATGGCTTTTATATCCGTTAAAATAACGTGATGAACTGGAGAATGCTCCACCGCTGTCCTACCAAGCAAAACAAAGTTGTACAATGACTTTTGAAAGGCAAGTCTATATAACATGAAAAAAAGAATAAAATTAGACTTTAGGTTATTACAATATTATGTATAATGGGGATTGTAATTAATATATAGGGAGTTATAAATAATGGCATTTTTGGAAATTTCTTTTAAACTTTTTAACTAGGGGACACATCTACGATTCTATAAACCAATGAAAGCACCAGTAGAGTTCCATTACCTAATTATAACAAAAATTTGATAAAACTCTTTCAAGAGTAAAATTGAATTTTTATCTAGCGAAACCTTCTTAGGCGTAATTAAGCAAAGAAACCTAGGCGATAAGTAATGTGATTAATAAATTTAACCTTTTTTAGTTTTACTCTGTACTAACTTTACTTTCGTGCTCTGTATACCTTTCCTCTAGTTCAACTTCTTCAGCTACAGACCATATCTTTTTTTAAAAATTACATAATAATATCTTTGTCAAATGATATGCAGTCAATAATCTACATAATTTATATATAAGTATAATAATCCTGAAAATAAAACAAATGACTTAGTAATTTAGTAAAACAGCCACTCGAACAATTTTAATTAAATCAGTGCCCATCCTAATTTATTGTAAAAATTTTTTTTTAAAAATATAATCGAACTAGCTCTCGGTAAGAAGTAGTCGCACGTCTCATGCCCGAATCAAAGTCTATAATTTTTAATTATAGCTTTTAAAATAACTACCTAGCGAGAATGACTTTTTTTTATGACTCGTAAGTTCGCTTACAAGTGGCCAGCAAACCCTCAGCCCACCCCACTGGGTGTATATGACGAACTGAACTGTTAGAGTTAATTATATCCAAATAATAGGTGATCGTGAAATTTAACTCTTTATATAACCATTATAAAGAGTAGGTTACCTAATTTAATCAAGCATATTGGTGTGTTTTTTATACCATGAAAAATTAGTATCTTTTAATTTATCTATAATTATATATACAATTACGCATCTCTAAACAAAAAAAATACTACACCGCTCATTCCACTTCTGTTTTAGTTTTCTTGCGTAGTGTAAATTTGTGCGACGAACCACTATCGAATTATAAAATTTAAAAAAATTCAACTAGTTAAAGTTTTCCCCTTTTTTCGGCTCAAGCATTGGACTTGGGTAAGTGTCCCGGTCTTTTTTAGTTGTATACATAGCTAATGAACCCGTGGGAGATAAACAGTTTGTTCTGTTGTCTTTATTAAATAAAAAAAATGAATCGGAATTATTTAAATAGTTATCACAAAAATTATATATTTATGATTACTATTTATTTCCCGTTTTAATTTGTATTTTTTTCCGTCTTAAAATTTAGTTATTTTTTATTTATTTATAAACTTTTAAATAACTGTAGTGCTTATTTATCGTGTTAAGCTAAAGCTATTATTTAAAAATTGGTTACATTGGATCAGATTTTCAAATTTTTTAGTAACAGGTTTTTTAATGGAAAAAAAAGTTTTAATTACTTATAAATATTTTAATAGTTTATAGTATTAATTTTATAATTTAAATTTAAATTAATTCAAGTAATTGAGAAGTTACCTATGTTTATTTTATTAATTTAATGTTTTTAAATGTAAATTAAAAACTTTTTATTTTAAGTGCAGTTCTCTCTATTACTCTTGTTTTTTAATCCAATAATTTTTCATCTTAATTTATAATTTTTTATTTTTTCAATCCTACTTTTTTCTATTTATTATCTCTCTATATAAGAAACTTTATACATTGCTTTATTTTAAAAGCTTGGTTTTTAAGTTAATTATATTTTACTTTGAAATAGCCTTATCCCTAAGTTAAGTACTTTTGATTATGAAATCTTTCTTAGTTTTTATAAATTACTGTTAAGTTTAAAAACTTTTCAATATTGCGTATAGAATTTTTTTAAGCAGCTTTTGGGTTCCGAATTTTGATTGTATACAGTTATGTTTATCTTTATAAATTAGGGTTAGATTTATTTTATATGTTAATATACCGTAAAGCTGTTTACTAAGTTATTTGTGTTTTGCTATAATCTTTAAAGAACGTATACTATCAAATAGTTTTATTTCTAATTCTTTTGATATATTTCTCGTTTGAAGAAACTGTAAATTATGAATAAAAACTGCATTCAAAAAATTACTTTTGGATTCTTAACTCTGTAGACAGTATAGTTAATTGACTTGTTATATTTATTTTTTGTTAGTATTTTTGTTATTTTATTTTATCTTATAAATAGATATTTTGATACTTTATTTACGTTATTGGTAAATACTTTATATTTATATTGTTGAATACCACAGCTTTTGATCTAATTAAGTTGTTATTTGAAATTTACTTTTTAATTTTTTTTTTTAAAACTATTCCCGTTTGCATTTAAATTCTCTGCTAGACTTACGACCATAATAAGTTTTTCTCTTGTTATAAGTCTTATAGTTAGCACATTATATTTTGTTTTAAATTTCTTTTAACGTATACTTGTGCAAAAAATCTATTGCTTTTTATAATTTTTGTCTACTTTTATTATGCTTAAAAGTTCATTTATCACAAAGAGTTTGAGTTAAATATTTTTTTTCTTGTGGAAAGGCGAGAATATTGCTTTCACCATTCCTTGAAATCCCGTTTTTCTCTCTTTATGATGATCTGGATGACCCTTATAAGGATTCATACTGCTCCTCCTATCAAATTCCGTATAAACTTTTTTATCGTGGGGAAACTCTGTAGATCTTGTTCGAGGCAAAGGTTTCCTGGGAGGAGTGTTTTTTTTGATAGACTCTTTTTTGATTTGGCGTGTTGCAGTTTCTTTTTCTGTGGCATATAAAAATTTGAAAATAACTATAATTTCTAAATTTAATTTTTTGATATAAATAGAGCTGGTCTAAGTTTATATATAGTTTTTTTTTAATTTATATTACATTTAAAGTTTATGTTTAATTAAGCTGATGTTGGAGAGTGTGGCTTGCAAATTTTTATTATTATTATTTAAGATTGTGAAAGCAATAATACTTAACCAAATGTTTGTTTTGAATAGAAATATTACCGCTTGGCTTGATTGGCTACCTTTATTTAATTTGTTTAATTATTTAATTTTAATAAATTACATCAATGGATTAAATATAAAATACTATTGATGTTTTATATTTAATTTACAAATTTTAATTTTAAACACTGCAAATTATATTAGCGAACTTCATTTATTAACATTTAAAGTTAATATTTAATTTTTTTAAGAAAATTTTATTTTTCGATATATTTTTGGGTTTTTAAGCTTCAGTATTTTTTTTTTTTATGAAACTTTAAAGGAAAAAAGTTTTTATCTTTAAAGAGAATGTGCTTTATGTTTACATACTTTAGATTAATTATATATTAAAGCATAAATATTATTTATAGATTATTTAATTTCAAAAACTGTTCTAAAAAAGGTAAATATTTAAATAATGTATTTCACCATGTAAATCTAATATTAAAAAAGAATTCCTTATTTTTCAAATTTTAGAATAGCAATTTTTTACTCCCTTTTATAATTATTGTAGCAGTATAAAGTCCTTTATAGTTTTATTTAGTTTGCTTTCATTATTGTGTTGTATTTTTATACTTTTTTTCTTTTCTATATGTATAATTTCGACTTAAAAATAACTTCCATACTTTTTTAGATCTTTTCTCGTTTTGTTTATTATTGCTAAAGGAGGAAATTTACGTTGTTTAATATGGATATATTTACTTTTAAAATCGAAAACTTTAGAATATATTTTTTTTCACTTGGCGCTTTTCATATAAGATTATAAAAACCAACATTCATAATTTTTTTACTTCCTTTTTGGCGCTCACTTGGCGCGCGTAAACTATAAGTCCGCCGAATTTTGTAGCTCCTAATATAACTTGAGACGTACTTAAAATTATTTGCTTTATCAATATTAACTTTAAAAACTCCAGGAAACTTTGTTTTTTTACAATAAAATAATTTTTTTAAGTAATAAATTTACCAAAGAGACATCAGTAATTGTTATAAAAACGATTTATATTTTTGTGAATGTGTGTACTTTTGTGATGTAAAAACATTTTTTTGTAGCGCTTATAACGCTTATTTCTATTAAAGCATCAGTTATAGGCTTTAAGTTTCTTGTGATTTGCTTAACGTTTTTTTATGGGGATCTTTGCTGTGTATGTTACTTCTTTTGGTTACTAAAAACTTGTTTAATTTTTTAAAAGTAAACGATTTTAATTTTTATTATCTATTTTAATTAAAGTTATCATGATTAAGATATTTTTATTTTTTAGTTAATTTAGAGTTATTATAAAATCTTCCGAAAAAAAAATTTAAGGAAAACGCTCTTGAGTCCTCATAGCTTTTGGTTCAATAGTAAAATACTTGTTTATATATATCCTGTTTTCATGGCATTAACATTATATATACCAATGTAATAACTTTAAGTAATTGAAGCCCACATCTTTTTTTGCAAAGTTGTTTATATAATATGAATTTAATTTTTTTTTAAAAATATTATTTACTTTTAGAGTTAATTATCTTTTAAGACTTTTTTAAGTTTTATAAATAGATAATAATAGTATAGTTAATATATATTAATTTCTTGTTTGAAAATTATAATAGATCAACTAAATTTGCTAATATTTTTTTATATAGTAAAATTTAACGAACAATAATTAAATATTATTACGTTTTTTTTAAATAATTTATTTAATGTAATATTAATTTAGTAATTAAAATTTACAGGCATTGCAGAATTTTCTTTTTTGCTTAATTATTAAATTAAACCTTTATATATATATATATATGTTAATTTTGCATGGTGTAAGCTGATATATTAAAATCGTTGCGAATAAAAGTATTTAAAAAAAAAGTAACAAAAGTTTTTTTCATTTTTGTTAGTACTTTTATTATAATAATTATTTAACTTAATATTACTTTTGAATAAAATAATATTAATAAGATTATATTTAAAATTATATAATTAAATAAAAAATAAAATTTATTAAAATAGAAATATAAATTATTATAAAAATTTAAACATTCGAAAATTAAAAACTCGAAATCGTTGAAGAATAAAATTTTTGTGAAATATATATTGAAGGTAGTATGAATTTTTGAATAACAAGGGATTTAAGTAATGTAATAAGTAAAATTTGATTATATACGAAAAGTTTATTATAGACATCAAAACTAAAAAATATATACATTAATATGATAAAAAGTCTATTTTCTATTATTATCTGATATTAATAATTTATAAAAATATAAGAATTCATTATTATCAATTCTTATATTAAATGTTAAATTTCCAATATTTAAGTTTTGCTTAAGCGAATGATAAATAAATAATATGCAAAAATAATTAGAAATATTAAACAGTTAATTTTTAAAAACTTTTAGTATAATTTATTAAAAGTTAATATATATAATATATTCTTAAGAATAAAATTTTTAATAGAAAGTTAATAATATTAAATTATAATATTATACTCAATAACAATAGTTGAAATATATACATCGCTTATATAAAAGATATGAAAAATTTTATTATATTAAAGCTTTTTAATAAAAATATATATATGTACTTAATAACTTTTATGTATAATCTTATAATAAGTTTTAAAAATAACTGAAGGAAAGGTTTATATTATTATATAAGTATAAATAAATTAAAAGTTAAACCGTTGAGTTTTTCAGCTTCTTTTCTGTTTCGAGCCTCAACAAGTAAGCAATAAACATTTTTTATTTTGCTTGGAGAAGCGGCCTTTAAAAAAAGTTGTTTTAAAAACTTTATATACTTTTATTATAAAAATAAAAAAAAAGAAATAATATTATAGTAAAGTTTATTATTATAGCAAAAAATAAGTAGAAGACATGCGTTAATTCTACTAGCGTAAGTTTTGTTATAATAAGTTCTCTTTACTGTAAAAAAAAAGTTAATTTAAAAAAAAAGTACTCTTAAAACTTTTATTATATATAAAATTTAAAAACATTTATTTTATAAGAAGTTTAGTAAAAGTAAATATTTAATTTACTTTTAAAGCCCGGAAGTTCAACTCTTCATCATTGAAATCAAAATCTTTTAAAGCATTGAAAACCTGTTATAGAAAATATAAAGGAACTATTAAATAAAAATTAATTTTTATAATTTAGTTTACAGAAAGTTGTCAGTTTTATTAAAGGATACTATCTGAAAAACTAAAAAAAAAATTTTTTTTATAAACATTTTAACTTTTAAAAATTTATGAGAATAAGAATTTTTGAAAAAGGGAGTAAATCTTTTTGTAATAAAGTAATATAATAATTATAATTTTGTTCAGAAAAACTATAAAATTTTTTATTAATGCTTTTTCTAAAAAAAAACACAAAGAACCTATAAAAAAATTCTAGGAAAAAGAGTAAAATTTATTAATATAAAGTAAAGTAATGATGATAAATAGTAAACTTTCGCAGCATAACTGAAGGTTAAGTGGAGGTTATTGTTATAAAAGTTTATAGATGCAACGACTCGCTTTTTTTTTTTATTAAAAGGAAAAAGAGCGAGGACATGTGAACTTTTATAGAAACAAGTTGCCCTCGGCTTAACCCTTAATGTGCCTTTACTTCATACGAGCTATAAAAACAGTTAATGCGTTAAGAAATTGTTTTTTTTTTAAGTGATGATTATATATAAATTTATTCCTTATTAAAATTTAGGGAGATGGTAAGTTTATGTTTTACTTATTTATTAAAGTTAATGTGTGTATCTTTCCTTTTTTTCCAATATATATAGTTGTTACATATTTGTACTATTTAACATCATGTATAAATAATATTAATTGTGTAACTATAAACTATAAATAGTAAATTTATCTAGTTTTAGTAATCTTTATAAAAAACTTTTTAGGTACACAAGTTTTTTCTATGATTATATATGGTTTAGTAGTTTTGTACTATTTTCGTTAAATAAAATAATAAAAACAATATTAAGACTTTGTAAATTTATAAGGTAACTAACAAATTATTTTACAAAAAAAAAATAATCTGGATGTTTTTTCCAAAGAACAGACCACTTTTAAACGACTTTTATTATCAAAAAAAAAATGAAAAGTATATTTTGCTTGCCTTTAAGTAGTTATGCGGCGTATTGAGTATCAGAATCATTATTTTTTAAAAAAATTTGTTATTTTTAAATATGAGTTAGTAAACTACCAATTTTTATATATTTCTAACTTATTTTTTTACTATTAATTTATATTATAAACTTTTATATAAATATTAAATATTTAATTTCTTAATATTAAACATTTTTGTTTTAACACTGATACAAACAATATAACTGGAAGGTAAACCGTTTTTATTAATACACTATATATTTATAAATTTAATAATATATTAATAAAAGTATAATAAAGTCTTTATATGAATTTTGTTAGTTAAAAAAAATCAATAATAAAAAAGATAAATAAAAGCACAATAAGTAAAGTTTCCTAATATTATATATAATTATGTCGGGTGCCGGAAGGTTTTTATTTCTTACTTCTCTATCGATGTTGTGTATTGGCGTCTCTCTGGGAATGGCCAGGTCCACTGGCGGTTCCGCGTGACCTTCCATGACCCAATAGTGATGGCGCACGCCTTCCATACTTATACGTTTCTCTGTATCACGAACAATCATCTTTTTTATCAAGTCGCTTGCTCCAGTTGGAACGTACTCGGGCACTGTACACTGTTAGTGAACAGTTCAGTATATTATATTTACTAAAGGAAAAAAAAATGTTTGATTGGTGGCAACATAATTATACTATCCAATTGGAGGTGGCCAATTACGTAAGTGACTTACTTGCGCTTTGATTATGTGTACTAATAAGTTTTTCTAAGTTTGCAGCTTGAAAGGGCAGCATTCCCGTGAGCATCGTGTAAAGAGTTACTCCCAAGGACCATATGTCTACCTTATTGACAATAATATTAATAAATAAATAAAACATCTGGAAAAAAATAATGAGTTAGTTACTTTTGGGCCGTCGTATTTTATGCCCTTTAGTAATTCAGGGGCCGCATAATGCGGAGAGCCCAGAAACGAGTACATTGCTTTGTTTTCATCATAAGCATTTGTAAAACTTGTTTGTAAGGGAAAAAAAGAGAAAATACTATAAATCTCAGAGTACAAAAGTTTTAATTAAATTTTTTTTTTATAGTTTATAATTTAGTAAAAAGTCTAAAGAGTATTTAAATCGTACAGATGTTTTACAACCCGAAATCTATTAACTTTGGTATTGTGTGAGTTTCATCAAGCATAATGTTGGCCGGTTTAATATCTCTAAAATTTAAAAAATAATTGATTAAAAAGTTTTTAACGGAAACATTGCGCTCTTACCGGTGAATAATTGAGTTTTTGTGCAAGTAGTCAACCCCGGAAACCTAATTTTTGAAGTAAGAACTAACTTTTTTGTTTGGAATTGATTAATAATCAACTATTTGACGAAATAAGAGGCGACAAATATCTTCATCGACTTTACGATTTTCTTGACTATCAATATAAGCCTCTAGAATCTCCTGATAAATTGGTTAAAAACAATCAAGAATCAACAAAAATTTCTCTTAAATAACCTCCAGGGATATGCTCTAAAATTAGTAAAACTTTAGGGCCTTGGACCATCGTATCAATCATTTTAATAATCTTTTTAACAAAAGCACCTCTAAGTTAATCAATAATTTAAGTCATCTTAATAGTCAAGTACGTTGGGATGGTAAAGCAAACGACTGAAACGAATTTCTCTCTTTAACAGCTTAGTTCTTCTCGTTTTCGATTTTTCTTCCCATTTGGAGGTATCTATAACTTTAATAGCCGCCTTCGTTTCCAAAAGAATATTTAAAAAAGTCAGGTTTTTCTACTTTAGACTATTAAAACTTACCAATTTTCCAGATTTGTTATGTTTTCCTACGAAAACATCTCCAAAGGATCCCTCCCCAATTCTCTTTACGCATTCCCAATCTCCAATGGATCTGGTTGCTCGGCTCATTATAAGTTGTTTTTGCAGAACCAGGGCTTTGTTTTTATTTTATACAAAATAAGTTCTCTCATCCTAAAAGCAGCTAAGTTAAAAAATGTTTAATAAAGTTAAAAGTAGATTACATATACTCAATATACTTTCATTAATGTAAACCCCTATTAACAGCTAGGAGTAAAAAATCTTTAAGTATATTGTTCTTTGAACTTCAAACAATCAAACTAACAGTTATCCATTTATGTTTAAAGTTAAAATAATAATAGTGTGGTTACTCTAGTTAAAATCAATTTTAGGAATGACTTAAAGTAAACTTTAGTTTCATTTTTTTAACAAAAATGTAATATCTACAACATGTTTTACTGCTTTTAAGAAGCAATATATAAAAACTAACCAAAGAACAATCTACTGTAGCTTGCGCAGATTATATATATGTAAGTGTTTCCTGTAATAAATTTTCCCTTCAGGGCGTACCTTATTTTAATGTATCTATTAAAATATAAAAGTTTACTAAGGAAATTTTGATGTACATCTAGCTCTCTCCTTTAATAGTTTAAGTTGTCAAAAAACAAAGTATATTTATATAAATTAACCCTTATTTTCACTATCAACCTCAAGTATAGATTAAAAAAAAAAAGATTCCAGGTACCTACTGCAAATAGAGTTGCAAGTAGCCAAGTTTTGGGCCTGAACTTACCACCAATCCTTAATCTTTTTTCTAAACTAATTCGTGATATTTTATAGGATCTCTTCAGTGGCCCCTTTAGTGGTGAACAGAGTCACACCTGGTTTAACGTAGAAACTGCAAAAGGAGATATTTATTGTATTGTTATGTATTTTTAAAAGGGGGAGAGAAAAGAAAAGTTCATTGTTTTACCTTTTTTCTCATTTTTTTTATATTAGAGAAAGTAATACTTCTTCTGGGGCTCGGGAGTAAGTTTATACGAACTATATTTTTTAAAAACTCAACGTACGTTAAAGGTTTCAACAAAATAATTGCTTATTATTGATGCCAAGTGGTAATTTTAAGCGCTTAGTATAAAAATTAGTTTACATCAGTTTCTCTAATAAAAGTTCAAATAATATTATTCTTTATCATTGGTTTTATCGAAATATCGACGACCTTTTCAAATATATTATATACTAACCTATAAGACAGAGAACAAACTTTCAAAACTATCTGCTAGATAAATGGCTGCAATTTTTTTTGCTTTTAACTAATCTAGTATGTTACCTTCTAGAAGAATGTGCAACAATAGTCGTTACGAAACTGTGGTACTAATTTAACTATAACGAAATCTCATGTTCATATAAGTGTAAACGTGGAGAAAAAAGTGGTTTGAGGTGAATTTTACTTTTTTCCTTTTTCTCGATTTTTTTTTGTTTAGATGGTGTTAACAAAAACTTTACCAAAATAGTTCAAGTTAAAACAAATAATATTTTCTTCTAGGTATAGTCTAAGTTTATACTTTATAATATATTATAAACGTAAAAAAACTTATTATTATTATAATAACTTTTCTCCTTTTTATCTAAGCGCCTACCTGGCCAAAAAATAAAAATAGATTATAAACTTAAGTTTGTTAAGTACTTTTAGTCTGTACAACTTAAGGTCTTATATTATTGCTTTCGTAAATTACCTTTAATTTTAAAAAGTTTGAATTTACATGAGATTTTTAATGGTGAATAGCTTTATAACTCTGTTTTGTGACTTTAATATTAAACACGGCTTAACTCAAAAACTTTAAGTTTTAATTCCTTTAAAATTTATAATAATTTCTCAGTCTAAGTACTTTTAACGAGTCAGACTAAAATTCTTTTAAATTTACTATATATATTTTGAAGAAAAAAACTTTGATTATTTATGAAGAATAAATCAAATAACTAGAAGTGGAAATTTTAGTTAGTTTCGTTCTAGTAAAGGACGGAACTACGAGTGGACTAATACTATTTATAATTTTGTAGATCCTTTTATTTATCTAATAAAATGATTTTTAATAATTATAAAAAAATTAAAAGTAAAAGATAAAATTATTATAATTAAGGATTAAAACTAAATTTTTTATATATTACATTATTTGATAGTTTGATAATTCCTTCAAAAATTATAGTACCATCTATTAAAATCTATAAAGCGTAATATTTTCAACTTTTTTTAAATTTATTCCCTAATTAATTATTTATCTAACTTATTTTTTGTTAGTTCGTATTTACCTAAGTCTGTCTTTGATTTTATATTATCATAATTCTTTTTAAAATTTATATTTCCAGATGGGGTAATTCCCTTATACTGTGCTTGTACTAACTTATATGTAAACTTAACTTTTACTTTTTACTGTGCTTTTATAACATTTAAAGTAACTATTTATAATTTTTTCTTGGCTTAATAAAATTAAAGTTGTTATATATACTTGCTTTAAATGAAATTCGTTATTGCTTGTTGTGGGTGTTAAAAAAAGATGTATAAACATATAAAACATTATTAAATACAACTGCTTAGTTATGCAGCCGTCCGTTTACATTTCCATTAAATAGTTCAAAAGAAAAGATGCTTGATGTCAGAAAATTCCAAAAACTAATATTACTAATTATTTATACAAGATTTTATTTTTTAGAAATTTTTAAGAAATATTTTTCAAATAAAAATTTATTACTATATTCTTTTTTGGTTTTTAATCAATTTTTACTAGCCATTTATTTTTATGAAATTTTTTAATTATTTGACTTTACAAAAAAAAATTTTAATGGTACGTTAAATTTATTTTGTGGTAGTTTAATTCCTTTTTACAAACAAAAATTTGTTATAAAACTTTTAATTACAAACATAAGTTAGTATATTTTATATATTTTATTAATAGTTTAATAATAATAATAATAACGTTCAGCTAAAACCTATATAAAGAATTCTATTTAAAGTCCACATGCTTTCAAAACGCTTTTCGAGCTATCAGCCAAAAAATCGTCAGCCGTCAGGGCTAGTGGTGGGAAACACGCTAACGCTAAAAGTCATTGAATAAAAAGGATTATAACCCCCGATAATTGGCTGAGACCAAAAAAACGCCCAATTTAAGGAGCTAATTGGTTTATCTGTTGAAAAAGTTATTTGTACACTACCACAAAAAGTGATAAAAAGTATATATATTAGAAAAATGTAAAAAAAGATATATAATATAGTTTACACAAGTAATTAAAGTGGTATTACCCTTATAAACATTTCTAGGTTTGAGTTACTTAAATAGTATATTGAAAAGCTTGAAATTCTGCTATGCTAACTACTCTTTAAGTATTGATAGTAAAACGTAAGGAGCTTTGTATAACGTTTAAAGTTTATTAGAATTCTATAATTGCCAACGTTAAGATGAAGCATAATAAATAGAAATAAGTAATATAGAAAATAATAAATTTCAATTTTTAAATGTTAAAAATCTCGGCGCTTAAAAAGTTTTTTTTTATAATGAACTTTAAAGATCGTTATTTTTTTTAATGAAGAATTTTTTTATAATAAACGAAGGTAAAATTATTATAAATTTCTTATAAACAATAAGATACTATAGAATTTATAAAAATTTGATAATCGTAGGTGATACTCTTTGGTAATATTCTTTGGTATTTAAAATAATATGATTACCCTTACCATTTTAATCATAATTATTAGTTTATATATAGTATACAACAAAAGAGTTAAGACGATTTTTTTTTATTTTATTAATACTATTGAGTGAATTTTTTTAGCTATTGCTAACTTCTTTAGGTTTAGGCTTACAATAAAGCCGGAGTAAAAGCCAGAAATATATATATTTCAACTTGAAAGATCTCGCTTAGAACTATACAAACAAGCCTGCTTATTTTAATATTAGAAAAAAATATACTTGCGCTATAAGTAAGCGTTTTCCGACTTTATATTAAAAAGAGATGAAATAATTATAATTAAGATTGTTTATGATATTCGAAGATGGTGTTTAAAGGTTTCATAAGAGTCATGCTCTTCTTAAACTTCTTTGCAAAAAGAAAATAAAGTTGTTAACTATTACGGCTAAAACAGGTGAAAGAGTTATGCTCTTTCTTAAACTTCTTTTGCGGTATATAAATAAGGTTCCTAACCGTTAGGACTAACTCGATTACTATAAATAACTATTCAAAAAAGAAACAAAATTACTAATTAATCCCATAAAACGAAAGAAAAGAATAATCAATTCTTCTATAGGAAAAACTAAGGTAATTACACCAAAGAGAACTTTTTCTTAACAAAAGAATGGGGCTAAAAATGTTAATTAAAAGGTGTAGTACTTGTATAGTAAATGCGAATAGCCCCGCTATACTATGTTTACTTTTTCTAGAAATTGTTATAAAAATTAGCATCCTCCGCTCTTGTAGCTGGTGTTAATTAAAATATAAAATGTAGTGGAAATATTATATATTCTACTAAAACGCTAAATATTATCTCCTGTACAAAATAGTGATTTATACTTTTTTTTTATAAATTTTGTAATTTGATTAAATACTAAACTGCAAAACAGTGATCCATCCTTTTTTTTCATAATTAAAAAGTTCTACTATGGTTATACTTTTTCTTTGGAAAATGAAATAAAATAAAAACTAATAAAAACTTTTTTTTGAACTTATACTATAAAGAAGCAGGAAAATTGAATTTTTTAGATGAAAATGTAAGCAATCAGTGCAACAGTGAAACCGTTTCCTTCAATAAAACTCAACACCATTAATAAATCCGTGCAAAGCGCAGGACAATTCAGAACTACTTTCTGGCTTTTTAGGCAAAAGGTTTAAAAATCTATCTAATTGAAATTTTTTTTCGGATTCAAATGGATCAATAATTTCTTTATAAAGTTTTCCTCCTGAATAAGAGTTATGGCAATTTTTTCTCGTAAGTCACAACTTTATCTTCAAAAGTGCACTTTAAAAATTGTGAATATACAAGGAATTTAGAACGTAGGCAAACTATAAGGTTCACTACAGCACAACAGCGAAATTGTGCAAATGGCGTAAGAAATTTGTAATTAGTGTTAATTGCTTTTTAAAAAAATTAAAATTGAAAAAATTAAAAATTATCAGTTCTGCAAACCAAAGGAAGCAAGAAAGCTCGAGCGGAAAGAAAGTTATCGAATTATAATTTTAATCCCTTAAAAAATTAGTTTGACTAAATTATTTTTACGAAACGAAACAATTTTTTTTCAAAAATTAAATACATTGGGAAGATGCTAAAAAGCTCCCGCTGGAATTAACAAGTTAGAAGAAAGGTGCCAAGTACGAGAGAAAATTTAAAAATTTCAATGATTGTTATTAAAAAAAGTTACAGAGATTATAAAGTTGGAAGCCCCTTCTAACTAAATTCAGTAATTTCAGAAATCTCATAGACGTTAAATCTCTATTAAAGTATAGAGTAAATTATAAAGAAAAATAAATGTTAACAAATAAGCTAAACTAAAACTTTTATTAAAATAACTATAAATCAATTAAATTAAAATTATATACGATATTAAAAATTGGAAAAAGTGAATCAGATTAAATTTAGAATAGAAAATTTACATTTTTTTTTAGTAAATTCCAAGCCTTGAAAAACTTTCTCTATATATTAAAGTTATGCCAATGCTAAAAAGATTCCTTTAAAGATGAAATACAGTATAAGGAATATAATAAACGTAAAATAAATTTATAACAATGAAAATACTAAATAATAAATTAAAAATAATAAAAGTTATATTAATAATAAATATATATATATATATATAATTTATATTATTTTATATAAAACTATAATAAATGTAAAAAAAATTATTATAACAGTAAAAATATTTAATAAAAAATAATAAAAGAAAACTATATATACAGTAAAAAACAAATATAAATTTAAACAAAAAAATTTAAATATAATAATTAGTACAAATTTGTCAACTGACTGAGAGATTTAAACATGTAACCGTGAAGCCCTTTTATATTATTTTCGGCTAAATGTCTGAAGCAATTTTTAAAAATATATAATTAAAAAAACTAAAAGAATAGGTTATAAATATAATAAAATTTAATTTATATAAATTTACTTAAATATTGTTTAATTATAAATTATTATTATTATCATTTTAATAATATATAATAAAATTTATTAATAAAATCTTTTATTTAGTATAAATATTATTTACTTGAACTTATTTCCTCCTTTATTTTTTTCTTTTATTTATTATATAATTTTCGTATTTATTTATTAATATTTACTTTTTTAATTATTATTTATAAATTTTAAAATTAATTCAGTTATAAAAAAGTTAATTAAAAAAGATTAAAAATACAATTATATTTAAAAAAAAATAAAAATACACGAAAAGCAGAATTACAGATCTCGCAAATCAGGAAGATGACGAAACGCTTTAATTTCCGTAAATTTGGTTTTTTGCAGAGCCCTAAAAATATTTAGTTCCGTTAAGAGTTTCTTTTTATAAAAAAAATTAAATACAAGTTAATAAATAGGATAAGCCGTAGAAGTCATCACCAATGGAAGTAGTAAATTGGGAACAAGATCACTATAAATTGAGGTACGCAAGCAAAAAAAAAATTAATTTTAATATTTATTAATTAATTTACTGCACAGCATTAATATTATACGAATTGTACGTATGCGTATAATAATAATATCCTCCAACGTTGGAAAGTGATTTAATCCTATATTTTTTAAACTTGGGTGTTAAATTATAAAAAATAGAGAAAAGTAAAAAAAAAAAAAAAGTTAAAATTAATTTAAATTAATTTAACACAATAAAATTTAAAAAAATTATAACTGATTTGCTATAAAAACTTTATATTAGAAATAATTTATATTAAAATAATTAAAACATTTAAAATGTCTAAATTATATTTAAACTTTTCTTATATATCTTAGAAAGAAAAGAATATTAAATTTAAAAGTAAATTTGTTCAATATAGAAAATTATTTCTTTTTATTTAGTAAAATAAATAAAATTATGTAAAACGTAAATTTATATAAGTTTAACTAAGTAAAATAATAAAGATATATAAATTTATCGAAATGTATAAATAAATTATAATAATAATATTTTTTTATGAATTCTCTTTTTATTTTTACTAAAAAATGAATAAACTAATTACTAAATTTTATTAATTTTTAACGAAACATTTTATTATATAGTTTCAAGTCCAGTGTTCGCTAATAGTCTATAATTAATATATTAGTATTTATTTGTATTTATAGTAAAAATCAAAAAAATATTTAAAAATACAATTTATAAATCACATTTTTATTAACATAAATATAATTAATAATAATATTTAAAGGTTAGCATTGAATGATTCGAAGTCAATTCGAAATGTGGCGCAAATTAAACTCCAGGGTCTTACCAAAACAAAAACATTTACTAAAAAAGATTAATGATATAATTTTACTAAATAAGATTTTAGAGAGTTTAAAAAAAGGTTAAGAGAAAGATTGAGACTTAATTAAAATATGTTTTAAGCTTCAATGCGTTATAAAAGTGTTGAAGGCTTAAAAAATATATGAATGAAGTATATATTTAATTAAAAATCTAGCGGTATTTATAAGATTAGATGTAAAATATTTATTCTTCAAATAACTAACTAATATATTATAGATAATAAAAAATTACAGCTAGCAGTTAAAACCTTCACACGAGTACTCCTTTAATATTACCTTGTTGACAAGGAGACACAAAAAGCTTTTTAAAAACAAAAATATTAGAAGGTAGTTCATTATTCTTTTAAAATATAATTAGTTATTAAAAAAAAGTCATCTTTAAAAAAATAATTTTTAATAAGAAGTGGAACTATTCGTATTGTAGAGGAAATACTAGTGACAAAATTTTGTTTATTTACTTTCTAGTGCTCGAGCTCGAGTCAACATATTTAATACTTTGAGCTTTCCATCTAAAATAGTTCAATTCATTCTTTTAGTAGTAGCTACATGTTCCGGATTTTCTTAGGAAATAGAGTTCGTGGGCAGTTTTTGAGGCCTACTATCACCTTCTCTCCTTGGAGATGCGCTTCCCCGCTTTTATATATAAGTCATACATTATAAATGTTTAATTTTAAACCAATTCAGAAATATGAACTTTTTTTTAAAAAAAGTAAATGGTAACGACGGGTTTCCCTATCCTTCACATTTTCAGACAACAAGGATTGAACTGAAAAAAAATATTTTATTTATAAAAGACTTAGAAAACTATTGTCGAAAAAAGTGTTAGATATTTTAATAAAAATGTGAAAAGTTAAAAAAATATAAATGTTGCTTAAAATAATATAACCGAAAAAATCGTATTTAAATCGAGCTGTTCCAAAGAGTAATTAAAACTATAAATAAATATATTTGCCTTCTGCCTTGGGGTCACACAAATTGGTTAAAACTTTAGTTAAAGAATGAGGCAAAGTATAACTTTATCGAATAGTTTATCTATGGTTAATTGGGCTAGGTTTAAGCGATTAAAAGGAGAGACTCCATATTAAATGTTCCTAAATAATAATCTGCTAGATGAAACCTAAGGCCGAGGAAATATGAACAAACCGGAATACTTGCTGAATGCAGCTATCTAGTGTGAATTTAAAAATATATTTGGCATTAATTAGATGGTTATTAATTGTGTTATTTTAACTATATTAGTTTCTGATATAGTTAGAAGGATGTGCGTGTATGTTTTTGATCATATTTTATCACCTTGTCTTTGCAAGAAGCCTATGCCATAAGATGTTTTGGTGTGTTCATAGGTTTCATTGTAGTCGCATTCTTGTATATTTTAGACATTATTTTTTACTACTTCTAATAAATTATCCTTGATAACTTTAAAAGGAAATATCAAAACTAGCCAGAAGTTGAGGCTGGTCGTTAGGTGCCGTTATTTAAAGTATGGGGCCTCAATACTTATCAAAAGGATGCTAGCCTTCCCAAAACATTCCTTAAACTTAAAAAAGGTTATATAACTTACGGCTAGTAAAGCTCTGCGGAGTTTAGGAGTATAAAATAAATAAATTTATTGAAGTCAGCCGTAAAGGTATGCATATATATGTGGTTGTGATAGTGGCATCTGTTAGTTCTTTTCTTGGTGATAACACTGTATAATAAGCGACTATATAGGTATAATAAACATTATTTAACATTAAGAGGTTATATATAATATTTTTAAAACCAACTCGTATGTTACTACACACAAGAAAGACCCAGCTCGCGGGTAACTAAAACTACAGGTGTCAGGGAAAAGAGAAAAAAAGAGCTGCTTTCCTTGTGACTTTTATAAATTTACCCTAACCTTTAACCCTCACGCCTCTGTAAGTTACAATTGGCTCGGTTGAAGTCGGTGCGGCTGAGCAATTTAATAGAAATGGTTCGTGTACGTTAACACTAAAAGACCTCATACTACAAGCTGGAGTTTTAAACGTAAAGGAGATGAATTCAATATATTAAGTAATTTGGAAACTCTTAGTTCATAACTGTCTTCAATGCAAACTGTGTTTTTTTAATTTTCTAATTTTTTTTTAACGTAATTAATTGTTTGACGAAACAATATTTTCTTTAAATAAACTCATTCATCCATGGTAAGGCACGCGTTTAATACACGTATTCTTTGCAGTTAAAAATGTTCACGTTTTTTTCTTATTCGATATACCTTCATTGTTGATTTGTAAGCAAATAAATAATTAATTGGTGGTTCAGTTTAAAGCTAAACCGACTTCCTCCTGTGGGGTCCAGCCAGAAGCTCTTATTTCTGGTCCCCTCAATTCATTACTAAAGTAGTAATCGGGTAAAATTTAATATTTAGTACACTTTCCATCATAGGACTGCTTCTTTGGTTTCTGTATAGTTCTTCGTCGATTTTTTTAACTCATTATTAGCATGTAAATATTATTTTATACCATATAAAGATTTAAAGATCGTAAATTTTGTTATATCTGAATTAAATGATAAGACAAAGAGTGGTTTAAGATAGCTTAACTTATATAGGGTAAAATATTTAAACATAAAAAATAATAAAGAAATGCTTGAGTCTCGAAGGGATAATTCTAACATGGTTAAGGTAAGAGTTCTACCAAAGCTGAACAAAACTATTCTAATAAGCCTAAAAGAAAAGCTAAAACTATAAACCTAAGAAACTAGGGGGAAGTAGCTTGAAGAGACAGAACTGAACTTAGCAAACTAAAGGAAACATTGTTAACGATCTAAAACTTTCGCATTCCCTAAGCATAGATTAAATAATGGACTATGTTTGCTTTCAATTTTAGAGAGCAAATTCAAAACTGCTTTAAAATTCAAGCTTTTGTCTTAGCACGCCATCGTGAGCTATCGTGCACTACCCCATACAAGCAGGAAAAGGCAGTTAACCTGGTTTTTATATATAGTTCATATCCTTTAGGTTATTATTCTAAGGAACTTCCGGTTTACTATGATAGTAACGTCTTTGATGTCACTAACACTTATCCGAAGCATTCACACCCGAGATCCCTGAAACCCCAGGCACTAGTATTATAGCTCGTAGTGTTTTCTATAATTAATCATGTACGCATTTATTGACTACTCGCATATGCCTTTTTGGTATGGGCTGGTAATATTTTAATTGTTTGTTAGCATTAGCTTGCTATGGTGGTTCGTATAGTGTAAGGCAACAGCTTCAATTCGTCATCTTTTAATTTAGATTAAAGGTTTTCGCCGTAGCTAACTAGTTAAGAGAATTGAAAAAAAAAAAATTAAACTCAAGGTCGTAAGTTTTAATTCTTACCGGCGCCAATCCCTCATAAATTTTAATAAAGTCCGGCACCCACAAAAAATATTTGCTGTTGTTAAAAATTACAATTAATTCATGTTACATGTGTTTTTGTTCTACAATTCTAGTATTTTGCTAGTTTACTTGCGATTTTGTTTCATCTTTTACATTGAATACAAGAAAAACTACACTCTTTTGCGTTAAGGGATACTAAAAGCTGTCGGAGAGTGAGACTACGACTGAATTTATCTTTAAAAGTATTAATAACTATTTAAAAGTTTTAAGATCTGTAAGCGAGGTGACGCGCTTTTGCCTGGAACTAAATAGGAATCGCAAATAAGCTTTTACGCATCCTTCTTAAATTGCTAACTCTTACTTTTTTTTAGGACAATATTCACTAACCAAAATACACTACCTGTTTTCTTTTAAAAAAAATTATACAGTTGTTAGTTTTTATTAATCTAAAGAAGAAAGACATCGAAGAAAAAGTTATTGATATTTTTTAACGAACTTAAGAATAGAGATAGTGAAATGCTTATAAATCAAGCGGTTGCGCAATCGGAACTTTCGGTTATCCTTGTTTAGGCAATCCATTGCTGATTCTTTTACCTCAAGTAGGCAGCGTAGTTTTACACTTAAAATCACGTGTTTTTTTTTCTTCCACAAAGTAAAAAATCCTTTTTACTTTCTGTACCTTTTTAAGTAGACCGTTCTGAAAGGTTATAACAGTGGCGTTAGTTTTTGTTCATATATATTTATTAGATGATTTTTAGAACAGTTTTATATGTTTTATCCGACAAATTTCTTTTTTTAATATAAGCTTATCGAAAATTATGGTGTTCAATGCCGAGAACCATTAATCATTTAAGAGGATGACGAAAGTAAAGTTACTATGGCGGCCACATTGACCTTTACTTGTTACTGGAAAGTCAGAGGTATGATGGTGCCATCTGAGCATTTTATCAGAAGCTTCCAGTTGGTTTATAATTTTTAATTGCGAACTGTATTAGGTAGCAATGTGAATTTTTCCAATCAGAAGAAGGCATATGTAGAACAGAAGCGACTATCTAGTAAGTGTTAAGGAGAAATTAATTTTTTTTTAAGAGCGCTGTTACTAATACTTTAGCCAAGTGAAATAATACGACCTGTTTGTTCTGATCGCTTCCATGTAATTTGCAAAATAAAAATTAATGGCGTTCAATAAAAAGCTTAATTATTGCTTCCGTAGTTTTACAGGAAAAACTTTAGAAAATGGTCCGTCTTTTTCCTTTGTAAATCATAATTTCTTTAGTAGTTCATTGTTTTTATTTTCTTTAAAAAAAAATTTTAAGTTATCTTTAATGAATATATGTATTAAAAACTGCAGATTATAAGTGTGATATTAAGGTTCAGAAGTTTAAAACCAGGCGTTTGTTATACGAGTTACCTCCTTATAGAGTTCCGTTTGCTCCTCTTAAAAGTATTCGTTTTTATTAAAAAAAAGACTTTGTATATTTATTTTTATATATAGTGTTTTTAATTATTGGAGCTGGAGTTACAATGGGAGCTTCATTCGCGAAACATTTAATATCTTTTTTGGACGAGAAGGGATATTCTTTTGACGTTGAAGATTAATAAACCGATAAAACTTAAACGAACATATAGCATTTCTCTTTAAAGTTAGCGATGAACAAGTTTTAAACTTTAAGATTACTTTTTTTTTTACAAGGCATAAAAATTTACTTATTAATAACGGTGCAAGTGTATTAAGCACCCGAAAAATACTAGTAATTTAACTGATACTAAGGCACACGAAATATATAAGTTAAACGTAATTGGAGGTTATTGTATAATAAAAATCAGTCTACAACCCTTTAAAGACAAAAATTTGGTCTCTATGCAGCAACTATCTCCTTTAAGCGCTATAAGGATAGATAAAAAAATGTAGGTGAACAGGGATTTTGTAACCTTTTTAGCTTTTTTAACTCGAATTCTTGATTCAAACCTGCTTAACTAACAAATTTTTTGTTTTGTTATTGTCCCTTTTACAATTATTTACTTATTACAAACGATTTTATCAATGCTTATAAAATTTTACCTGTTTTTACAAATCATATTTAATAGTTTTTAACTTAAGTATTCCATTCTATAAAGAGTTTAACAATTAAACAAATACATAGTCGAGCTTGCATAGTCCAAGTGGCCTTGGTATAGTTATATGTATTTATTATATATATATATATTAGAATTTACAGCAAATTTGAAAACTGAGATTGTAGCTTTGCTTGAATTATGTAGAAGAAATATACTTAAAAAAGAGGTCAACTTGTGGAATAATGATGAGGGTAATTGTAATAAAGTAAGTCAACAAACTAATATAGCGCTTTTTTAAAATAGTATAGAGATTAAGTTTGGAAACATGCTTATCTTTATATATTAATAACAGCTTACTAGTACGAAGAAAACCCCTTAACCCTTTAGGATAATAAGGACATAATAAGACCTCTCACCGCCTACTTACACTTAACATAATTTTAAGGCACCGGCATAATACGACTGGTCTTCGAAAGAGGGCATGAGCCTCAGTTAAATTCCTCCTCTTCTGTAGGGGTTAAGGCACGGGCGCGCACCATATATGCTCTTTATAGAGCTATAACGATTGACCAGCAAGTGTTTATAACATACTTGCAACTTGTCGGGTGCTTTGATTAGTCATTAAAATCTTGCTTGGAGGAAGGCTTGATATAGGGGGAATATAGCGTTACTCGAATTTTTGTTAGACTCCAATTGAGTTGTGGTGTAGGTCGTACCTGCATTGGAGAGTACGATGGATAAACACGTATATCTTATTTTAAAAGATTAACATACACTTAAGTGATTTAGACTTCCTTCGCCATTTTTTTTTTAAAAATGGTTCGAACTAATTATTCCTTAAAAAATAAAAAAGTGGTGAACAATAAGGAGCAGTTGAAGATATTTCTAGGTAGTTGTTGATTCTAAAAAATGTGCAAGATATAACAAAAAGGTGTCTGAAATTTACTTTAAGTTAATAAGAAAATTAAATTCTTAATCATACTAGTAATAGAGCTCTTTTTTCTTGTCTGCTGTGCTGAGAGCCTATCGGTGCGCTTCATCAATTTTATTATAAAAGGCTTTCAGTAAACTGCACTTTTAATTAAATCTTTTATTGACTCTGCTACTAAAAATTTAATATTTTATATTTTATACTGAAATTTTGTAAAGTAGAAAGTAATTTTATCTCAGGCAAAACCATTTTATTAATTTTTTAGTTTTTTTAAGGCCAACATATTATTGCTATTCCTTTTGAAAACTAAAGTTAAGTTCATAAAATAGTAAGTTTATAAAGTTTCTAAACAAGGTTAACAAAATTTAATTTTATTTTTAATTAATTGCATAAAAATTTGTCATGTAAAATAAATCTTAACTTAAATAAAATAGGGCATACTATTTATAATATATATAACTGAGTGGGATAATTAAGCTTCTTAAAAAAAATTAATTCATTTTAAAAACAAACAGAATGCTTTATATAACTGGTAAATAAATAATTTTATTGCGAAGGTAATATGTTTTCAGCGTATAAAGCAATGATTACCATCAAAGCATATCCAAAAAAGAATCCAGAATTAATTATAAAAAAAGATAAACTTTTATTTAGCGGCAAGAAATTATTTAACTGATGCAGCTAAAGAAGTAACATTTAGTATGATTTATCGTAACTTTAATAAAAAATATTACCATTTCGGTAAAAGCAATGTACAGAAATGTACCAGCAGTAAAAAGAAGAATGTATGGAACGCTTTTTTCACCACTTTGCCAGCCTACAAATACTCCTAAGAAAGCCGTAAGTCCTGTTTTTTTTATTACAATAAATATAATTATTGTAAAATTTATTACTTTTATTACCAGAAATTAAGTTTGCGAAAAGCGCTTGCCATTTATTTAACCCATTTTCTATAAGTATAGCAACATCACCAATTTCATGAGCGACTTCGTGTAACATAATAGCTATCGAAGACGATAGCCCACTCGAAAAGGAGAAATTAAAAGAAGCGCCTTTTTATAATTATTATTATTATTATTTTATTTTTAATATTTTTCTATTTATATTTTATAATAATTTTTATTTATTGTTTATAAATGTTATTATTACTATTATGATATTTAATTATTAAATAACACCTATCACTACGCCGTCCACAAACTTATGAAGTCCAGCTGCTACTAAAATAAGCCAGCCCATAGAAGTCAGTCGCTTAAACCACGGCAGAGCTTTGTTGCCTTTGTGAGTGGCCAATTGGGATTCTGCACAGCAGTTCTCATGTTTCAAGCATCCGTTGATATTATTAGTAAATTGTATATCGTTGTTTTGCTTAGAGTTTGTCTCTAGAGAGATCATGAATTAATAAAAAATATATTATAGTTAATGTGAAAAATAATAGAAGGAAAACCAGAAATAGAGGTTGAGTCGTGGGAATGCCCCAATCCAAATATGCTCAAACAGTTCTCTATAAGAAATATGGCGTAGGCGCCTAGAAGCACAAGACTAGACCTTTAAATTTTACATAATATAATAATAAAAGTTATTAGGTAAAGTTGATTTATAATTGAAGTAATTAATAAATAATGAAACGTGCAGGTTTCATATATATAACAGTTATATAAAGTCCCATAAACTAAAGAAGAATGCAATACATATATATATATAACTATGAATTATTTTTGTAAACCTAATAAAAAGTGCAAAAAAGCGAAAAACTTTATAATATTACCTAAAGATTAGTTGTTTTATGGAGAATGTGTGCTCATGAGAGTTTTGAATGTGATTTTCATGTGAACTAGACTATATATATTAATTATAACTTTATAAAGAAAGACTGCATATTAATATTATACATGCGAATGCAGATCAAAACCCTCAGGGATTAGGTGAAGCAAAGCATCGCTAACTAAAACACTAATAGCTGAAGAAGTCAAAAATTTGAGAATATATATTGCAGTGGATCTATTAATTTTTTTAATCAAAAATGGAAGCCAAAATGTTCCCAATAAGCATATTATAGTGTTGACAGAAACAGAAGCGACTGAGTAGCCTAAAACCTTCGTTTTCGCTGGGTAATATACAAAAAGTGTAAGTCATGTATTTATCAAGTGTATAATAAGCTTTTAATATATAATAAGATATAAAAAATATATCTATTTATAAAAAATTACATAAAATTCAGTATAATAAGAACTTAATACTTACATAAATAATTAAGTTTGGTCATTTATACTTAAAACCAATACTCAAGAAAAAGTGCATAACATTTAAAGAAAAATTCTTAATAATTTTTGTTTTAATCAGCCTTACAGAATTATGTAAGTTAAATTATTTTATATGGCTAATATTTACAAGGGTAATAGATACTTTTCTGATAAAAATAATTATTCTAATAGCAATAAATTATATTAACTTGTATAATTACTAGTTTATAAAAGTTTTGTAACTAATCAGTCTAATAATAACATTAAGAATTGCGCGATAAATTATACTAGTCAAATAGATAATATAAATAATTATCTTGTAGTTCACGCACGTTTTTTAGAAGCTTTTATTTAAAACAGGATTAGGGTTACTTTTTCTATAATTAGTAGTGGTGATTCGAATGCATATTGTGAGTTTTCATTGGGTAGTAATATCAATAAATGGCTTATTTTAAGCTTCCAGAACTTTGAACACTTTTCTTGGAAGGTAAGTTTAACTGTTTTTAACTTCTGGCGCTTATTTGTGATGATTAATTTTTGAGAAACTTTGTTAGCCTGAAAATGAATCTTATACTTATATTTATAATAAATCAAGTGTAAGACAGTCGGACAGCGTAAAATTGATTGTAATAGCAGTAGTTTATAATTTTAGCAAAATAAAGGCTTTTTAAATTTTTAATTAGTATATAGTCTTTACTCTGTAAAATTAACTTAAGTTAATTAAACTTTTTAAGGATAAATTATCAAACTCTTATCTAACACAAGAAATTAATCATTTTAGCAAAGTATTGTTTTAATATAGTATTCTAATTTGCTTCCAGAATATTTAATCAATTAAACTTTATTTTTGGTAAGCTTCGTAATTAAAAAATTAGAAAATGTGGTATTGGAATAACGATCTTCCTTACATTTCATTTCTGAGACCATTTTTTTCAAATTTTTAAACGTCCTTAAAAATTACCTCGTACTAGAGTATGTCTTTTAAAGGTTTTTTATTATCTCTTTGCCATTTAGGCTGACATTACTTCTAATTAATATATATATAATATATGTAAAAAGTTTGTAGTATTGACAGAAATAAAACAAAACAACTGCAGATCTTGTTTGATTAAAGATTTGAGAATATAAATTTAACTTAATTAGATTATTTTACCAATGTAAGCTAGTGCTTTCTCCAAGTTTAAAATTAAGCGAAAAATTGCTTAAACGGGTGCTGTAATTAGATTTTATAATCTTTATATATTACAAAAATCTTTATACTGCACAAAATTGTAACCGCCTGGTAAGTATGAATAAACTGAAATTTTGTATTGATTTATACCATTTAAAGGGTTTAGAACGTCCATCAAGTGCGACGGAATACCGTGAAGTAAAATTGGTGTAAATGTATTTTTGTTATTACTTTTTTTGTAAACCATTTAAAACATTGCAATATAAATGTTGAATCTTTCTCGTTTCCACTTCAATTAGAATTAAGGTTATAATATCTAAGAACTATCTAAGAGAATCAGTAATCTTTGTTTGAAAAGGGGTCACAGCTTTATGGTAGTCTCCCAGATACTAGCCAGAGGCTTTGAGACAATTTTGAAGATAACGGAAACCCTATTATAAATAATAACTTATAATAAAAAATTTTCTGACCTGTTACTTCAACTAAAATTTGAAAAGAGCTAAAGACTTAAAGCTTTTAGCCAGTATTAGAGCATGTTATCATCAATCTACCTTTAAGTTACTAGGATAAATATAAAAATATTAAGTTTGATAAAGTTTTGGAGTACACACAAACATTTCGTATGATAAGCGGACTTATTCCTCAGACCATAGTCCCCCCTTATGAAATATAGGAACACAAAAAAAATCTTTTACACATCACTGCGTGTCTTTTTTTGATATTTTATGAACCGATTTTCAAAGCATATTGACGCCTCGTGCAAAAATCTCTCTTGTCTCCCAAACTTAAAAAATCAATGAGAGCCCTCCAGCTCTTCCGAAAAATATCTCAGCTTCCGACTTTGACTATTTATTAAAGTTTAAATTTCTGCCAACGCCATTTTCTTTAAGGGTGGCGCTATCTAAAGTTTAAAAAAAAAAACTTAAACCTTTTTATATGTTACAAAAAAAAAACCTCTTGTGCTATGGTAGCCACTTTTTAAACTATGAGCGATCCAACCAAAAAAGTATAAATTTTATCTATTTTTTATTATAAAATATTCTTTATAATATTCATATGTATATTTCTCTGCATTGTTTTTGTCTTATTTGTTTAATTTTTTTTTTAAATAGTTCACTTAAGTTGTAGAAGGCTATCTATTATTAACATAGTAGAATTATAAAGTTAGATTATTTATTATACTATATTATTTGTAATTTAGGGTATGTACTAAAGTACGTTAAATATATATATAAAGCCTTTTTTAAAACAAACTACTATTGCTGAAGATGTTGTGGCCTCCCTTGGACAAATTTTCCCCCACATTGATAAAGAACTTTTGAAGGAAGTAAATTAAGTCTTTTTTCAGCTGCTTACATATTGTTTATTACTTTTTTATATAAATTTCTTTACTTAATTTATATTTTACAGGTGATTTTGTCTTGTGATTGTGATTTAAATCGAGCAGTGGAGGCGTTAACCCCTCAACTCATGATTTCTGAATCCCCACTGTCACCTAAAGTTTTGCTCACTTCCAGCACAAATTTTACTACAACTATTGATGATAACATAGAAAAGATTGAAAAAAAAGATAATGGTGATAATAATTTAAATACAAGTAAAATAATTTATAGTGTTTCTTCATCTTCTGCAGTAACTACTTATCGGAGATCGCAAGCTCAAGTAAAAAGAAAAAATTTATAAGAATTCAACTTTTTAATAATATACTTTCTATTAAAATTTTATATGCAGAAAAGCAAACTTTATGAAGAAAGTTTACAATTTCTGTGTGAACTTTTTCCAGATTATCAAAAAAATGTATTAAATGATTATTTACAAGTTTGCAGATCTGTTGCTTGTACGGTTGAGTATATATTTAAGACTCGAGCTGAGTCCCATCATGCCGCTTCTGAAGAGTTATTTTTACTATAAAATTTTAATTTATATTCCTAAAATTATATTTATTTAAGTAAATATTTTTTATAATATAAATTTTTTAATTTATTAATAAAAATTAGTTAAGTATATCTTTAAAACTACAAAGCAGTTTTGAATTTATTTTTTGTTTTGAAATTAATTATAATTTTTTATTAATAAAGTATATAACTTTTATTATTAAATTTATAATAAATTTTTATTAACCAAATTTTCTATTTTCTTTAATAGAAATAATTCATTTTTGAATTATGAAAATCAGGCCGATTCTTTTTTTTATGATGATATGGGTATTCCTATTTTAAATTATTACTTTTAATAATTTTTTATCACAATTATAATAGAATACTTTTCATTTTTAATTATTTTGAAATAAAATTTTTATTTATTATTATCACTTGATTTATTTTCCAAAGTTTACTTTTGAAACTATTGTATATAACTAAAATAAATTTGATTTCTTTTTGGAATGCTTGTCATTATAATATATTTTGGTTTTATATAAATAAATTTTCTATAATTATTACTTTATATAGTTTTAATTTGATATATTGTATGCCGATTTTAATTAAGTTTTATAAATTTTATTTGCTGTATTATTTTTTATTTGAATTTTTTGGGTGTTAATTTTTATTAGTAAATTTTATATAAAATTATTAAAATTAGGAGATTTTTATAATATTTTTTGTTATATTTTTTTTTCAGTTTTAATTTATCACTCTTTTTGTAGTTGTTATTTGATATTTATGTATTATAAACATATTGCCTTATCTTATACTTTATTAGAAAACGTAAAATTTATTATAGTTATTAACATAATTAGAAACTTAAACTTTTTTTTATTTTTTTTTACTTTCTTTTATGAATTTGGTAACTTTGCAGTTTGTGATTTTTTTCAAGAAATTAATTTATTTTAATTATTTTGATTTTTTGTTTTTATTAGTTATAAAGCATTTACTTTTAAATTATTATTTTTATGAATTTTTTATTTTACTAATTACTTCAAATTTCAATTCCTTTTTTCTGGTATTTTTGTTATGTTTTAGACAAAACTATTTACTTGGTAACTGTCATCTTTTTGAATTTTATTAAATTATTTTAATTATTAAAACTTTTTTTACTTCGAAAATCTAATTTTTCTTTTATACTAATAACTTTGTAATTCTTCAAATAAACTAACTATTTTTTAACTAATAACTTTTTTCCTGCGCTCTGTTGCTAAATTTATGTTAATTTTAATGGTTTAATTAACTTTTATTAGTTAAACACTTAAATGGTTTTGGCGCAAAGCTATAGTATTTTATTTTTATAATTGAATATTTTACACTCAACTGGTTGTTTTAATTAATTTAATTTTTTTGCTTTTGATTGGTCATTTAATAAAAGTAAATTCCGCCAAGATATTTTTGCTGACTTTAGCGCCAAATTATTACTATAAATACGTTTTCTTTTGTCTTTTTTTTAATTTTATTGAGCTTATATTTCTTCTGTAATTTCAACTGGAATAAAAGTAAATTTTTTTTATATCAAAATATATTTTAGCTTCAAAATTTCAGTACCAGCATTTACACGCAATATTTCCCGATGTGGACCAATCGCTACTGTTGGATTTGTTCTCTGATAATACGTTTATTTATTTTAATGGATTTATTGTTCTACTAAAAATTAATGAAGTTTTTAACCTCTCTTTTAGTTTTTTATATTTATAGTGTTATACTGATAATGATTGCGTATTAAATTTTGTATACCCGTAACTTTATTGTTTGTTTACAAGTTAAATTTATTGTAGTCTATTAATTAATAAATAATGAAAAAGGTTTTTAATATTTTAATATTAATCAAACTTATTAAACACATGAATACAATAAAACTATCGTCACTGTTTAAATTATATTAATCTTAAAATTATTATGACAATATTGATGGGCTAAACGTCAAACAAAATTTAAAATTGATTTTCATAGGGTATGATTTCTAATAATTTACTTGGTTATTTTGTAATGTTTTTTTTATTGTACTTGTCTTCTACGATTTATTAAATAACAAAGTTTTTAATGCTTTTAGACATTTTGTGTAGTTTTTTTTTGGAGTTTTTAATATTTTTTATTTTTTAAATTTTTAGTTGCACTTTTGCAAAAATATCAAAAAAGTTATTGGAAATGGGCTTTAAAGAGAACCAATTATTAACGAATAGTGAGCCTCACAGAAAAATAGTTTCAGTGCCAAAAAAACCTGCTCTTAGTGAATCCGGCGTTTTGGATTCGTTTATTGATGTTGAAATGGAGGATGACGTTTTTTACAACGATCAAGTAAACGTTGACCGTCAATTGTCCTATGAAGAAGCGAGAAAAGAAGTTATCACTACGTTTTATAGTACTATTGATACAAATATATGGATCGTTATATAAAACTGTTTAGCTCATAAAAAATATACGTCATTGCCATAATTGGCCAAATAAACATCTAATAATACTCTTTATTTCATTATTATATACTAAAGAAATTTTTGTCAAAGAAAATGTCGACTTATATTTTCGTTGAAGAAATTTATTAAATTTTTTGATATACTTTTTAGTTTTTTTCTGAAAGGGATTTTATTTTTCTTAAGAAACTATTTAAAGCCTTTGATATTACAATATATTTTTTTATGCTTATATCAAACAAGCTTTTATACAAATTTTATATTATTAAATTGTTGTGTAAGTAGTACAGCTATAATAAATTATTTTTTATAATGCAAAATTTTCTTTTTATTTAATTTTTAATTTAGGTTAAAACACTTTGTGAAATACGAAAATCTTATTTTAAAAAGGCAGCTTTGGAATATAGAAGTAAACGTTATGGAGTAGCCGCATATTTGTCCGATGTGGTATTATATTTTTATTATTGTTATGATCCTTATCTTATTCTTATGATTATTATTATAATATTAGGGCCACAATCTGAGTGACAAGATAAAAGAAGCCAACATTATTGCTAGTCGATATATATTTAATAATCGGTTTGTAATCGGTTTGTTTATATACTAGAATAATAAGTAAATATATATTTTTTTGACATTCATAAAAAATATATTTTTTACATATAAAAAGCAATAAAAATAATTCTTGTATGCTGATGGACTTGCATGGGCTCCACGTGAAGGAGGCGCTCTTATTTGTGAAAGAGAGAATTCTTTTTTTGAAAAGTAATTTATAATGAAAAAGTTTATAGGCGCTTAATGAAATTTGTTTTTTAATTTAATGTAAAATATTTCATTAAAATTTTTTTTTTAAAAAAATTATTATAATAAAGTTGTTAATAATAATTAAATTATTTCTGGTTATAATTTTTTGGTTTGCAAACTAATTAATAATGAAAAAAGATTAACAAAATGGAGATTATACGTTTTATTTGTATTCAAATTATGAGCCTTAAATTATATTAATATATATTTATAAATTTTACTGTTTTATTTTTTTTTATTAATTAATAATTATTTGGCTTGTTGTTTTATTTTTACTACTTTTTAATGTAAAATATTAGATAAATTTCCTTTTTTTATCAAAATAATATTTTTTTTTCAGTTGATAATTGAAAATTTAGTAACTTATAATTTAAAAATCAATTTTTTTTATATGCAATAAAATTTAACTTTTAGCTTTTAAAATTTTTTTATACAAAGTTTTCTTTTTAGAATTTTTTTTTTATTTTTTAATTTTTTACAGCAGTCATAATATATTTTTACTGTCAGAAAAATTTTTGTTTATGAAATATGAGAACTGTAAAGTTCTACTTTTAATTATGTGTTTAGTTAACTTTAAAAAAATAATTATTTTTAAATTTTCATATTATATATAATTTTTGGTTTTTTTTAGTTGTTATTAATTTTATTAGGCTGGTGAGAATATGTGTATTTTTTTAAATAATATTTTATTGATTCAATCAATTCTGCTTAATTTAAATTTTTTATTGTAAATTATATTTCATACCAAATTATTACTTTAAAATTTTCTTTTAAAAAATTACTCTTAAATATAAATTTTTTTTTATTACCATTATTTATTAATATCATAATTTTTTTTGAAAGTTAATTTAGCAAAAGCGTATAAATAATAACACAAAAAAAAGCTTACTATTGCTTCTCTGCAAATCTGTATCAAGAATGTCGGGTATTGCATAGTCTTTATTTACTTCACTATTCTACTCATTTAAATCAATTATTAAAAAATTGATATTTTCTAATAAAAATATACATAATTTTTAAGCGTGCTACTTAATTATTATAGCAACTTATATAAATATATTATATATTAAAGCCTTATATTATTTTTAAGAATGTAAGTAATTAATTTGTCGTCATTAAAACTTGCTAAAACGAGTACTTCTACTATAACTATTTTTTACAGGCCTTAACTTTATTTTAACAGCTGTTTAAAATTGACAAAATTAATTTTTAAATTTTTATTTAGTTTCTTATTATAAAAAACTTATACATATTTTTATAAACACAAAAATTTCAAGTTTTCATAATAAATTATCTTTAATTTCTAATTGAATATATATATATATATATAGATGTAAAAAGGAGATCAGAAGATCCACCTAAAGGGTTTTTAAAAATTATTACGGGATCTGGCCGGCATAGCTCGACGGGCATAAGCAAAGTTAAGAAGGCTCTGGAAATCTTTTTGAAAAAGAACAACTTTTCTTACAGGAAACTTACAGATGGAACTTTAGAGCTGAAAATTTAATTTTTACCAAATAAGATAGTAGAAAAGAGGAACCAATATTTTAAATATTTTTTAAGTAGGATTTGATTAAAAAAATTAATTAGTAATTTGAATAATATTTGCACGCTTTACAGCGTAGTAATGTTTTCTTTATAAATATTTCACGTAAATTAAGGTAAAGTATAAAATTTTCACTCTTTATTGCTTAATAATGCTTAATAAAAATAAAATTTACGAAATTAATTAAATGGTTATTATTTGCACATCTTACTGCAAGATAATTTAATAAACCCCACATATTTCAAATTTAATTAAAAAATACAATAGTAAAGGATATTTATCGCTTGCTTTATTACTTTCAAAATGTTTTAAAAACTTGATCAAAATTAAAAAATTTTAAATAGCTTCCTTTTGGCAATTTAATTTCTGCAGTGAATTTATACTTAAGTGTCAATGATAGTTCCTTTAGCTCCTCTATTTGATAATTACTAGTATATAGTTTGTTCCACAGAGAATCCCACTTAAGAACCTTTTTCACTACTAAAGATAATGCGTGCAAAAAGCGTAGTTGTAAATTACATAAAGTTAGCATGAACAATACAAAACGAAAAGCATACACTAATTCTAGTCAGATTTTATTAAAAAGTTGGTTCTTAACTACGCCAAGTAGAAATAGATATTTTTTTATTGATTAAATTAAGATGTGCACTATAAGGAGGCTGCTTGCTTACACCGCGACAAGTCTTATTCCGAAAAAGAGCAAGAAAATTTAGAAACTAGAGTTATCAATATATTTTACATCCACAAAAAAAAGGTATATTTTAATTTTTTCTTTAAGCCTACCCTATAAGTGACCACATGTTAGTTTTTTTAAATAAAATTACAAGCTATACTTATATTTTAACCTTCTTTAAAGGTTTTTGAGTTTGGCAACCAGTTCTAACTATTTTATAAGTTTTATTCTACTAAAGATCTATTATAAATATATATCTTTATAAAGTTGTATAATTAATTTCGTCATTGAATATTGAAAAATTAGTATACCATCAAGAACAGTACAAAATTGGATCAGTACTTCAAATTAATTTACTTTTTCTACTAACAAAAAAAGTCCAAAATTTTAAAAAACCTTTTATTTAATGCATTTTGGTGATTTCCTGAAGCAAATAATTTGCTTCAGATTTATAATCCAACGATCGAACGCTTTGAAGTCCGCAACGAATTCGCAATTCTTGTTGGAAATTATCTGCTTTTGCTCGAAGCCGCATCAAAAAAGGTTTGAATTTGAGATTTTCAAACTTACGATTATAAGCGCTTTCGTCATTCTTAATAAAAAAGTAAATTTAAAAATTATACAATATTAATAAAATATTGAAAAAAAAAAAATTAAAAAAAGAAATTATTTCGTATAAAATAAAATTTGGTAACACTTTTCGTTGTCAATTTAATCTAGTAAAATTTAATAGCGCGTTTCGTGCTAAAAGGAAATATTAAAATTTGAGTTACTATTATATAATTAATAAAAATAATAATTTTTTAATTTTTAATGCAAATTATAATTTAAAATTTTTAAGGATTACTACTTTAATAATTACTCTTTTTGAAATTAAAAAGAATAATTTATAAATACTATTAAAATCTCTATTATAATCTCATTTACTTTAAAATTTATACAGTTATTATAAATTATTATTCTATTAAAAAATAAAAGTTTAAAATAATATTTTCAAATTTATAATAAATTTTTTTTAAGGAATATGTATAATATAATTAAAATTATTTAAAAAAGAATTAGTTTTCCAAACAAAATATAATAAAAGTTACTTTTAATTATTAATAAATAACTTTTATTTCTATTATATTATTATTACTTTTTATTTATGTACTAATTTTAAATATTCTGAGATTACTACTATAAAATATAATTACTATTAAAATTAATCTCATCCAATTCAGATTTATAACTTCTTTTAATTTTTTATAAAAATAAAAATTATAAGTTATTTTTTACAAGTAAATAACTTTTTTATTTATTATATTATTACAATACTTACTATTATAAGATTCTATAGTTTATAAATATTTTTATGTCAACTTTTTAATAAATATTTATATTTATTATTGATCATTATTATGGTTATTTATATATTTTTTTTAAAAATCAAAAATTATTTATTAATTTTTTATAAATATTTAATTAACATTATTAAACTAGTAGAAATGAAAATTTCTTATAAAAGATTTAAATTTCCAAATTATTTTTTACTTATTATTATTTACATTTAAAAAAATTATCAAAATATTAATATATAAAAATTTATAATTTAAAAATAATTTTCTTCCAAATTTAAAATTTTAAGATTATTATATATGTTAAACTTATAAATTTAAATTACTTTATAAAAGACAAGAAATTAAAATCCAATATTATATTTTATATTTTTAATTTTCAGAAAGTATAATAAAATTTAATTTAAACTTATTAAACTTATAATAATATAAACTACTTAGAAAGACTTTAATTATTATCCAAATAATTTTTTACAAGTTAAATAATTATTTAATTTAAAATAAGATAACTTTTAAAATTATAATTATAAAAGAATTATATTTCAAAATTATTTTTACAAATTTTATTTTCTAAAATTCTTATTTAAATTAAACTTATAAAACTTAAAGTATTTATAATTATATTAAATTTCAAAATTATATATTAAATGCTCAACTTCTGAAATCATTATTTAATTGAAACTTATAAAAATTATGGAACTTATAAAATTTATAATTGCTATAGGAAACTTGAAATTCAACATTATTTTTTATTCATCATTATTACTCTCAAATAATTTATACTTATACAATTAAATAATTTTTGTGGAGATTTTGAAATGGAAACTTATATTTGCTTATCTTAAAAGTCCGAAAGTATAATTACTTAATTTAGATTTATAAAACTATATAATTTACAATTAACTATAAGAATTTAAATTTTAGAATATTTATAAAAAAATTTGATTTCCTGTAATTAATATTGATACTAATATTATTAAATTTATTATTATTATTTACTTCTAGAAGCTCATCCATTTCATCTGGAGTGGCCTCAAGAAGATGCGCAGCCAAATCGCTAAACGCCACGGCCCACGTCTTCCCGCTCGCATCGACTATACATACTTGAAGCATTAAACTTTATTATTGATGAAAAAAATTTAGTTAAAAAAAATTATTTTTTTCCCTCAAAAAATATAATTAAAATTTTAACAAAAAAAAAGTTTACCAGAAAAACAACTTTAGTGTATTAAAATAAAAAAAAAAGGGGGGAGGGGGGGGAGAAGGTTAGAAATTTATAATAAAGTTTCTTTAATTTCTAGTCTTTAAAAAATTTCGAAGGTAATTTTTTTTTAATTAGTTAATCTTTAAATTAAAAAAATATATAATACTATAAGATATATATAATATTTAGAATTTTTCAAATAATTATAAATATAATTTATTATAAAACTATAAAAAGTGAAATTTTATAAATTTAATTTTTTAAATTTAAAAAAGAGTAATAATATACTAATAAACAATAATTAAATTAAATAATTATATATAAAACTGTAATAGTAAATTTTTTATAATTTAAAACTTTATAAATTTTTTTACTAGTAACTATATAAACCTTTTATATTTTACATATTATTATTTTTAATATTTTTAGTTTTATTTAATGAAAAATAATATATTTATTAATAATATTTAAAGCTTTTAATATAAAACTTGATAAAAAAAAGTTTATAATTGAAATTTTATAAATTTAAAAAAAATCCAAGTTTTTTTAATATATAATAATTAACATTATAATAATAACCGGTTTATGCACTGATCAAAAGTTTCTTGACACTTTTCACAATAATACTGTCCGTTATGTTCTTTATAAAAAAAAGTTTTTAATATAAAAAAAAAAACTAAATAACGATAAAAAGCAACTTTTTTATATATAAAAATATATTTAATAATAATAAATTTTAATATAAAAAACATGAATAGTTTTACTTTTTCATAATAAAATGTACAATCAATAAAAAGTTGGTATCTACCATTAGTTAAAAAAAATATATAAATTGTTACTAGTATTACTCTTATATATATGCGTACTTAATTATTATTATTATTATAAACTAATGAATATTGAACTTCTGCTTGCTTTAAGGCTGTAGTTAGCATATTTTAAAGTTATTATTTATAGTAGCGAAGGAAAAAGTTAATACTGTTACTCTTCAAACTTGTTAACTAAACCAGTCGCTCGTGAAGCCAACTTGCTATAGAAAAGAAGATTACGAACCAAATGACTAAAAAATTCTTTATATTTAATGATTTATAACTTTATTGGTGGGAAAGTACGCCTAGAAAAAGAAAGTCAGAAAATTTAATAACTCCAAAAAAAAAATTGGGAGCGCCGCACACGTGCATTAGGGTTAAATAAGGAGCCAGCCCATATACTAATGAATAGCACTATTACAGGTGGTCAACCGTCCGCAAAAGCTTTCACTCTCTTGAATGTGATTTTACTGACGTTTATTAGCCTTAAATATTAAATAATTTCATATATTATATAGACAAACACATAATATAATGAAGCTATGAAACTCTTTTATTTCTAAATTTCTTATTTTTTGTATTCTTAAAAGAAGTTGATATGAGCATAATTCCCGTGATAAAAAAATTATAAGCAAGGTAAAAAAATAATGATTCTCACCAAAAGGAGTAATTCTCATTAGCAAAACAGAAATAATAAAGGTCCATATTATGAAAAATATGATAATACCGCTACAAAGAATTTTATTTAATATTAACTACTTTTTCTAAACAAAATAAATAAAAAAGTATAATATCAATTTAAAAAAAAAGAATAAAATAATATAATAAAAGTAAAGTAAAACTGTATAAACTCAATAATAATAATAAATGAAAAAGTGATGAAAAGTATTATCAAAGTTATAAAGAAATGAAAGTTTTATTATTAATAAAATATAATATTTTTAAAATATTTGAAAAATTAAAAAAATAATATTAATAGCACTAGAAACTTTATTACATTTATTTATTTTTTTTAAGCCTCTCATGTTTTAATATAACAGGAAACTCATATTTAGAATTATTATTTTTAAAAACTTTTGATATTAATTTACATTTATTTTTTTAAAGCAATTCATATTTTATTATTATAATTAAACTTTCAATATTTATTTGCCTCATAATTTATTTATTATTTTAAGCGATTCATATCATTATTAAAACTTTACTAAAGAATTTCCCAACTATTACTGTCATAATGTTACCTCTATTTTTTGTAAGCGACTGGTATTTTATTATTATTATTATTAAAATTTTAATATATATATATATATATCTTAATTCTTATATTAAAACTTTACTATAATATTTATATTATAATTTACTAAAACTTTTATAAATTAATATTAAAATTTATTAATATTCATTAAAAGTAAACCTTCTTATAACTAAGTATTATATTTTAACATTACTTCTTCATTTTTTATAGTCGACTCACTATTTATTATCGAAATTTAAATATTTATTTATTTATATAATCGGCTTGAACTTTTATTGTTAACTTTACTATATAAATTTATTAGTTTTATTAACTTCTTTTTTTTTTATTATATTATCAAAATTTTTCATAATTATTTAATTTATTATTTATTTGTATTAATATATTAATAATTATTATATATATTCATAATTATATCTTTCTATTTATTAAAAATAGAAATTTTTTATTAACATTTATGATTAAAACTTTTCAAAAGTTTATCATAACTTATTATATCTCTCTATTTATAATAAAGTAAATTTACTTTTTATTAACTTTCATTTATTATAAAAAAAATTATTGATATATATAATAATAGTTTTACTGTTTCGGTATAACTTTTTATTATTTATTATAGAAGACTTTAATGTTTATATAATAATATAATGAAGTAAACAACAAGAATAAAGTTTCTCTTTTAACTATAAAAGCTTGAATATTTACAAACTTCTTACTTCATATGAAGACAAATATAGTTCTACTTATTTATATTTACTAATTAATTTTTATTATATTAAAAAAAATGCTAATGGTAATAAGAAAAATTAAAAAAATATTTCTACGTATTTATAATATTTATTGTAAGAGAAGTAAAAGTTTTGTAATAATATGAAAATAATAGATACTTCCCTTAAATTTATTTGTGCTCCAAATATTTTTATTATTATTTTTATATATCCAAAACTTCATTATTTATTTTATTATATAAACATTTACTTTGTAAAAAATTCTAAGTTATAAAACTAATAAAAAGTATAAAATACTAAAAATACCATTTAACTTTTTATTGCAGCCATCACGTGGGCAGGCCTTGTAAAGTACTCGATCCTTTTTAGCAAGCGTGATATATCCACGTGTTACAAAAAAAACAGGCTGACCACATATGTTTATTAAGTAGATATAAAAACTATTATCTTTTTAATAATAAAATAATAAATTTTACGGAATCCTGAAACTCCTTAGGCGGCGCAGTTCTCAAGTAAGACAGTGGCTTGCGTGGATCTGTCCATGAACGCTCATTGGTTGGGGCTCCAACGCCAGAAAGAGATTGGGCGTGCGTAGCATATCCAATAGAGTCGTACCTTGCATAGCCAATAATAAATACCGATATTAAGAAAAAAAAAGTTTTAATAAAAAGTATAAGTTCAAATCAGCATAAAATTTTATGAATAAAAGCTTTATATAATATAACTATATATATAAATAATATATCTACTGCTAAACTTTCACAGTAATACCTCTATAAAAAATTTTATTAAAATGTAATTAGTTAATCATTCCGCTCTTAAGTAGTCAAGCTTAAAAATAATTTTTAAGAACGCATGGAAAACTTTCATTTCGTTAATAACCAAAATATTTAAACTTATTGTAGTAATGCACAGGAGTTAAAGCAATCGAATTGGATATATCTAAACCAACGGCAAACAATTCATACGCTGTTTAAGGAGTTACTAGTAGAAAAGTTCCCTGCAGCACTTGCATACTTAGTGAAACTAATATAAAGGGATAAACCAATAATATTGCAATAAAACGACACCTATTTTTGAGTGTCAGGCAGAAGACGCACATGGGTGGCCCTAAAACTCTACCATTAAAATGCTAAGGTTAAAAGGCATGCAAATGTTATTGGTGATTGCCTTCAAAACAGCGCAAAAAGAGCATATTATCACGTGCTCGCATTGGCATGTGCCGCCCCTTTTTCTTCCGTTTATTTTAATAAATTTGTGTACCGTAAACCGCCATCAAAATAGCAACGGGGAGGAGTAGTTAGCAAAACGCACTACTATTGGTGCAATATTTTATAAGAGAAAACGTAGAATGGTGTACGACTATAGACCATCCGCGCAGGCGATGCGCCTCTTTAACATCCGGATTGATGGTTATTATGCTGCTCATTTGCGCTGATAAATTCTTTCCTAAAAATAATAATAGTAGTTAGCATAAAGGAAAAAAAAAAATAAAAAAATATAAAAAACTTTAAAACTTTCTCCTGATAAAAATTATAATTCTAAACTGTATAAAAAGTATTTGTTAAAGTAACAAAAGAATAATAATGATAATAAATATATGAGTTATTTATATAAGAACTTTATATCTTTTTTATTATACTTTATTATTAATGAAATAATACTTTATAACTTTTTTATTTACTTTATTATTAGTGTAGTAACACTTTAAAACATACTAAACAAAAACTTTTGCAAAAAGTTAAATAAATATTTATAAAAAGCAAACGATACAAACATTATTATAAAGTTTGCTAATAATAAGTGTATCTAAAATACTAAAAAAAAATGTAAATTACCAGTAAATATACGTTTTATTATGCTGCAAGCCCCAACAAGATATTTAATATTTCATTATAAAAAAAATGTATAACGGGAATAAGAAAGTTTTTACTGGACTAAGCATCATATTTAACAAATCGTTAACAACTATATCTCGAGATAGACGCCCGCATGGGGCCCGGCGCCTCCGACAATAGTGGAGGTGCTAAAAAAAGAAATTCTGTATATATAGAAAACCGCCATAGTCCCCAACACGCGCTCCTTTGACGCAAAGCACTGGAGCTTCGGCAGCGGGAACAGTAAAGTTCTACAGATAAAAGTATTTTTTTCCTTTTTTATTATAAACTTTGTCAAAAAAATTATAGACATTCTATTATTATATTATATTTATAATTATTTTTATTATTTAATACATAATGAACTTATTTATGGTTAAAAAAAATTATTATCTAACATTTATTTTATATTTTCAAACACAATATGAATATTTATAATCGATATAAAACTATATATTAAATATAAACTTTTAATATATATCAATACAAAAATTAATATTTTATATTAATACATTATAAAATATTTATTTATGTATTATTTTTAAAAACCTAAAACGAAAAAATATTTTTAAAAAAAGATATCGAACTATTATAGAAGTATATTTAAGCATTAGTATAATTATTAATATTATATCAATATACAAGTACGACAATTTTGTTATAAATAATAACAAAAGAAAATAATTTTACTTTTAGAATATATAAAAATAAAAGTCATTCGATTATATGAAGATCAAAAAAATAAAATATAAAAATCATTAAATTTAATGAAATACAAAAACAAAAAATTTTGAAATAATAATCAATAAATTTTATGAAAAAAAAATTATTCTTTTATAAAAATTAATATTTTTTAATAAAAAAGTATTTTATACTGAAAGAATAAATAATATTATATCGCATTGTATTACATAAAATGCATATTTTACTTTTTTTACTTTTTAATAACAAAGTATTATTTATATATCGAATTTTATTACATAAAATTTATATTTTATTTTTTTTCACTTTTTCATAACAAACTATTATTTATATATTCTTATATATAAATATATAAAAATAATACTAAGAAATAAAAATTTTCGTTATGAAAACTAATAAAAAATATTTTATACAATAGTAATAAAAAAGTTCATATATTTTTTTTTTTACTTTTTATTTACGAAATAATATTTGTATTTTTTGGTATGTATAAAAAAAATACAAATAATAAGAATTAAAAGAAATCCTTTATTAATCAATATATACTCTTATAATTATTCTATTTTACTTTTTATTAATAACGAAATAATATTTATATGTTTATATATATATAAATACAAATATATTATAAAATAAATTTTTTTTATTAAAACAATAAATAATCATTTTTATTACTTACGGATAATAAGAATACTTTACTATTATTCATTTTTACTTTTCAATATTAAAGAAATAATACTTTCATATTTATAAGGAAAATAATATTTTTTATAATAATTTTTACTTTATACTAAATAATACTATTTTGTAGTGTTTATATATAAAAAAAAGATAAATAGATTTTTTTACCTTTTTTAATAAAAATTTTATATTAATATATTTATATATATACAAAAGAGTACTACTAATAAGCACTTTTCTTTACTTAATAACAAAATAGTTTTATTTTTTTAAAAAGTTATTCTAATAAAAATATTTAAGAATTGTAATATTTATATTTTATAAATATAACAATAATATACTCATTACATATAAATATTATAGTTTCATATAATACTATTAATGTTAACAATCGTAAATATCTTATACTTATCATTATTTATACTTCATAAGTATTATTGCAATTATAAATTTATGATTTCTATTATTTCTAGACTTTCTATTACTTTTTGCATAATTATTATTATTGCTTTATATTATTTTTAATAATGAATAGAGCAATAATAATATTTTATTATTATTATATATAAAGTACTTATTATTTTTAATGAATATTTATATTATAAATTAGTATATTTATAAAACTTCCTATTATTTTGTGTAATATAGCAATACTAATAATATATATAATTATTATCATATATAACAATTAAAGCAACACTAATAATAATTATTATTAGTATTATTTTACTAACATTCATTAATAAAATGATATTTTTTGATCATTAAAATTACTGCACCTCCGCATTTTCGCCCCACAAAGTTAAAGAAATTTCAGTTTGAGAGTCGTCCACAATTGTTAATGATCTTTTTGAAAGCTATTGTAACAATTATACTTATTTATAAAACTTTTAATAAAAGTTGTTATGAAATATAATAACTCTAAAAACTCTAAAAAATATACAACTTTACTAGTACTACTAATAATAATAACTCGCTTTCCAGTTTTAGTATGAACCGCTGAGAGATCGCCGACTTCCTTAACGATTCCAATAACGTCTTAAAGAAAAAGTTTTATTTTTATTACATTTTTAAAACTTTATAAATACTTTTATTATAATAATAATAATAAATGACAACTTTATTATTTACATTTTAAAAAAAAAAACTTTTCATAAAATTTTTAGTCTTATTTTTATATGAAAACAAAATAGTAACTTCGCTGTTTACTTATTTGTACAATTAAAATATATTTTTAATACTTTTTTTAATACTTTTTTTTTCCCTTTTGACGAGTATTAAAAGTTTTTTTTATTGGAATATTTATTTTTATTATTTTCACTTTTATTTTTGTTTGATAATTATTATTTTATTATTAATAAAACTTATAATATATTAAACTTATAATTACTATCAATGAAATTTTATAATTTATAATATTTATATTCATTATTTTTTATATATTATTTCATTATTATTATCACTTTATTATCAATAAAAGTTTATTTTTCTTACTTATTTTATTATTTTATTGATAAAAGTTATTATATTATAATGCTATTATACTATGATTACTATATTTGCATTCTCACTTTTACTTTATTATTTTCATTATAATCACTTTATTAATAAAGTTTATGTATAGCGTTATATTTTTTAAAAAGTGATAACTTTATTATTTTTTAACTCAATATAATTTTTTTTTAAAACTTTTCAAAAAACTTTTATTATTATAAACTTCATGATCAAAAATTTTTAAACAGTTTTATAATAAATTAGTAATTAATTATAATTACTATAAATATTTTTTATAACTATTATAAATTTTACTTTTTTTATTAAAAAAACAAAACTTTTAAAGTTATTATTACACTAAAAAAAAAAAAGGGGGGGGGGGGAAATTACCCAATAGGGAATCTTTAGGGGCCTTTTCGATTTCGCTAATTGGCAGAAAATTCATATGCAGACGAGGGACCGATTCAGTATTTTCCTTGCACTCTTGGCACTGAACAGTTGGGCCAAAAGTAATTTCATATTCATTTTTAATGGTAGAAAACTGCTTATTGGCCAGTTTCACAGTCCCGTTAGAAAAATAATAAACCTAAAAAAAAGTTAGCAAAATTTTTTTTTTAAAAATAATTATTTAAAATATAATATTTAAAAATGCAACGTTTAGAAAATAATCTATATAAAACGATATGTAAAAAAAGAATACTTTTTTATAAATATTTATTATAAATAATTAAAAAAAGTTTATTATTTTATATATTATCATAAAAACTTTATTCAATTCCAGCAAATCAGAAAGTTTTTCTGCAACTTCACCAAACGCAGTACATCGAATCTCACCCTTTTATATATATAAAAAATAATAAATATAAAAAAATAAAAAAATATTATAAGTTAGGCTTTCTTTATACTTCAAAAAAGTTTTAAAGTATATAAAAATTATATATTTGCTGATAAAAAAGTTTCAAGAAAATTAATTAAAAGTTTTAACTTTCTTTATTTACTTCAATAAAAGTTTTAAAACTTACAATAAAAAGTTTAGACTTTATTTATTTACTTTCATAAAAGTTTGCAAAATATAAAAAAGTAAGTACTTTTGAAAAGTTTAGAAAAAAGATATTAAAAAGTTAAAACTTTCTATATTTACTTTATTAAAGTTATAAATATTAACAGTCAAAAAAAACTACAACTATAATATTTCTTACCGACTCGTCTGTCAAGTCAAAGGAAATAAGTTTTCCTTCGCCTTTTGCATTTGTATAATGCCTGAAAAGAATAATAATAATAACTAGAGATAATATAATTATATAATAATAATTATGAAGATAAAAATAATAAATCATTAAAAGTTTATTTTAAAATAATAATAATTATCAATGATAAAAATACATAACAAAAATTATAAAAAGGATAAAAAATATTAATTTATTAATAAAAGTTTTATTATAAGTAAATTTATGTATTTTATTGTGATTATTAACAAACTTCACAACTAAACATTAAAATTTTTTTATTATTATAATAGAAAAGTATAAATATAATAACCCTTTAAAAATAATATTTGTAAATAAATTATAAATTTAATGAACCAATCAATTGAAAAATAAATTTAGTTTTTATCCAATCAGTGACGAAAAAATAAGCCAATAATATAAAGAAAAGTTATTTATAATAGATATAATGAAGGAAGCAATATATATAATATATAAAAAATATAAAAGTAGACTTAAAAATAATAATTTTGACAGAAAACGTAAATATATATAAAAATCTTTAATATTATCATAATTATAGAAAAAATAAAAATATGAATAAGATTAACTAAATTTTTATTATATTATTTATTTTTAGTAACAAAAAAAATTTACTTTTTTTAATTTTACTTATTATTATTTAATAAAAAAACATTAAAAAAATTTTGTAAAATACTAAAGCAAAAAAAAAGTAACTGCTTTTATATTGATATTCATAATAATTATTAATAATAAAAAATAATATAATAAAAAACTATTAAAAAATACTTATATAATTTTTATCAAAAAAATTATTTTTATTTTTAACAATAACTTTTGAATTATTTTAGTAGTATAAAAGATAAATATACAAATAATAATCGTCCAAAAAAGTATAATACCATAAACTTGTAAAATAAAGGTATTAATAAAAATAATTTTTTTATATTATAAAAACTTTTTTTGGAATCAACATGTAAATTTTTAAAAAAAAAAAAAAAAGAAACAATTTTATATAATAAAGTCTAGAATAATATTAACATAAAAAAAGAAAACCTGATTTGAGGTTTGTTGGTAACACGTGCTTTAATAGTCCACCGCGATTGGTAGGGATTAATAGCCGATATTGGAACGACTTTTCCCGACAGCAGCAGAGAAGCGCGCTTTTCGGGGGGTTCTACATTGCTTTTACTTTCATTATTTTTATTGATCACATTGATGTTGGATGAAAGCATGCGCGGCGCGGAAGCCGTGTTGGGCGCGGGATGCTCCCGTGAGGTTTCGATATCGACTGGACAGCCAATCGTGTCTCGCTCAACTCCTATAAATTGGAGTTCCAGTACAAAAATAATTCTGAAAATTTAAAAAAAAAATTAATTGACAAGTTTTTAAAGAAATTAAAATACTTAAAATTTTTAATAATTTTTTTAATAATAAAAAATATATTTATAACAAAAAAAAAGTTCCAGTAAAAAAAAATCTAAAAATTAATATATATTTTTTATAATGAATATCTGAAGGTAAAAATATTATCCTACACGAAAAAAAAAAATAAAGATATTGATAATATTTATTAATTATTTTATAAATAAATATATATGTATAAATAGAAATAAATTCATAGTAGTAAAAATATGTCGAAAGCTAACTGTTTTTTACCTAACATATATAAAAACTATTAAAATATTATAATAATAATGAAAATAAAGCAAGCAGGTTAGACTATGCATAAACAGGCTGTAAAATAATAATAGAAAAAGTAAACAAGCTAAAAAGTATAAAGTTTATAATAATAATAATATTTGTAAGAAAAGTTTATGAGATTTAAAGTTTGAGATATACTTTTCACTAGCATTAAAAAAGGTAAATATTTTTAATAAAAATAACTAAAAAACAAAAAATAATATAAGAACTTAGAAATATGTAAAATAATATTAATAATTTATAAGCACAATCAATACAAAGATTAATTTCAGTAGATTTCATATAAAAAATAATAAAATGCCTAAAGTTTATATAAAAATTCCTTTTACTAAAATTTAATAAAAAAATTAATATTTTTTATAAAATAACTTAAAAATAATAATTATAATATTTTCATATAAAAATTTAAAAAATATAAAAATATTAATATTCACAATTAAAATCAATAAACAAATTAGAAAAATCTAAATATATTTTATATTAAAAAACATAAAATGTACAAAGTTTATATAAAAAATTCCTTCTTATTTGAAATTTTTAATAAAAAATAAATTAAATATAATAATAAATAAAATTTTAGAAAGTATTATAAATATTAATAAATTAGAATTTATATAAAAAGTTAGAAAATATAAAGAATATAAATAAAATATTTATAAGTGATAATAAATATTATATATACCAAAAATTAATTTAAAAAGATTTTTTATTTAAAAGTAAAATCTATTAAATAACTTATACAGTATAATATATTTTCTTAGTGATAAAGTTAAATAAATGTATATATATAATATTTATAAACTTAACAATATTAAAATAAAATAAAAATAAATAAATATAAGATTTCATGTGGAAAAGAATTCATTTTTGTATAAAAAAGTTAAAAAAAAATTAGATTTTGTATAGAAAAAATAAAAAATGCAAAGTTTAAAAAATTTTAAAATATAATAATAATAAAATTTTTATTTTTATTTTTTTAATTTCTGCAAGCGTATGCATTATTTTTTAAAGTAAGCTATAAAGAGAAAAACAATTAAAAAAAATATAAAAAGTAATCAAAATTGAAAAAAGTTTTTTCAATTAGTATATTATTAGATTCTTTATAAAAATATATGCAAAATTTTTACTTTTTATTATTTTATTAATGAGAAAAAAATCTAATATAATATAAAAAGTAATTAAAATTTAAAGAAGTTATTTAATTTGGTTAATTAGATAAATAAAAAAAATAAAAATTAAGTACAGACTTTGACTTTTTATTTTAATTATAAATTAGAAAAAAATTTTAAGAAAAAAAATAAAGTATTCAAAAAATTTTTTTTGAATGATTTCAATATTTAATTAAATTAAATAAAAAAGTTGTATATACAATACTTTTACTTTTTATTACCATTCTAAACCCAATATATACATAAAAGTTATCAACAATTAAAAAAATCATTTTAATTCGTAAATTATAAAATTAAATGGAAAAAATTTAAATACAAACTTTTACTTTTTATTTTTATTTTAAATAAAAAAAATTCAAAAAAATATAAAAGGTAATCAAGTTACGTGAGTTACATAAATAAATAAATAAAAATACTTTTACTTTTTATTTTTATTATAATTAAACAAAAAAAATTCAAAAAATAAGTGATAAAAACTTAAAAAAGTTATTTCAATAAAACTTAGATAAAAAAAATAAACGCAATATAAAGTTAATAATGAAAATATAAGAAATAATAAAGTTAAAAATAAGAATTATAAGGTAATAAAAACTTAAACAAAAAAAATTTATATATAAAACTTTTACTTTATTTATAATATTTTTCACAAAAGTAGATATATTTATACTACTTAAATTACTTATTCGAAAAAGATAAAAAGGTTAAATATAATTAAAAAATAATAAGAAAAAATATATAAAAATTAAAACAGTAAAACATTCACTCTCAATTAGATTTTTACAAATGTTATAAATGTTATAAAATTTAATAATATATAACAAAATATTAATTTAGAATTAAAAATAATAATAATAAACGAATAGAAAATATAATAATATAAAATATTGGAAAAATTTATATATTGAAAAAAAATAATTATAATAATAATTTTACAAGAAATTAATAATTTAAAAAAAAAAATTTAAAAAAACATTTTAATTTATAATAACTATCAAACTTTTATATAATAAAACTTTTACTTCCTATTCTGGTAATTTCCGCAAGCGTAACGAGACAAGCAGATTACTGCATTTCTCTGAAATTGTGGAGATTCAGCAACACTCGAAAGCTGGACGGCAAGCATCGCTGTAGGAAATTAATTTGAAAATTGAATAAAAATACCTGATTTTTCTATAAATTATTTATATTCAAATTATTATATCAAAAATAATTTAACAAAAATAATGTAATTATAAATTAAATTTTCACTCAAAGTTTTTTCAAAAAATTATCAATTTATCTATAAATTACTTATATGCAAATTTTTATAACTAAAAAATAATTTAAGTAAATTTAATTTTTCACAATTTGTTTTTTTTTACAAATTTTTGGTTAAAAATAGTTTAATTATATATTACATTTCTCACATTTTAATTTTCTTTTAAAAAACTATTAAAAGTTCCTTTAGATTATTTATATTCAAATTTTTATAATTAAAAAATAGTTCAAGTAAATTTAAATTTATCACCTTTAAAGTTTTTTTAAAAAAAATATAAAAATCTTTACAAATTAAGTTAAATTCAAATTCTTATTTAAAAAATAATATTAGAAATTAGATTTTTCACAATTTACGTTTTTAAAAAAAATATTAATTTTTCTATATACTATTTATATTCAAATTTTTTAAATTAAAAACTAGTCTAAGTTGTGTTTTAAATTTTTCTATAAATTATTTTTTATACTCAAATTGTTTATTTTTAAAATAATCTAATTAAAAAATTTTTTATCATTTTTTGTTTTTTTCAAAAAAAGTAAAATTTCAATGTTATTTTATATTCAAATTTTTATAATAAAAAATTGGTTTTAATTATTATATACGTCCAATAACAAATCTCTTTAAAAAATCAAAAAAAAAGTAAGAATATTTTCTATAAATTATATAATAAAACATTCAAATATTTTAAATTCAAATTCTATTTATTTATAATTGTAGTTTAACTAAAAAATTAATTTCCTTACTTTTTCACTCTCTTTTTTCAAAACAAAATTTACTAATAAAAAATCACCGAATTGTTATCTACTTATGATAATTAGTACAGTTACATTTTCTTTAATTTATATAATAAATTTCCTGATATAATATTTTAAAATCAAATTTTTATTTATTTTATATATAAAGTTAAATTTAAAAAAAATTTCTTTGAAAAGATAATACAATAAAAAAATCAACGAAATTTTGAAAATATACAAGTTTCTTAAATTAAAATTTTTAAAAAAGAGTTAAAAACATTCAATATTTTTAAAAACTTATAAACAAAAATTAAAACAAACATAAGTTATATAAAAAATAATATAAAAAAATAAACAAATTTATGGCAATAAATTTTAATTTTCACTTAATTAAAACTTCCATAAAGAAATGTAGAATTATGGAAATTAAAATTACACAATTACCTGCTTGATAGTGCGTTCCATCGCTGATGGTTAAACGATAACGATCGCCTTGTTTAGTATTCTGATTTTGGCTCTGTAACTTTTTAATATTAATTATTTGTACAACGGGATTGACAACTTGCTCATCGTCTTGAATCGCCTACAAATTATAATTTAACTTATTTTAAATAAACCCTTATTTAAGTTACATACTTATAGATCCTGCAAATTAATAAAAATTACCCGTATACATCCGGAAGTAAGTTGCATTTTTAGTTCTACAAAGTTGTAATTTATAAGATATTTTATTAATAAAGTAGCAAAAAACAATATATATAACGAATTTCATAAATTCAACACGATTAAAAGCTGTAAAAACAGGTTTTTATTGTAAAAAGCTCTTGATAATCTTGTAAAAGTGCTTTTTATAATATAAAATATTAGTAAAGTAGCGTAGGGACGTTACAAAAGAATATCAAAATTGACAAGGTAAAAGTTGAGTTCATAATTTATAAGTAAAATAAATTCTTTAAATATAACTGTAATTCAAATATATAAGATTCAAATCCTATAATAAATATCTAAAAAATAACTCAAATATTATGGCTGGAATTTGTTAAATGTTAAATTTGATGTTAAACAGAATGGGAAAGAAAAGCTACGTTACAGTCAGTTTCTCAAACAGTTTACAGAGAAGCTATTTAAATGTCAAGAACTTATAATAATATAAGTAAATACTTACAAATTCTTCTTACTACCCTCCCTACTAGAATTTAAGTTGCTTACATATTTAAACACCGCGCACAACTTATAAACCGAAAGTCATTACCAATCAGAAGAATTAGCAAAATTTTACAGCACTCGAAGGCGCCCAGTTCGTACAATTAATTACACCTACATTTTTAATCCATGGCTTCCTTAACAAAACCAAGACGGTATCAACTAGAACGAATGCGCTTTGTTATTGCAGCTAAATAGTATACATCAATATAGCGGTACTGAAACTTATATATTTCATTATATGCATGCAATAGTATTTTCATAATTTTACTGTTGTCTTTATTGATATATACTATTTAGCTGTGATGATACAGCGTATCCGTTCTAGTTGATCGCATCATTGTTTGCTAAGGGGGTGTAAGCTCCGCACCTTTCACTAGAAGAGGGACAGTAGATTAAACAGCGCTTCCAGTAAGCCAGTGCTTTAAAAAAAAAAGAGCCCCATTGTGTAGCAAGATTACACACGGGGAAAATTTATCCATGGTACTCGTGCATATAAGGAGATATGATCGACAAAAACAGTTGAAATCAATAACGGTTTTCAGGTTATAGTAAATGAGCTATGAAAAAGTAACCCTCCTGACAGTGCCACCGCTACCAGGTGTTTGGGGATAGTGAAAATTTCAACTCTGCAAACCCGCGAAGTGTAAAAAGCGGTGAGGGCCACTTGACAGCCTAATGCCGCTAATCACGTGAAGTTCCTGCAACATGTGCAAATTGTAGAAGGTGCCCACTACCATCCTCACGACTGCAACTTCTATCTGCGAAAGCCAAGCAACGGTCAACTACTAAACACAGTCAGTACCCATCTCGTACCCCGCGGGCCCCTTACGCTTCCCACGCGAAACAAGGCCTCATCCAAACTCATTAAAATTTTTGACTCTTAAAGCTCCACCTCTAAAAAGACAGCTGGTTAGTCACATAAGAAACAATATTCACAGCCGACATTACAGCCACTTTTAGCGGTTTAAACGAGAATTCCGTCCACATGCTCGGACTGCGAAAAGATTAAAAGCTGTTCCCAATTTTTCTTAGACAGAGGACGCGCAATCACATTCGACTCCTATTTTGGGTTGCGAACGGTGTTCGGAGCGAGAAATGCGGTCTGCAGGAGTTGATGCAACGTTAAAGCATCTATTACTATCCTATATCTTTGCCAGTCTCTGCAGAGTATAGAGGCAGTGGGGATTCCCTATGCTTGGTTGCCCAGGGGCCCCGTCTGTGCTCCTCTCCTTCTAAGTTCCTTTGGAAGCTACTACCTCCCTCCGTTTAAAACGCCCTCCTTGTGATTACCCGTCTGGCCACATTCTGGAGGTCTACGCTGATGAGCGCTGACTGCGCATCCTCAACCCACAGCACAAGGACAGTCACAATGGACAAAGTGGGCGTCGTCCTACTAAAAGATATGTCTTTCGAGGGTGATCGATTCGCTATTGTGTACACCGAAGTTTATCACTCAGTCCTCTATTAACTGGACAAATTTTTTGACCTGAAAACCACGCTCCCACCGTGACCCCCAATGCTAACCACGGCCAGCCTGCAGAGTGATAATATTGCCTGCTTTGAAAGCGCGCTGATCCTGGCTTCCATGATCGCCACTCTAACATGTAAATTAATATACCGCTTCGATCTCTTGTCTAAAGAACTGTGCACAAACTCTTAATTTTCCTTATCCAAGTGGCCATGATGTCACGACAAAGCAAGCTGCTTTGCGTAATATAAAACGCGCCGTGGTTTGTTCGAATGAAGCCCTCCACCCATTGAACGTTATCTTTCAACTAGCCAGGCACACTAGTAGCTTTTCAGCGAGCGAGCTCACTTGCAAGTCATGGGACAAGGCACCTTTTTGTCGTCCACATGACGCGCATTCTGTGCTAGTTTTGTTTTAAAGGTGAAAAAAAAAGATGAAACCTTACCTCTCCATAAGACTAGAATAAGTTGTAACAGGTTATATAAGTAGATTTCTCATACAGTAGCTCAGCGGTTAAGAGCATTGAGGCCCAAACTCAAGGTAGTGGATTCGTTTTCACTGACGCGACACTCTTTTTCAGATTTTGATGGTCGCTTATTTAATTTCGTCCTCAAAAAATTTTAATTGATGGTCTGTGGTTACTCTTGGTAGAAAGATCGAGTATTCAAAGTTAATGACTCGTTCGAGCACCAGGAAAAGTTATCTATAAAAAAAAAAAATTAATTTATGATCCTCCATGCACCATTGTTTTAGTTATTAAAACTAAAAACTACTAATTTTATTTAAAATTTTTTGGAGTCATATCTATATTAAGATATATTGGAGACTAGTTTACGTTTTGTATTTAGCACTACCAAGTAGTTTTTAATATAAATTGTCAATCCTTTAGCCCTTTCATAGTAGAGTGTTTCATAATTATTTATTAAAGGAAAATGAACTTCTTAATTTACGTTTGCAGGAGCTGTGCGGTGTAAATCTGCCCTTCATGATATTTCTGATCTTCAGATTTTCAATTCAGTTATTAAAATTTTCCGCGTAGTTTATTATAACTTAGAAGAACCTTGCGTGCTCTCAATTTTTGGTTTTTCTCCGTTGTTGAGATTAGTGGAAAACTGTTAAGAAGCTTTAAATTTAATGTCTACCCCCGTAATATTACGTTTCATTCCAGTAAATAGTCTTAGTACAACCGACACGTAAAGAGAGTCTAAATTACCTTTCTACCTGTAATTTTAGGTCATTTGAATTGACTGTATTAAAGTTGGTTATTTAAAATTCTTTTTACTTTTAAGGCTGATAATGTAAAGTTGGTTAAAGGTGATCAAACCTGTAGAAGTCTTTAACAAAAATAAATTGACTTATATTTATATAACCCTTCCGTCAATTCTGCGCTATTTTAATTTTTTTTGGAGAAGTGGATACTGGCGGTGTAATAAGAGAGTAGTTAACAAAATTTACTATTAAATTATATATCTCAGAACTCTTAATATACAAAGCAAACTAAACCATTTTACTTATTTAAAAAAATATTTAATTTTTTTACCTAATCACTTTATACTTTATGCTCTTGTTCCCAAACTTAAAACAAGGTTGAGTTACCTCAACTTAAATTTTAAGCACTAGTAGCCTTATAAATCTATGGTCATCACAACGAGTTACTACAAAACTAATCAACCATATCTGGTAGACTTTTTTTCATTGTTGCTTTTATATATGCGTTCCACAATAGTTTTTCCTGTTAAACTTTAACTTCTTTGTAAGTTTGATTTCTGTAAATCTACAGTGGGGTGACTAATCTTGTTTACTAATATATAAAAAGTATCGAAGGGAGGGATCAACTTTGGATTCCCTACTAGCCTTTATCACAATTTTTTAAAGTTAATATATTATCCTACTTTTTTCTTTAGAGAAAAGTTTAGTTATAAACGTCTTACAAATCTTTAAAATCTTTGATATTAACCAGTAGGCGTAGTTTTTTTTATTTTTTTATATTGACTTAGTTAAAATATATATATCAATTAGCTTCATTTTTAAGCGAACGCAATAAAGAATTTTCTGAAACCCCTTTCGGGATTTTACTTAATATTTTCATCTTTTTGTAACTTATCAATTTTAATATATATATATATATAAACTTAAAATATTAAATCTTAAGGGAATCTCTTAAAAAATTAATTTTTCATATATAAAGATTTATTAAACCAAAATTTTTACTACTAATTTTATTTTCTAGAATAGTTTTCAAGTAAGTCTTTGTTGTGAGAATCCTTCCCTTCTTCTGCCAGCGTAAACTGGTCTTGTTCTATTATAGATCTCATAATAATCTTTTTACTGGACTCTTGTACCTCGCCAGATATTATAAGTTCATCTAAAATCCAATAAGCTCTTTAAAATAGTATTTTTAACAATACTGAGAAGTGTAAACTGAAAAATTTAAAGAATACTTGTGAAAATTGAAAATAATATCCAATTCGCAAACATTTCTAAAATAACGATCCAGCAGCTCAACAAAGTAATGAATAATATCTAAAGTGATTAATTCATTGTCCTCGTTTTCGATAGCAAAACAAAAATGTAAACTAGCATATCTATAAAATGTAAATTTAAAAATTATTAAAAAAGACGAGAAGAAAAGAGTTACCTTTTATAAACAATTTTATGGTCTTTGAATTCTAAGAAATTACTCATTTTTGGTTTTCGATTAAGTAGCAAAGTGGTGAGTTCTCTCATCCAACGCTTCTTTTCTTTCGCTGTATAGTCTCGATACCTTTAGAAAATATTGTATTGATGTTGTAAATAAGCCTAACTTTTTACTTGTTGCTAAGGCATAACACGTATTCAATACTATAAAGTAAGGAGAGTATAATTATTAACCATTTCTGTAATCTTATTTTTCCCACTCGGCTAAATAACAATATAAACTGAATCATTTCAAAGACAGCAATATAACAAAACGGACCGCGAACCCCCTCCAAAGTAGCTTAAAAGCTTTTATCTCTGCGTACAAATTGAGTTACCGCTTGTCATTTTTTGTATAAACTATATAATGACTTCACGATGGCTATAAAGCCTTTAATCTCTATTTGATAATTATATCAAACTATTTTACCAAATTTTTAAATATGTAAGATATACTTAAAAATAATTACTTGACCATATATATTATATATATAGCGGAGCGAAAATTTTTATAAACCTTAAATAATTTTAAAATTTGGCCTCGAATAATTACTAATTTTCAAAAAGGCCCGCATTTTCTTTTTCTAAGTCGTTGTAGCCAGTATATTGTGTCACGAATTAAAAATATCTTATATTTTTTAAAAACTTTGTCGTAAGTATAATTAAAAAAACTTGACGGATGACATCTAGAGTAAAGGGACAGTTCATTTCTATTACTTTTTCTTGTTGGTGAAATCACATCCTTTTTTATTTACTTTAAACGAACCACCAAAACTATATTTTGAAAATTTTTAGATGCGGTCGCAGCTATTGTTCTAAGGTGGTATGTATATAAAAACCGAAGAAATTATCTTTAGGTGGAATATTGAAAACAATTGCGGATTTCCTTAAAACTTGTCAACGTTTTACTTATAGTATTATTTTAAATAACTTTATTTCTATTTTATTTCTTTAAAAATATTCGGACAACAATTGTGTGATATCTACTTTTGGTAACACCTAAACTGGTTTCTAAAATGTTATTAGCAGCAAATATGAAGTACTTGAAATAATCCTTGTTAGTTTTTAAGGGAAGACCTAACAATAGTTTAAGTTTCTTTTGCTATCCTGTTAAAGTTATTTTAGAGCAACGCTTTTTAGATTTATGCTGTTAAGCATTTTTTACGTATACCATAGGACTTTAGTGAACATCTACAACAACTTACTAACCCAAACAACAAGCAATTTATTGTAATTGAAGGCTAATAAAAAACAACTTCTAGTTAACTATTCACACAGTTTTTAGGGATATTACTGTTATAATTCATGTAAATATTAGTTTTCCGCAGTGAGTTATTATCTAAAAGAACTTATTGCCTTTTGCTATAGAAAAGATTGACAACTAATTGGTGGGACAAGTTTGTAAAAGAATTAACTGTTTTTTTAAATGGAGTTAACTTTGAATCAAAGGACAGCGACTGACAACCAAACAGCCTATAATTTTGTTTTTTGGTAACTATATGTCAAACTTAGTCATAAAAATCGCCTGAGGAGCAGCAACAAGAAAGGATCTGCGTAAGTGAGTGTCAGATAGTTATTGGGCTCGTATTATAATACTCCTGTAATGCTCGAAATGATATCTAATAAGCCTACAGAAGCATATGTTAGAGAGTATTATGTTTTGCCATAGTGTTACTTTGTTTATTTAATTAAGCTTGGCTTCCGACTAAGATAAGACTATACTTTCACATCCTTTATGTACTTGATTGAAGGCGTTTTTAAAGGAATGCTGTGTCGCCGGTTAATGATACAGCCATTTCACTTCGCGACAGCAGCTAAGGAGCCCTCGTAGAAAGTACAGTTCGCGGTTTTCAATTTAAAAAAGCCACGTAAGCTCTTGTTCTGCACGAAGACCCCTTGTACAATCTGTGCAAATTAAGTGACTCATACGCTTTGCAACGTATTAAAATTATGAGAATTAGATTGAATACGTAGCTATCAGAGACCGAAATAAAAGGTCGCGTCGGTGGTTTCAAACCCCGACGAGAAGTATGCGAGTCTAGCACTTTAAATCTACGACGGCAACTTTTATCCTACTTTGCTGGTTTTACAAATTTAAAGTGTTACAACTTCCTTGAGTCGTTTTTATGCGGTCGTGTCTACGCATTCGCATCGGCACTACGCTGTTATTTGCCTCGCCAGTTTATTGCGTGAATTATACAGAGTCTGCTTTCACTACTGTTCCCGCTGTACATATTTGGCACCCCAAGCCCTGAAAACCAGTATACGCGCAACCCTTTTCTTGCTGAAGGATACACAATCTACGCTTCATCAAAGTTTATACGTCAGTCGATATTTAGAGACATCGCTAGCTAATGTCTACAATGGGCCGCACCGTATCCGCAAAGGTAAAGTTTAAAAGACGGTCGCTACTAGGTGGATCTGCGTGGTGGCTGAAAAAGAAAATTTAGTTAGAATTTTACTTTTAAAATACAAAAATGTAAAGGGTATAGTAAGTTCCACCTTATTTTCTTATTTTTAAGGTCATTATAGATCTGTAGAGGGACAAGGAAAAAATTTATAAACATTGTTTTCATAAATCTATTTTTTATAAAATATGAGAGGATGGAAACTAGGGTTAGTTAATCATTCATTTGGTCTTTATTTTTAAAATAATTTAGTTTAATCAAAACTTTGATGACACATAGAGTTACTAAGAAGAAAATCACATTTAGGCCTTAACTATATAAATTCCTATATAGTTTATAGTGCAACTAAAGTATTAATTACTAGCCTCTAAGCTCGACTGTAATAAGTGGTGGTAAGGCAATTAGTCAACTAGGCTTTACTAGTAGGATGTTTGCTTGATACTAATGAGCCTTTCTGCTTAATTTTATATGAACAAACTTATATATGTTAGTCATTAACGAGATCTCCATTAATAAATAAATTTTACAATAAAATTTTCGTGATAAGTACTACTGACTTTCTGTAGCAGTAGAGCTAAAACTAAACACAAAAGAAACTTAAGCCAGAAGCGCGCCCAACGATATAGTAGCCAAAGGAGTTCAGACTTAAAAGCTTTTGTGGAAGTTTCTAGTTTTGGCTCTTCATGTTACCCAATAAGTTCTTTGAATTAATTAAAAGAAAGTTTAGATGGCTAACGTTTCTGCATTCTTATATCAAGCTATAAGAGATATTTTATCAGTTTAACAGAATTTGGCAGCCTTAACTCAAGGTTTTATATGCTCAATAGAACAGGAATAGTTCATTTTAGCTCCGTTAATATATGTTTATATTGTATTTAATTTTTATTTTTATGTAAGCTGAAGATATTAAATGACTTTCAAAGTTTGTGTAATTGGCGCCGCTGGAGGCATCGGGCAACCGCTTTCTTTACTTCTGAAGAGAAACAATAATATAACTCAATTGTCTTTGTATGACGTTTCGCAATCTCTTAAAGGCGTTGCAATGGATTTATCTCATATTGATTCCCCTACACTAGTATCACTCTATTTTTTTTTTCATTAGAAGTTTTAACCTTACAACCTTGAATATAATTTAAGGTGAGTTATGATTGCGGCGAAGAAAGTAGTAGTATATACAAAGCTTTGCAAGGTGCCCGGATTGTCGTCATACTTGCAGGGTAGTGATAATATGTATACTTTTTAATTCATGATAGTAGTTAATGATTATTATAAGAGTTACACGTAAACCGGGAATGACGCGGGACGACATTTTTACCCTTAATGCCGGTATTATCCGAAAAGCAGCAGAAAATATAGCTAAGTATACACTTATTATGTTATTAATAAATTTATATATTCGAGCTAATATTTTTCTCTTAAAGAATAAGAGTGCGAAAAAAAAATAACTTTTCAACATATATAGTTTTTATCTAATTTTTTATTTAATAGTACCACCATGAAAGCGCGACCTACTAACTTTATATTGCACACACACATATGTATATTCATTATTAGAAGAAACTAGAGCACATTATCACTATTTGATTTTCTTTAGTTTACTTAGAATACCTTATTTAAAGTTTTTTTAATAAATTCTGCGAATTTTATCACCTATAAAACTTTAATAGCATACTTAATTACACCTTGCCTTATAAACTTTATAATATTAAGTAAATTCTCTTAAAACCACCTCATATATTTAAATGATAATAACAAGCCTTTCTATACTTATTATAAGTAATATTTATATTAATAAATTGGAGTAGTGCGTGCCCCGAAGCAATGTGCTGTATTGTGACGAACCCTGTGAATTCCCTCGTCCCCGTATTTATAGAAACATTAAAGAGTTTCAACATCTCGGGTTATACAAATTATCTATCTTAAAATAAACTTCTATAATTTATTCACCTGCAGAATGCGAAAGACGTGTTTTTGGCGTTACTAAACTTGATTGTTCCCGTGCTAATACATTTATTTCAGAAGAAAAAAATATTCCTGTACTTGCTATATATGAACTGTACTCTCCGTGATCTTCTATAATATTCCAATTTATTTTTGCTGGTATAAGTAATTTTAACTCTAGAATTATAAGCAAATTAAAATTTTTGGTTAATTTCAATTATTAATTAGTCTATTAATAGAAAATTATTTTATGTTAAAGTAAAAATTTATATAAAATGTATTAAACTTTTATAAGGCATTATTAATATTATAGAAAGGGAGGCTTAACCTGTTATATACTACTGATAAGATATAGTGATAGAACAATAAAACTTATTTGCAGCTATATTGTTAAAAATAGAGGTAGATTTTAGTAGCCTATACATGTTTAGTATGTTGAACTTTTTATAGACTTTAATAAAATAATTCTACTAAAATAATTCTACTAAATACAAAAGTTGGAGGGCTTCCAAGTGCCTATCGTAGGGGGTCACTCTGAAAAAACTATTGTTCCTCTGTTTTCAAAATTAACAAATTGCTCATTAACCCAAGAAGAGACTGATCGTTTGTTTAAGAAACTACGAAGCGCTGGTGTGTAAGTTGTAACAGAGTAAAAGTTAGATTATACCTATAGAATGCAGGTAGCGAAATCGTTGAAGCGAAGAAAGGACAAGGGAGCGCTACTTTATCAATAGCAGACGCAACAGCACGGTTTGTAGACTCAATTATTACGGCTTGTACAGGAAAAGAAGTCGAGGAATTTTGTTACGTCAAAACTAATCTTATAAAAGGTACTAATTGAACAAATATTATAATCAAAAAAGCCGTTTACTTATAAGTAACTATTAAATTTTTTTTAGGGGTGGACTACTTCGCTACACGGGTATCTTTAGGGCCTAAAGGTATTACAAAAATTCATGAACTGGGCTCCTTAAGCGAATATGAGGAAACAGCAATAAAAGACTGTGTAAAGGCTCTACAGCAAAATATAAACACTGCTTTAGAATATACGAGGATAGACAGACAAGATAAATAATTGTAATTAAAATCTTTATAACTTTTGTTGTATGAAGTATGTTCTTATCTACAACAGCAGTTTGTGTGATAATTATTTAAAAAAACATCCTATATATATAAAAATAAATTTTACCCTTGTAGTAATAATCTTTTGCTCTTATATCAACCCCTAAATTTTATCGTATTTTATAACCTTATTGATTCGTTTCGTATTGCTCCAGTCTTGGTGCAACTTGATGTTAATAACTTAGTCCATAGGCGTTAACAAAAGCTAATTTCTTGAAGAATAAATCAGAACGAGCAAACTTTTTAGATTACTAAGCAAGAATAAATACTTTTATAAACTAATTAGGTTTGAAATTTATTCACAAATAGTATTTCAAATGCTCGACCAGGTCAATAAATACCGAAATTTCGAGCTATTAAAAAAATATTAGCTTACAAATAAAATCATATAGTTTGAGTTAAAGCAAACTCATTTATATATTTATATCTACTTAACATACGCCAACCAATTTATAATTTTTTACTGCTTCATCTTTGGAATTTATGCAGAGTAGTTATAAATTGCTACTTATACCAATAGCAATATTTAATTACGCGAGAGTATAGCATAAAAATCTTACTAGGCTCGCACTAAAGATATTATTAACAAGGCCTTACCGTAAAGCAATCGTAACATAGACAGGGCAGCGGTGAACTTCAGCAACAGCTTATTTTGACTTTTAAAGTCAAAACTTGCTCTTTAAATAATATTATAGTGCCACGGTCATCCTTTTCACTTTACACGGTATTTAATCCATATTTTTTTTCCTTTATAGTTTCACACCCCAAAACATTTTGCCTAAGAACACTAAGAAAAGTTCGCTTCATTTAAAAACATTAATTTATTAGGCCTTTTTTTTAAGTTAGGAGGCGAATGGATACTTAATCTTCTTTTCGTTAATTATTAAGTTCATGTTCATTTAATAATCTTATTAACTGAAGTTTAAAGGGGTGCGTAAAGTAACGGAATTTAGAAAAAGAAAATAAAGTCATCTCTTCGGCAAAAAAGCGCTGTACTTGTTTCTTAAATGGCTGGAGTGTTCTTTTACACTCACGGGGAAAAGTATAGGAGAGACAGCAAGAAGCTTTCAAGTTTTATCCGCTTCATTCCACGTACGCCAAATAGAAATCGTGGCGTATAATTTTTTATATATATATATTATACTTTAGAAAAGTTACAATGATTTTAATGAGTGGTATATATAGTTCCCAATTATTCACTTATATATTTATTTATAAAGTGACATTTTATATGAAAGGTCGCAAAATCTGTAACTGCTTAACCTATCTTCCTTTCCTATTAAAGAGTAGGTGGTCTTTTTAATGACCAAGAGAAAAAAAAAAAAAAAAAACTAAAGATAATTGCAAAGGCATCTTTACGAACACCCACTGAGCATTCAGATATTTTACAAGCTTTTGTTTGACTAGTACGTGCCTCGGCCGCTTGTATTTAATATACCAACTGAGCTCGTACCTTAGCGCATCAACACCAGCACTTTATTGGTGTGTTGACTGTATCATTGAGACTGTTGTCAGCAGCTTATTGTAAGGACGTTTATAGGTTCCGATCGACAGTCTCGATGTAGCAGACTACTGCTCAAAAACTGAAGAGCATTAGTAATCATCGCAAGCATCTATTTTGAAATAACTGAACTCTTCTGAGGTTTTCCCTCCGAAGTACAAGCCCAAACTATTGAGGCATACAGCAATAGGATTGTATATACGCCGTGTAGAGAAGTTTGATATGTAGTGAAAGCCTGCTTGGGCGGCAGAGAAGGAAATACAAACTCGCCTTAGCAACATTCGCTTTCTTTGTGATATAACCCACATGAGCTTTCCAATTAAATTTGTTATCTATTATAACGCCCAGGTCTTGATATGAATCTACCACGAGTAATTTGGCTTACTAATAAAGTGACTTCCCTACTGTTGGAGATTCTTCAGCTCCTCGAGATAAGTAAGGCAATACTTTCTGACGAGTTTATACTCATTCTCCCTTTTTGTAACCAAGCTTCAAGATGGTAAGATAATTTTAAATCCGCCTGGTAGCCAAAAAGATGTGATTTGGAACTGCAATAAATGGCGAGGTTGCCAGCTTATTGAGCTTAAAAACTGTGCTCAGTTTGGGTATAATAAATACAAATGTTATGAACAGTAGGGGTGACAATAAAGATCCTTGTGGGATCCCGGTAGTTTGGCTCAATGAAATTGACTTCACCTCGCCTATTTTTGGCTAATAACTCTCCGATTGAGTAGAAACGAGTGGAAAAGTCTTATAAACGAAATAGAAATAATTAATTGGACCGTCCTGTACAGCAACCCGTAGGTCATACCTATTAAACAACGTTTCAACATCATAAATACGGCCACTATTAACTTTTTATTATTAAAGGCCTTAGTTAGGTGCTCAGAAAACCTTAAAAACTGCTTATAGCCGAATTAATCTTCGGTAAATATTTCTTTTTCAGGATTTTATGTAATCTCCTAAAGATAATCGATTCTGCCACTATTCAGAGGCACGACAAAAGACTGTGGGGGGATATTCCTCAACTAACTGGCAATTTCTTGCTATACTTTGAATTGAACACAAACTCTGCAAGGTTGCAGTAGTCCTGGAAAAATTGTAAAAAAGATAATGATTTGTAATGTACCTAAGACACTTTTTTGTAAGGTGCCTTAAAGTAGAGTTGGTGATGGAATCGGGCCCTGCAACCTTCTTGAAACTATTATTACAACAAATTTTTAGCACGCATTACGCAAAGTGATAATATGCGTCGTTACATAATTCGTTACTGAGCTCTTTGGCCAGTTATCCATTGGTGTGCTTGATAAGCCGTTCGTAGCTGCTGGCGAATGCGTTGCGTTAATAAACGGTAGCCAGGGGGCTAAGATTGGAGGTTCATTTCTATCATGACGTCTAGCAGCTTATTTTTCTCGCTTGATCTTTTACAAGACACGATTTCCGTGCGTTTGTTTAAATATTTATCAGTAATATTGACCCCAATATGATACTTCTGGGAACGCCATGATATTACCTTACTTATAAAGGCCAGCAACGGTGGCAGTGCAGGTTTTTTTTCGAGATAGAAATGGCTTTACTTTTTTTAGCTTTTATAGAAATTTCCACCGTACCCAGTTCGCGAGAGCGACTAATAGCACTGCAAATATTAAGGCAATAAGTCCGGCGACTTTGACGAAAAGTAGTATACTAACATATGCGCATAAGGCGACCAATTTGCGTGTTGTCGGCGGTGGCGCGTCACTCATATTTAGTGCAAAAATCAAGAGTGATAAAGGAGATCTTTTTAAGACTCCTTCACTGGTAATAGTTTTAGAGCAAGTATATATCGCTCATACATGGAAAGATGCGGTCGTCAAGGTAAGCTTTGAGCTCGTTAGACAAACAACCGAAAAATATATACTGAACACAACTTGTGAAGTGAAAACACTTGTTTCAAGCATAATCAATGCTCTTCCACCTTACATATGTAAAGTTTATGAAGACTACGAAGTTCCCAAACATGAAATTTTTAGTCTACGAATGTATCCATTAATAATAAGAAACTATAAATAGAAACCTATTTGTTATAAACGGTACGACACGATATATACACACAACCCCCGCTGACATCTGCCGAGCTATTTAGCTTTAAAGGCGGTTGCTCATATCTTTTGCTTAGCTGCTATGCGAATTGTAAATGGGCGTTGTGCTCTTAAGCGATTCTCTTTGTAAAAATAGCTTGTAGTAGGAGGACGAATAAATAATTGATTTATAAATCTTTTTTTTTAACACATCCCTCATGCTCAATGAATTTCTAAGTACAAGTTAAAAAAAAGGTAAAAAGGTAAAAATATACTTGTGGTAGTTGGAGGAGGCTTGGCTTACATTGATAAAAAAAAAGGTTAAAGTGACTATATAAACATTACTAAAATCGCTTTTTATGTACAATGAGCAAGATTCAGTTAAAAGAAAACTAAAAAATGGAATAGGCGGTAAAATTTGAACAAAGGGGATATGGCATTAAACCTTGACAAGGAAAAGTAAAGTACGGTATTAATAAAAATAATTTTTTACATAATCTTACAAAATCCAAGAAAGAAATCTTTCGGTTACACCACCCAAAGAAGCAAATTTAAAAAATCCGGCTTAGTTAAAATTACGATATAACTAAGTAAATACAACTAAAAGTCCCAAATAGGTCAGTTGTACAGTTTTTATTTTTGCCTGAAAATTCAAAATTTAACAAGCTTATTTGCCACATATTGCAAAAGTAGGTAGAATCACATTCTCTGAAATTAAGGCTCTTTATCCTAAATTAACCTGTTATAATTCGTTATATTTTCATAAAGTTAACCTTCTATTCAATATAAAAATCTTTATATAAAAATAAGTTTTTTAAAGTGAACACAGGCCCCATTTTTGATGTAGAAAATTTTACAGTTTACACTTCTAAGAAAAAGTTTGCGCCCCTCACATTGATGAAAAAAAACCTTTTTCTAAAAGAAGCCAGCAACCACGAGTTTTAATACTGAAGACTTTTTTTTATCGTGCCCTCCAGGAAAAGCGCATGTTCTTAGTACCACGACTAGCACAGATATTAAATTAATAAGAAATGGGAGCCTTCCCTTCAAAACTTCAGAGTAGCACTATACAAACTGAGCGCAGCTTAGAAGAAAATAATAAAAAGGACAAGAAGTGTAAACCTTGTTGCGCATGTCCCATTACAAGAAAAGCCAGAGACACTTGGTTTTTTAAGCAGAAAGCTGCTTTTCTTTTTAATTAAAAATGCTTACGGATAACACCGATTTTTTACTACTTTAATATTTATTTGAACCCTTTGTTATTAATACTTGCGAACAACGCTGCTTTTCTTTACTAATATAGATTTTATTTAACCACTGTAATATTAAATACTTGCAAAGAACGCTACTTTTCCTTAACCAATTAAGACGTATTTTGACTTATATATAAAACTTAAATTCAAGTACACTATCCATTTATAATATATATTTAGTTTGCTACTCGTGCTTTTTTATATCTAATTATTACTTTTTTGAAATTGTTTTTAGGTATCGTTTCCAACCTTTTTATATGCTTAATTATAATTTTTTTTTAACACGTAACTTTTTCTTTTGTTCCGATAAAAACCTTAATTATAAAATATTATTCATTTCTAAACAGTTTAATAGAAAAGGGAGAAGAAGAATGTAAATATCTAATTGAGGCTCACCGGCAATGCATGAAAGATCAGGGATTTGAAATTTAAAGATTTTTTTAAATAAAAATATTATAAAAACATTATATTAAAGATAATTAGAAGTTTATTAAATAGCTACTTTTTAATAAAAGAAAATTTTAGAAAGTTTTATCAAAATTTTTTATTTTTCCTTAAATCTTTTTTAGAAAAAGTGTTTTAATTTAGTTTAACGCTAAATTTTTTTAATTTTCTTCGACTTATATATTTTTCGATGTGAATTGAACTTTTAAACAGGAACACCAAAACAGAAACACTTTGAAACGTAAATTCCACTCCCTCCAAAATTTTCTGTCTACAGAGAAATTAAAATTATAATCTTTTTTTAACAAAAACCAAATATAATTTTGTAGTAAATATATATATTTAAAGTATAATGTTTGCTAGAAATTTCTTCTTTTGCAGTGTTTAAATGATCTTTAATAAATTTTTTAAGGTAAAAATTTTATAAGTAATTTACGTTAACGATTAAAAATTATATTTAAGGGATTTTTACTTTAAAATTTTTATATTTTCAAAATTTTTTTACAAATAAAATTTAATTTAGGATTGCTAAGCAGTATTAAAGATTTTTAATTGATAGAAAAGTACAATTTACTTATATTTTAGTGTTTTCTAGAAAAAGAAAAATTGTTTTACTGTCAATTTTTTGCACAACCAAGAATATAAAATTTTTTAAATTTAAAAATTTAGAAAATTATTTAGTGGCTGTCAAAAAAAGACTTATATATAATAAATTAATAAATTTAAAATTTTTTTAACTAATAAAGTTTTTTATTTTGCTTAAAAAAAACTTTTATGAAAGCGGTAGAAACTTCTATATCAAAAAAGTTTTTAAAAAATTAATTTTTTGACAAATTTTAATTCCTTTTTTTAAATAATAAATAAACATTTCCCAACGCTACTTAAGTTAACAGCATTCTGTAACTAAAAAACAGGTGCTCCTTCCAAACAAGAAAACTGCAACTAAAGTTAATACTTTAGTAAACCACTTCGAATTTTATAATTGCTTTAAAAAATCATCTCTTTAAATTCTGAAGTACGTTTTATAAAAGAAATTTTGTCGTAGCCAAAAACTCAAAAAATATTAAAAAAAAAGGAAGATTACTAGACAAGTACCTCTAAAAAATCCAAGAAATTTATAGAAAACAAAAGTAATTCAAACAAAAATTGAAACCAGCGATTCGAATTTTTTTAATAAATTAATTTATCTGTTCACCAAATAAAAAATTTTACGCATTATTTTTTAAATTTACTTTTAATTTATAAAATATAGAATTTAATAAATCTAAATTTTTTTAACTGTCACGGCGCTTTTTAATTAAAATTTTAAGGATAATAAATAAGAAAAGCAGCGAAACTTTAAAAAAATATTTATCCAGTTTTACTAATTGAGCGAAACAAATTTATATAAAACTCTTTTTAACAAAATAATTTAACGCAAAAAAAACATCTTAAAAACTGAATCTTGCGAGGGCCAAAAAACTATTTATTAAAAAAGAGTCAATTTTTATAAAGCAAAAAGTCAAATAATTTTGCTTTTCAAAATAAAAATAATCTTTTACTAAAGAATAAATTTTCTATTGAAAATGAATTTATTAAAATTATAAATAAATTTTTACTAAAAAAAAATTTTCTATTGACGAAAAAAATCTTTAAAAGCATAAATAAATGCTTAAGAAAAAGCAACAAATTAATAATTTATACGATTAATTTGTTAATAAACTTTTTCAATTTAAATTAACCAATTTTTAAAAATAACGTAAATAATTTATTAGTTTGTTAGTTGTTATAATAAAAACGTTTTCCATATAATGCTCGCCTTCAAAAGATCTTAAATCTCTCAAACAAAAATTAATTTTAAATCAAAAAAATTTAAGGTACATTTTTATTAGTTTATAAAATATTTAACACCACAAAAAAATAATATTAAAAATTTTCAAAAAAAGGAAAATTTATTCATAAATTTATTTTGTATAGTTTATTTTATAGTTTTATTATATATATAACATTTATTAGACGCTTTAAAATGAAAACTTAATACTTGTTATAAATAGATAAAATTGCTAAAAAAATTTTGTTTCTACTTAAATGCAGAAATTCTTTGGTAACAGCTTGAACCTTTCTACATCAAAAGGCTCCAATTTATAGTTTTTTAGATATTTTTAACAATATTTATTTATTTATTCACTTTTATTATACTATTTAAAAAATTCTTTAATTATAAGTCATTTTTAAATTATAAATTTATAATTATTTTTGAATTATAACTTCATAAATATTTTTAAATGTATTTAACTATAAATAATAATTTACTACAAGTAAACAATAAAAAAGTATTTTGCTACTTTGAACAAAATGCTATAATAAATTTAAAAAGGTTTGCTAAAAATAAATTTTTTAATGGAAAATTAAATATTTTATATAACGATTAATAAATAATAATAAGTTAGAAAATTCCTGATAAATTTGTAAATAATTATTTTGTTCAAAATTAATTATTTTTATAAATAATTTCAATAAAAACATTTCACATTCTTTTTATTTCTTTATAAAATATTTTTATATAAATAGTGCACTAATTTTATGATAATAATTATTATTAAAATTCTAAAACAAAATTGAAACTAAATTTTTTAATTCATATAAATTTATAACCAAATTTATAAGAAAAAATAGTTCAATTACAATCACGTATTTGACAAACTTAGTCTCCATTGGGCAATGGAGATCATACAAAAAGTCGCCGGCTCGGTGCTCGAGCGGCGAATCTACGATAATTTTGTAATTAATTCCGTCCAGCGAGAAGTAAACTTGAAGATCTAAAGTGAAATTAATAATAATAAAAATTTATTTTTTAAAAAAATTAATTAACATATAAAAGTTTTTAAAAATAAAAGTAAAAATAAAATAATTATTAATATTGTTAATAACTTTATAATTATAACAAAAACTAATGTTAGAGATGAGCTTAAAAAAAGTTTAAAATTAGTTACTTTAAAAAAATTGGATATTTTTAGAAAAAATTAATTAATTAAAGTTTAATAAACTTAAAAAAAATATATTTATAATCAATGTATAAAAAATACAACACTTAAAAAAAATTTAAATTTATAACTTCATAAAATGCTTAATCTGAAAAATAAAGATGAGCATTAATTAAAATTTAATTTGATATAGATTTAATAATAAAAATAAAATGTGTAAATTTTAAATAAATATTTAAGTAACAAATTTTATGAATATATTTTAATTTTTTTTAAAAATTAAATGGTTACCTTGATTAATTTTATTATAATAGCCATAAGAAATAAAAGAGGTGCTTTTAAAAAAAGAATTAATTTACTTTAAATATTTATTATTTAAAATGATTCAATAATATATAATAATAAAAATAAATCCTATAAAATTCAGACTATAAATGATATTGTTATGAGATATTAACTAAAATAAAAAAGGTTTTATAATAATTATCAACTATGAATTATATTACAAAACTGAAAACTTTAAACAAATTTAACTTAAAACTTTAATATTATATGATTATAAAAAAAAGGTTTGATGTTGGGGCAAATAAAGTTAGATTTCTAAACTAAATATTTTTTATAAGAGTTATAAATAATATAAAATTGCCAAAAGTTTATAATAAATTTGAATGATGCATAAATGGAAAAAATTAAAATTAATAATTCTTAAAGTTATCACATGAATTTTTATAACTTTTTTTATAAAAATAAATTTTTTTAAAAAACGAATTTACAATAAAATGATTGCTTATTTATATATTTATAATAATTGAAATTGATTTATTTTTAAAAAAAAAAGTTTTATTTTAGAAAATAGTAAAGAATACTGTTTAACTTTAAATATATATAAAGCTATATATTAAATTAGACAGCCAAGTATAAATTTAAAGTTAAAAAAATACGAAGAAAAATATTAAATTATTCATAAAAAATAAAAAATTATGATTAAAAAGTAAATACTTTTATCTAGCTTAGAAAAAGATTTTAATTAATGTTAGATTATTATATAATTAAAATTTTTAAAGAAAATTTTTAGTATAAATTATTTTTTATTCAACAAAAATAACTTTCAAAGTTATAAATATATTTTAGAAAAAATTTAAAAATAATAAAAATTATTATATAATAAAGAAAAACAATAATAAATATAATAAATTAGTTATCAAAATAATTAAAAAATAGATCATCAATAACGAAATATAACAACAAAATTAATACTATTAATAATAAATTAAATAGACTAACGCTTTGGATTTTGATTGTTTTCGCCATGTAAAAATATTCCAACGCGATGAACTTTAGAAAGCGCAAGCAATTCAAAGATAACCCACTGAGGAACTAATAACAAAAAAAAAAAATTCATAACAAAAAACCCATTTTTTATTGTAAAAAGTAAAACGTTTTTCGGTTACGTGAGTAAACCAAACGAGGGAAGGATCTCTTGTTAATAAATTAATCACCCGTGATTCGTGATGACTAGATAATAATAGTGCATTAAAAAACTCTAAAAAAAAAAATAAAAATATGAAATTAAATTTGAATAACTCTGAATTGAGTTATAAAGTTCTTCAAATTTTTTTAATATTAGAAAAATTAGAAATTTCCAAAATTTTCAAAAGCAAAAGTAAAAGAATATTATTCTAAAACTTAATAGAATTTTTTTTAATGAATTATGATCCTTCTTATGTAGTAAAAGTAAAGTATAGAGCAACTTAAAAAAATACTAAAACTAACTAAATAAAAACTAAATTAGTATTAAACTACATTTAATTAATCTAAGTAAGAATATTTAGAAAGCCAGATCTATAGCAAATGTTATAATGAGTTAATAATAAAAATTTAATAAAGTTGTTTTACTATTGGCTTGAAAAATCTTTAATTACAGCTCCTGTTGCTTCCAAAGTTAAGTTCTTCATATTATAAATAATCAAATAATAAGTACAAAATAAAAAAAAAATTGAGCAATAGTTTTAAAAAACGGCGAGCCTAATAGTTGGATCCACGAGCGCGTACTTTAGTGTAACTATTTATCTTAGTTTCTGCTGCATTGCTCAGCTCCTATTTATTAAGGCTTCAGGTTTCTCTGCGTGTATTTTTAATAATTATTAGTAAATTTTACGATGCCTGGAGATCCTATTTTAGATTTTAATTTTTCAGAAAACGAAGCTTGGAAGGAATATTTCTCTAAATTCGAGTTTTCTTCGTCTAACCTGCATCCTTCTGCTATATCTAAATTAAAGAGAAAATGGTATAAAAAAAATATCGATCCAGATTATGAATTTAATGGTTCTGAAATTTACGAAGAATCTACTGTTAAAGAAACTACATCTTGTAAACATAGTACCAAGGAAACCAAAAAACCAAACTTTTTTGACAATTTTCTTTGGAAGTTTAAGTTTTTTAGTTAGTTTTTTTTTTATTAAATAGCTTTAGCCTTACTGAAATTTTTTTCTCAGAAAATCAGGTAAAGTCTTCCAAGTTAAAAGAATATTTGCTGAGCAACAAACTAATCGTTCTTTGGTGGTTGTTGCAAGTGTTTATCGTAGTCAACTCGATTTTTTCCTTTGGAAGCTTATTTTTTTCAAATTCAGAATTGTATTTAAAAAGATCTTTTAAGGGTTTTTATTAATTGAAATATTCGAAAGTTTGCAGTCTCTTAAAAATTTTTTTTTAAAAATTATATATATATAATAGCCGCTATACTTGCGTATTTACTTTCCTTGTATGCTACTTATGGCCTTCCAAAAATAAATGTTTCCTTTTTGCATCGCATTCTTTCGGATTCTACTACTCCTTATATTTTGTATTGCGTTATATTTCTCACCTCCGCACTTAATTTAGGTAAAGTTTATAAAAATATTACATTTTTTACTTTTTATTGTTTTTTTTGTATTACTAAAGGTATAGCCTTTTAAATCATTCGCTAAAAAATAAAGTTATTTTACTTTATTTCACTAAATTTTTTCTTTATAAGTATTAATTAATTTACTTTCAAAATAAATAAAAGTTTGTCAATAAAGATATAACGTATTTTAGTTTTTCTGATTCTAATTAGTGTTCAAAATTTTTTAATTTATTTTTAACTTAGTTTATTTTTTTTAATTTTTTTATTTTCAAGTCTCGCTTCTTCCTATTCTACTACAGTCAATATATCATTCTGCCTTGCAAACAGAGAAGATGATGAAAATTGCTTTATCCAATTCCATAGTGGATTCGTAATTTATTAATTTGAAAAACTAAATAATATTTCTATAAAAATTATCTAATTTATTAAAATTTTTTTTGTACCAGTACGAATTATACTTAAATCTTAAATTTTACCTTTTACTATTCCTCGCTTGTATAGGCTTGACTATGTGCATCACTAATTTTTTTATTATAATTTATTATTTGTATCGTTATTTTATAGTTTTCTCTAGTATTTAAGCAGGATCTTTATAAAGTGAATAAATTTAACGTAAACTTTTAATTTTTTTTGAAGTGTGCTTGAAATTTTTCTGGTTAATAGCAGTTATAGTAAATTTATATACAAATACGAATTTATTACCGGTAGTATATGGGTCGCTAATTATGTTTACAAGTTTAAATTAAATTTTAGTTTGTGATAATTTGCAACTAATTATGATTAAATTTACACAACTTTATAATCTAAATATCTACAAATTTATTTTTAATACAATTCTATGAGAGCAAATTAATAATTAATTCTTCAACCCTTAAAGTAATTTGCGTTCATATTACATCAATAGCTACCAATTTCTGCTTTAGTTACATGCTTTTATATGTTTGTTGGGCGCTAGTTATTTTTTAGTTGCATTTATTATACGCCTATAGTTTCCAATTTTATTGCCTTAATTATCTTTATTGTTAGTGGAGAACAAACTTTTATTAATTCTTATTAAAAATAAATTGCGTTATTTACACAAGAAGCCACAAAGTACTGCCGTTACTGGCCTTATTTGCATGTGTTCAAAATGGCACTTATAGTTTAGTTGGCATTATTTTTTAAAGATTGAAATTTGATTTACTTTTCTTTCTTGCATCGCTTTAAATGTTTTTTTTATTTATTACCATAAATATTGTTATTTTCTAATATAATGAAAAAATTATAATACTATATTTTTTTTATATCCTAATATTTTAAGTTTTTTTTTTCAATTTTTGTTTTCGAATTTTTTATAATTTATAACTAAATTACTTTTTATATTGTATGTCATTTTTATTATTGAAATATATTTTTGTTTACTCTAAGAAGCATTAATAAATTTTACTGTTCACTACAGAAATAGTTAAATAACACTTTTCCATTAAAGAACCTAATTATAAATAAATTTTTTACATGCAAAATTATTTACTACTTAAAGTTGTGATTAAAGTAATTTGGCTACATCAAAACTAATGAGGAGCCGTTACTTACAGTATTTTTTTTAGAAAAATCAATCGAATCCTTGGCGCCAATTTTGTAAAGATATCCGCTAGAATTGCAATTTTTGAAGTTTTTCAAGTTATATTGATCCTCTTTAACATTTTTTTCACGTAAAAACTTTATTTACATTTTTTTGGTTATATTTTTCTAAAATTTTGTTTTCATTAGTAATTTATTTTAAGATTATATTTTTTTAAGTATAAATTTTTGTCCATTATTGTTCTGCACCACTTTTGAATTATTATATATTTTTTGAGGTTTACTTTTTTTATCTATTGTAAACTTACTTTAATATTTATTTTTTTAAAATTAATTAAATTTAGAAATTTATTTAGTTTATTTTTAAATTTTCAATTACTTATTTTTTTTAAAATTTTTAAATAATTATAAATTTATTTTATTTATTTTCAATATATATATTATATTATTACTAATGGCACGTATTTATTCTTTATTATAATTATTTTATTTATAAAAAATGTATTTCAAAATCTTTTATATTACAATTTCTTTTATTAGAATTTAATTTTCAAACTAATTTTCTAAAAATTTTGTATAGTATGAAGTTTTTAAATTTTAAAATCTGCAAATCAGTTTTTTTATATTATTTGAACTACGCATTTTCTTTATTTCATATACTTTTTTAAGTAATTTTTTAAAATCTTTTGAATAGTTTATTTTTAAATGTTCATCTTTTTTATTTATTAGTGAACCACAAGACTTCTATATTTTTTATGAATATTACTTATTAGTTTTATAGTTAATATTTTTATTATAAAAATTATGTTAAATTTTGAAATTTTCTTAAGAAAAATTTCATTTTTAGTGGTGTAGTTTATATTTTTATCTATTATTGGTCCACACAATATTAAAGCAAGTACCTCAAATTTTTAATTTTTTAATAATAAATTTATTTAATATTTACTTTTAATTATTTTAACAAAGTTATTTTTAATTTTTAATGAATTTAGTTAAATTTTTAGTTTTTTTTTTTTTTTTTTTAGGTATTTATATTGAAGACTATTTATTTTTGTTTTCATTATTACTTTATTATTTTTTTTAGGAGAAGCATGTCCCTTTTGAATATTTTTATGTATTATCACTTTTTGAAGTTGAGGTTTTTTTATTTGCGTTAATAATAATAATTATAAGTAAAACATATATACTTATAATTTACTTTAATTTTTACTATAAAAATATTAAAAATATTAATAAGAAAAGTAAAGTTATTTATAGGATAATATTAAAAGTTGTTAAATAAAAATAATCTTTTGATAATTAGCGTGGTAATTATTATAAAAAAGTTATGAATATACATTTTACATAATAATAATTATTAGTTAAGAAGATAGCGATAATATCATAATAATAAAACTAAAGTTAAAGTTTTAATACAAATCGTTAAATAATAATAAAATAATTAGAGGTTGTGTTGTTATAGAATGAAGAAGTTATGAAAATAAATATTATATAATAATTATTAGTAAAGAAGATAGTAATATCAATATAATAATTATAATAAATTTAAAAATAGGGAATCATAATAATATAAAAGTTAAAGTATTGATAAAAGTAATATAGTCAGGTTAAAATTTTTTATAAGAATAAAAAATTTATGAAATTAAATCTTATATAATAATAATTATTATAAATTTAACAACAAAATAAAAATCAAAATAACTATAAAAAGGTAAAGTTATAACGATAATAATAACCAAACCAAAAGTTTTAAAAAAAATATTAATAATAAAAGTTAAATTTTAATTATTGTTATAATTAAGCGAAATAAAGTTATTTATAATAATAATTAAACAAAAAGAGTTAAAGTTATAATAATAATCAAAGTTTTATTGTAATATATAATAATAACAAAATTATTACTAAAAAATATTAAAGTTTATTTAGTAATAAGATTACAATGAAGTTTATATAAATATATATTAACAATTTTACTATATAACACTGTTTAGTAAAAATATTTATGATGATATAAAAAAATTAATATTAATAAATAATAATAATTAAATTTACTTCAGATACGAAAGCAATGCTGAAATGCGAAGTATTATTGATCGTATAAAATTTTCTATGAGAAACTTTCTGCTATCGAGCTTTTTTAGTTCCGAATTTTCTAAAGAATATGTTTGTGCGTTTGTGTTGCAGATGAACTTTTTTTTGTAAAAAAATAAAAAAAAATAAATTCCCTTTTTTTAATCCTAAATTAAAAACAATTTATTTAAAATAACTTTTAAAATTTTATAATTATTATATGTTATATAAGAAATAATAGATATAAATAAATTATAGAAAAAAAGATTTAATTATTTTTTAATTTATTTTGAAGTTATGAATTTTGGGAAGTTGGTTTTTTACATAGTTTAGAATTTTTTAAAAAAAGTTGGAAATATACTTTTTAATTATTTTTACTTATATAAATATAATTTTGTTTTTTTTTGCAACAACATTGAAAGTGAATTTATTTATAATTATACATGGTTTTATTTCACCTCCACTTTTAAATTTTTCAAAAAAAATTTTTATTTGTATGTTTAGTTCGTTAGTTTTTACTGTGAGTGTTTATAATTATAAAATATATAATAATTATAATTAACTTCACAATAAATTTGTTATAAAAATTTTCTATATAAAGTTTTTAGTGGTGGTTAATATTATTTAAAATTTTATCGATTTGCACTTTTAAACCTCCTTATAAAACTTGATTATTTTGTTGATAAACTTACATTTTTATTTACTAAAAACAATTTTTTCTATAAAATTATTATTTTTCATGGCTTATTAATATTTCAGAATTTAGTTTTATTATATATAAATTTTGAGTAATTAATATTTTTTTAATATTAATAATAGTGGTATGTAAAGGACATTTTAGGAGGTACTCGCACTTAAAAAGTTTTATGAAAGGGAAACTTTAATTAATAAATACCTTTAAAATTTAAATTCAAGCCTCACATATACATTGTTAGAGGCGTAAGGGCCTCGCTGTGCCATGTACTAATTTATAGACTTGGTATTGGATAGCTCGATGCACGATAAAAAACTTTTAATCCATTATTTGGTGTCATATTTATATAAGAAAGCACAATGCTTGTGTTTTAACAAAAAAAAAAATAAAGGAGACCAAAATTTACTAAAGTTTAATTATATTCGGACAAACCCATTGTCTGAAAATTTTATATTGATTGGCTCAGGTTTTTCGAAATTATCCGAAGAAATACTATAAATATAGAGCACGGAACTGCCGTTTGAAGAAGCCTTGTTTTAGTTTGCTACAGTTTCATAAAGTATAACTCTATTTCTGTATGGCTTTTAATACACGACGAGCACAGAAACAGGACTGACACTAGATAATGGACTAGTAGGTATCCTTTTTGGTCGAGGTGATTGTAACTGGAAGTATTATAAACAGCAGAGGAAAGGAATGAACTACAATTGTTTAGTAATACTCAAGGTTGCTCAAAAAAATGTGCTCGACGTAAAGGTGCTTAGGAAGCCCTAGCTTTTATTCAGTCAGAACTTTTGTCAAATTTTCCTTTTTTGGCAGTCTTGGAAGTTTTAACATCTAGAATTCATACTCGGGCCTTCCCATTTGCAGGAAATTTGAGATTCTGTTTCTCGCGCTCAATCGATTTGTAAAATTTGCTTGACCCACGCAGAATTGTTTTTAAGATAATACAATTTTTATAGTTCGCTTTTAATATTTTACCTTTTTTTTTTATTAGAGACTATTAGTGTATAAATTTTACTATTTAACTTTGTGAATCCTAATTTTCTTTAAAATCATTTTATATTTAGGAAAGCGTTTCAATATGTAAAGTAAATTTAATGATGGCAGAGGAATTAATATTCACATTGTAGAGTTTGTCTTGTTCAAAATTCTGAAGTTTAAAGAGTACACATTTCTATAAATAAAAGAATTTCAAAGATTCAATTTTTAAGCATTTCGTTAAAAACGCAAACAAAGTAATCCCGATCCCTAACAGTGAAAGTTTTGTTACCGTTCATCTTAAATCTTAAACAATTATATAACTTTACTTTATGTTAAGGAAATATGTGCATACCAGTTTTTTTTCCAGCTATAAAAAATGCTGCAAAAATTTCATATAAATTTAATTATTTTTTTTTTCTTTGAATTATATTATGTCCCAAAAAAAGTAACTTCTTAGTAATAGTATATATGAGTAATTTTTTTAAAGCCAGATTCATAGCAAACTTTTTTTATTATAACTTCTTAAGATATATACCCTGTGTCTCTGTTCGGTAGAAATATATTTATAAAAACATTCATAAAAATTTAATCTTTAAGATTAAATTTTTTTTGTTAAGCATATAAAAAAATTTTCCATACGTGATTGTAATAGTTTAAAATTATCCATGAAACACTTTTTACTAGCTAACAAGTCTCATATTTTCCTCATCCATTTGGGACGTACCAGCAAAAGAACTAGTTATACCAATCCAGCCAGTCTAAAAGATTTCAATTATGGCATTCTCTAATATATAAATTACGTGCTTGTATATAATTTCTCTTCCATTATATTCGTATTAATGTGCTTATATACTATTTTCCCACTAATCTACTGTATACTGACGAGCTTGTGTAGTAATTTTCTTAGTGAGCCATACATTAACGTGCTAGTATAGCATTTTTAATAGTCAACTCTATTTCGACCTGCTTGTAAAATTTTCCTTTTCATTATCTACACAGGGCATGCTATTATAGCATTTTTCTACTAATCATCTCAATATTAACTTGCTTGTATAGTAATTTTCCTTTTAAGATATACATATTAACGAGCTTGTATAGCTTTTCCCTTCATTCATTTATAAAACTATTAAGTATTGCAGCTTAATTTCTTCAGTTCATCCACGTACTTTTTAAGCATTTAAATAGTATTATAAAATTTTTATAAGTTTATTTATAATTTTTCTAGGATGGAATATAGATTTACAGAACTATTACCAAAGCCGGTAGTGCGCGGTGAGTTTTTACAAAAGATTTTCGTTTAAAAATAAACTCTCATTTGTTTAAGCCCTTCATCAATTTTCTCTCTTGCAATAGCCAAGAGCTTCTTAGCTATCATAATAAGCTTTTTTTCGATGTCAATATACTTTAAAGGTAATTAATAAGAGAGCAAAGAAAAAACTTTTAAGCAAAATCTATTTCAGACTACTTGAGAGCAAATATCGTAAGAAAAATGCTGTCTTCAATAAATTTTAATAAAGTTCTTCAGCGCACACCTTGCAACACTGATTTAAAACTTTATTAAATATAAGCGTTAATTTTATTATAAGTTTAATTTTTTATTTTCAAACTGATATAACATGAATTTAACTATTTATGAAATGTGACACTTTTTAGCGGAGTCTACTTTTAAGTACATTATATAACTCAACTTCTTAAAATATACAAGTTCTAAGAAGGACAATGGGTAAAAATAATGAATTTATGAAACTTACCAGAATCATTACTCATGATCTGGAAAAGACACATACGGGTTATCTTTACGGGTTAGCCAAAGTGGACAAAAAGGAATTTCATAGATGTGCACCAGACATTAGACCTTTAGTAGGGCGTGTCAGCACACCTGTCAACGGATAATATTATACTTTAACAATTTAAAAGGTTTATCTTTTTGTAAATCTATTTGCTGCAGTGGAATGATATCCCATTGTAATGTAGCTAATTTGAATAAAGCGAATAACAAAGTAAGTTTTTTTTTATTGTATATTTCGTTAAATTATAGTTTTTATAGCTCGCAAAATATCGTATCGTGAACTTTGTAGGCTGCAAAAAAAAGTTTGGCTTGTCTTTGGTTATTTAGTAATTTTAAATTAATAAAAGATGAATACGAAACACCAAAGATCGTAGCAAGACATGTTTAAGTCATACTTCAGCAGTAGCGGGTGAAAAGTCTATATAAATTTTTAGAGTAGAGAAACTTTTTTTTTTAATATGGCAATTCCAAGGGATAATCATATAAGAAATAAAATAATTTTGAAGTATTCTAGTATACCTTTAATATTTTCAATTTATATATACGAACAAAGCGGTAACTGAAAACTAACTTATTTGTAAAAAATCTGTTAAATAAATGTCTATTAAATAATTCCTGGTAAACTTTTAATTTTTTCAGTTCATAAGTTTGAAGCAAGAAATAGTAGCCGACGTCCATTTTGTTAGTAAAAAACATTTAAATTATTTTTTCATACTAATTTACTATATTGCCTATCCAATTATAATTGTAAACAAAGCGATAATAATTAAGGATTAATTGATGGTGAGAGGTATTAAAATTATTTTTTTTATAGCATTTCTCATATTTTTTAAATTTTTCATAAAATTCTTAAAAACTCCTTTCATCTTATAAGTTTAAACAAAGCGATAATGACCAACATCTTAATGGTAAAAAAGTTTAAATTTTAATTGCTAACTTAGTTTTTCATAATAAATTTTAATTTATTTAATAGCCTGAAGGTAGAAATTCTTTAAATTTTATATGCTTATATGGTTTTTCAAAGTAGATTGTTCTAATTTTTTTTTAAATAACTTGCATAAAAAGTACTTAACCCAAAGCCTGTTGTTTTTCCAAGTAATTTTTTAACATTTTTAATAACAAGACGATAAGTAATATATGGTAAATGCTTAATAATTTTCCATTGTAATATCTTATAAAAAAACAAGGTAAAAAGTTTTTAATTAATAGCTTTTAGTTACTTCCTATATTTTTTTAATTTTTTTTTTTTAAAAAGACAAAAAATATCTTATTTAGTGCTAATTTGTTTTTTAACCCTAACTTAACCCTTAACCTTAACCTGATGAGAGTGAGGTGTTTACAAATTAATTTCTTACGTGATATTTCATATATTTTTTAATTTATTGGTATTAGAAAGACTTCTTTATAATATAATTCTTATTTAATATTAAAAAGTAAAACTTCTCTTCACGAATAGCATAAACTAAGTAAATGTTTTTATTTGACCCAATCAAAAAACTTTTAAAAATTTTTCAGTGATCCATACATTTTTTTAAATAAAATTGATATAGTGAGTTTGATTTCTTATTTAGCACAAAATTAAAAAAAAATTTAAGATTTTTTAAAAGAAAATGCAAACTAAATTTAAATTCTTAGTAAATAATTTCGCTGTAAACAAATTTAAATCTTTGTCTAAATATTTTTTTAAATAGAAATGCCGTATTACTTTATGTTATCAATTTACTTTTTATAAGAGATTTTAATCTTTCTAAATTATTTAAAATTAAAAATTTGAAAAATAATCTCTTATGAGGCGATTAAGAATTTCAACAAAAATGTTTTGTGAGGCAGATAAAATAAACTCTTTCTAATCAAATTTTGAAACGATACTTGTAATTTTAGATATAAATTAGTAAATCTTTAACAAAAAATTGTAGAAGAAAATTTTATTATGAAAACTATAAGCCGCCCACATCAGCCCTAAATTCTTCAAAGTTGGTGTGATCTATTTTACAATAATTTTGTTATAAAAATTATTTTTAATAATAAATCAAAATATTCTGTTTTTAAATTATGTTAATTAGATTAATTTAATAGTTATTAGTTTTATGTAACAGACAATACGGCTTTTCATAACTATTATTAAAATAAAAAAGAAAAGTAATTTTATTATAAAAACAATAAAATTAATAATTGGTAATATAAATAATAAGTAATCTATAAAATAAGTAAGTTATTCTTAGAGATTACAATTTAATTAAAAACTAAATTTTTTTAATTTTTTTTAAATATAGTATATAAATAAAACTAAATTAATTTTAAATACGTATAAATTAATTACCAAATAAAAATTTTGTATAAAAATAGTAAAAATATGAAAGAAATATTTAAAATTATTAATAATAAAAACATTAAATATACAAAAATATCTAAAAAATTAATAAATTTATAAATAATTTAAAATAATTTGGAGAAAAAACTTAAATACAAAAAAAAGTTTATTAAATATTTAAAAAAATTGCATAGTAAATATTTCGTAGTAGTTATGGATTGTAATAAAGTTTAAATAATGGTTAAAAAATTAATTTCATTAGTTAAAAATTAAAAATTAAAAAATTAAAGTTATTTAATAGATTGAAAAAGGAATCAAATATTTTATTTTAATAAAAAAAAGTTCAAAAAAATTTATTATATGTTTAAAAATATATAATTATTTTCTATACGTTATAATTTACATCGAGAACTATAAATAAATCAAAAAAATTAGAAAAAAAAGATTTAAATTTTAATAAATTAATGAAAATTATTTTAGTAATAATAGATTTTAAAAAAAAAAATTTTAGATATAAAATAAATTAAATAAAAGTTTTATTATTTGATTATAAAATTTAAAAATACGGAGTCATAAAAATAAAAATTAAAAGTATAAAACAAAAAATAAAATATAAAAGCCAAATTTTAATAATTAAATAATAATCAACAGTACAAGAGTTAAGAATTTTCAATTAGAAAAAAAATAAGAGAAAAGATAAAATTTGTTCCCTTTTTAAAAAAAAATAAAAAGATCGACGTATAAACTTAAAAAGTAGTTAATTAATTAAACTACAATTAAAAGTTGATTTATAATTTTTAATCCCAAAATTTAGTTTAGAAAAAAAAGTATTTTGATTATATTATATTTTAATTAATTCTTATAAAAAAAAAATATTGAAAATAAATTTCTGAAATTCACTAATTTAAGGAAATATTTATAACTACAAAAATATATATTACTGCTCTGCTGAGCGTGGAGTCGAGCTTCTGCTTCTCCAATCAAAAAAACTCCACAGGTGATACAGCGAATAGAAAAGTTGGAAGGAGAGACAAATTTCTTTGCCTGAAATAGTTATAAATCTTTATTTTGTATAACAATAATTGCTACTAAATATTTTTTTTAAAAATAAACTTTTTGTTCTCATTAAATTTATAAATAAAATAAAATCTTTATTTTATATCTTTAAATTGTAGAGTAATAATCACAACTTAAAGGAGATGGTTTTGTTCATAAAAAATTATAAATATAAATCTAAAATCAAAATTTAATTTTTGTTATTATCATGTTTATAAATTTTATAATTACTCCGTAAAAAATAAAAAAACATAATAAATCTTCAAAATGTAGAATGATAATCATAAATTTGAATTTACTAATTAAAAAATTAAATAAAGAAAGATTTTTTGTATACAAAAAAATTATAAATGAAATTAAAACTATAAATTTGAAACTTGTAGTATAATAACAACTACTTAAAAATTTTATATAAACATTTTAATCCACAAAAACATTATAAATACTAATCATTGAAAATTATAATTTAAATTAAAATTGTAAATCTTTAAATTTATTTTGTTGGATTGTAATTACTTTAGAAATTTAAAAAGAAATTCAGAACAGTTATTGTAATAATTATTTATAAACTATACAATAATAGCTTTACTAAAGCAAAAAGTTAATATAAAATAAAAAACTAATTTATATTAAAAATATAAAAAAAGAATTAGCAAAATTTAATTTACATTTTGAATAAATTTATTTTAGTATTTAAAAAATAAGTAATTTAATCCTTTTATAAAAAACTACTACAATAATTGTATAAAAAAAATATTATATTTAATATAAATTCTCGAGTACGTAATAAAAAAAACAGCTAATTTTTAATTTTTAATAAGTTTATAAAAACAAATTCCAGCTTTTATAAAAAAAACGGGATATTATTTTATATAGGAAACTTCAAAAAAAATTGTATATGATATATAATTATATTTAAATAAAAAAAATACTCAAAAACTTAAAGAAAAGAAATTTAAATTTTTATAAAGTAAAAAACCTTGAATTCAGCCTTTATAAAAATGAAGAAAAAAAATTAAAATAATATTATTTAAAAAAATACTTAAAATATTATAATGTTAAAGTTCTCTAGCAAAAAAATAAATAAAATTCAAAATAATCCAAAATTAAAAAAGTATTCCTAAAAAAAAGTAAAAATTTTTTTTTAAAAAGAAAATTAACTTGTAGAATTAAAAATTTAAATGATGATAGAGAAAACTTTATATTCTGTTTTGCAAAAACTTTTAGCCAGTGAAAAAGAAAATTCATCAGTAATATCAAAAACTCGTGTTAATTCTTTATTATCCAGATTTCCTGATTAAATAAAAAATTAAAAAATTTCTATCGAAATTCATTAATAATCGATTTAAAATAAATTAAAATACTTGAGTAATTTAATAATATTTTATAGATTTACTATTTTCTTTAAAAAGATTCGTAAAAGATTAAAATTTTAACATTTAAAAAAATTCTTTTTTTAAAATAAGTTTTGTTGTGATATTTAGTTTTTTTCTTATAAAAGTAACAATAAATTTAAATACTGGTAACATATATCCTTATAACTAATTAAAATAATGGAAATTTAAAAAAAAAAGTAAAATATATACAATTCATTATAAATTAGATGATTGAAAAATTATATAAATAATTTAAAGTAAATTATTCCATGAAAATATAATAAAAAGTAAAAAAAAGTAATAAAATATAAAAAGATTAAACTTTTGTTAAAAACTTAAAATTTAAAGAATATAACAAAAATAAATTCCTAAAATAAAATAAAAAATTCAATTTTAATGAATTTGTAAAAAAGGAGGAGCTTTAAATTTTCAATACAAAAAAGTTTTTTAGCAAAATTTTCTATTTTGAATAAAATTTTTAAGAAAAAATACAAAGCTTTACGTAAAATATTTTTATATAATAAACTTTACTATAATAAAAAATTCCAAAATAATAAATTGAAATTTCTTGACATCAATAATAAATTACTTTAAATTTCCAATACGATATAATTTCTTTAAAAAAAATTTTAAGAAAATTTAATTAATTTAATTTGTTTCACTATTAAAAAAAATGTTTTACTAAGTTAAATAAAATCATAAAATATATTTGCATCAAAGACAAATCACTTTTAATTTCTAATATAAATTTTTTTATAGAAAAATGCTTATTAAAAAAAATTAAATAATTTAACAAAAATTTACACTTTAAATTTCCAAAATAAAGGAATTTTGTTTCTGTAAAATTTTAATTTTTAAAAAATTTAGAAAGAAAAATGTAAAAAATAAATTAACTTTTAAAATAAAATTATGTATTTTTTAGCATAAAAAATCAAATTAAGTCGAATTTTTATTAAAAGAAAATGTTAATTAAAAAGAAAAAGGAATTTTTAAAAAAGTTTGAACTTAAAATCTCCAATAATTTCCCCCCCAAAATTCCTATTTTCAAGTTTTTTTTATATTATATTTCTTGGATTATTAAAATCGAGTTAAAAAAATTTTACAAATATTTACGTAATTAAATTTCGCTCTAAAAGAATAACAATTAAAAAAATTTCTTTAGGAAAAACATTCATTTAAAAGGAAATATAATCCAATTTTGTAAACAAAAATTAAAAATCTTTATTAAAATTTACAGATAATAAAATTTATTACTATTAAAAACAGTTAAAAAACAATTTAATTACACAAATTAATGAAGTTTTTATATCCTTTATCACAATTTAGTTATATATATTGTTATACATTTTGGTAAAAAGTTAAATCAAAATTTAACAAAACTTATAATAATAATTAATTCTATACACTCGATAATACTAACGAATAAAAATTTAAATTAGTATGTTTTACAAAAATTACATTAAAATTAACATTATAAAAAATGATAATCATTTGTAAATTACATTTATAAAATATAAACTTTTTTCTATAAAAACAATAAGAATAATAATATAACTTAACAGCCGAACAACTTTTAAACAATAATTTTAATTATAAAAGTCTTTCAATGCTGAACAAAAAAACAGCATTTAGTGTTATTATTATTATTATTATTACTATAAAATAATTAACTACAGTAAGAATAATACTAAAAAGTAGAGCTGTCCAAAAAACAGATTTTAATAAATTTTTATATAAAATCAGCAATAACTCAACGTTCCAATAAAAAAGTTTTGTTTTCTAAATTTTATACAATTATCTTAAAAATTTGTAATACTTTAATAAAAATACAGGAAAATTATAATTAATTTATACAAAAACCCAAAAAAAAGTTTTAAAAAAATTATAATTAACTTTTTTTATAAAAATAAAAACAAAAATCTACAAAATTTAATAAAAATTTCTGAAATTTTAAAACAATTAGATTATATTTTTTGAAATTAATTATAATTTTTAAAAGCTTTATAAAGATTATAATAAAAGTAGTCTCATTTATACAAGCTTAAAAGCTACAGAGATAAAGTTGTATTTATGCTTAAATTTAAAATTTTTTTATGCTTTATTATAAAAAAATTAGTAATTTTTCTATTTATATTCTAAAATTTAGCAAAACAGAAAAAAATAAAATTCGTCGTACTTGAAATCATTTTTAATTAACTTTTAAAATAATTTTAAATTTATTATAAAATCTTAATAATTCCAATGAATTTTTATTAACTATTACTAGTAAAAATATCAAATGCTTTACGTGTAGTTTCTAAATTTATAAACTTTTATCTATAAAAATAGCAGGTTTTCAGTGGGTGTTCCACTGAAATAATAAAAAATAAATAAACTAAAATCATAAACATACAATAGTACAGTAAACAATTGTTATTGATATAAATTTCAATTACTTTTTATAAAATTCAGTTAAAAAATTATATAAACAAAAGAAAGTTTCAAGCGCAACGCTAAATCTTTGAAAATAATAAAAGTTAATTTTAAATTACTTTTCACAATATTTGAAAACTATTATATAAAAATAAAAAATGAGTAAAATAATATTAAAAAAAAAGTAAACCACAAAAATTAAAAGATAAATTTTAAAAAATAAAATATTTTTTCTAAATTTATCTAAAATTATAAACATTATATAAAGAAATCAGATTATCTATTAAAAACTTTTATTAAACTTTTTAAAAATTTATAATACTCCTGACTAGAGGATCGTAGTGAATTCCGTCGTAAATTAAATAAATTCTCCTGCAAAATTGATTTTGTTGCCCGAACGCTTCGGCTCGGTTCGATTGGACATCAAAAGTATAAATTTCAATCTCAAAATATTTCGATAATATATACAACTCAATTGCCCCTAAATATAAAAAAATTAAGAGATTCAAAAAAAATATTGTAAAACTAAAAAAAAAAAATTAAAATTTCTTAATTTTATAATTTGAATATTATAAATTATAGTAAATATATAAAAATATAAAGAAACCAAAAAATGAAATAAATAAATTTTATAGATATAAAACTAATGGAAAAGAGTAATAATAATTATAAAACTAAAAAAATTAAAATTCAAAATTATTAATTTATAATTTATAAATATAAAAAAAAATTATAATTAAGAATTTTCTATAATATTTTTATTTCATAAAAGAAAACATAATAAAATTTTAATTTATAAAATTGCCAATTTTGCTATAAAATATTTTACTTGAAAAAATAATATAAATTTAAGTTATATATAAAAAAATTTATTATTTAGATTATAAAAATATAATTAAAAAAATTTAAGTAAAACAGAACTTTTATATAATATATATAAATTATATAATTTAGATTGTAATAAATGAAAAATATTATATTATATATTCTGATAATATAATAATACCAGCTCGAAAAAAACTAAAAAAAAATTAAAATATAAATGTTTAAAAAAAAATATTCACTAATAATAAAAATAAATAATAAGAAAATAAAAAAAATAAATATGTAATAATATAATATTGTTTGTTATAATCAGTTTCATGTATTTGAAAATGAAAGATAAATTTATTAATAACTTTATTATTTAATTTTCTACCTTATTTAACTTTTTTTTTATATTCATAATAGAATATCTTAAAACTAATTATTTTATAGATAAAAATTCGTATAAAGGAATTGAGCTAGTGGATATATAAAAAAATATTGCTTAATAAAATTAAAGAAAAAAATTTAACTCAAATAAAACTGTTAAATTAATACTACAGCAAAATAATTTACATAAAAAAATCGTATGAATTTACAGATTATTAAAAGGCTAAATATTAAATTAAAATATACAAGTAATTTTTGATTTAAATTAAATTGTTTAAATTGACACCACTTTAAATTTAATTTAATAAAAAATAAATAAATTAAAAAAATTAAAATCAAGTTGTAACATTAATTTTGCTTACCTCCCCAATTATTTGAATTGAGAATCCAATTTTGATAAACTTCGTTGGGGCTCCCTAAAAATCCTTCGTTATAAAATTCTGGATCTGCTTTGATAGCTTCACAGCATATCTTGCGCAGAAAGTCGGGAGAATTTGAATCTTCCATTTCCAATAAAAAGCTTAAAAAAAAATTAAAAATTAAAATTTAAAAATTCCAAGCGTAATTAATTTTTTTTCAAATTATATAATATAATTACTCATTTAAACAAATTGCAGAGATTAAAAAAATTAATAAAATTTAAAACTAAATAAAAACATAAAACTAGTAAAGATTTTTAATGATAGCGGCGCTTAATAAATCAAAGAAATTTAGTTAAAAAATTAACCAAAATATTAAAAAATAGGTCAAAATACTCGAGAAATACAAGATTACAACGCGGAAAGCTAAACATACACAAAATTTATATCAAATATTTTAATTAGGTTTATAACTCTCCATAAAAAAATTAAAAAAAAATTACCAAATTGATCTGAACAAGCATGAGTTATCAGCTGGTACTACATGCCTTTCCATCTTTACGCTATCGTAAGGAGGGGGCTTTCTTGCATTCTAAATAAAATTTACAATATAAATAAACCTTTCATCTTCAAAAGTTTTATAAAAAATTACTAATTCTTCCAGCCACATTGACGAACCATTCGGCAAAATAGAGCAAATCTCATCCTCCATTTGAAACTTTACTGGCTTCAGAGGAACACCATACAACACTATTTAAAAAAATTATAGAAAGAAATTAGATAAAGAAACCCCTATAGAATTTAATAATGCGTATATAATATATATGTATATAAAAACTCACTAGGACTTAACTATGTTCAAGATCAAGATGAAATAAATTCTTTTTAGAACCCACCGAGAATTAAGATCATATTTAAATAAAAAAAGTAAAAAAGCTAATTATTAACACCCACAATTTTGGTTTTCTGCAGGGATGCGGGTTTCTTCATATATTTTTCGACATAATTCTTGAAAAGTAGTATTCTTTGATAAATTTTTTAGTATTAGATTTCCTGACTTGTGCTTTACTTGATAATTCTAAAAGAAAATTAATAAAGGCGTAGAAGGTAAATAACTATTTTACTATAAGCGAATAACTGCACCATAAAAACTTGAATCGACCGGGAATTAATGATTTTTCGTAACAATTTTTACGGAAAGACAACTAATATGAAGTCAATGTAATATATTAATTTGCTTATATGTATATATATAAGATGTATATATTTAAAAACGCACAATATTTGTGTTGTATACGAGTATAAGCCAAACAATAACATGCCTAGAGCGCGAGCGGTAATGGTTTGCCCAGCGCGTTAAGGGCAAGCTACACCAGCTACACTAAGAAAAGCTTGCTAGCGTACCTAGACCGCTAAAAGAGCCTCCTACTAGCAATACAAGAAGTAAAGTACAAAGTAGAAATAAAGTGTAAAAGCGCATTTCTTATTAATTATATATGGCTCATAGCTTTTTCTGATTTAAGTAAGATTAGCTTAAGTATAAGCAATCTTAACCTCTAAATAGTTACCGCACCACATGTTAGAACCAGTTATTAACACCTTTACCCAACCAGAGTAAGATTTAATAGCACAATCATTAACTTCTAAGTAGCCAATGCTTCAAAGTGCCTGGACAATTATTATAATTTGAGAGTTGTGCCTCTAACTTAAATAAAATTGGTCGGTTTATAGCAAAAGCAAAAATTTGCACTTTTACTTTTGACAATCTTTTTAAACGTCTTTGATTTGCAAGTGAGTTAAAAATCGCAAACGCACACAACATCTACCACTGCGCAATTATAATGATATAGCTGAAATTGACAAATATAAAGGGAAGCATTTTACTGCTCAGCGCCCGCCGCCCACCCCTTAATTACTGTGCTCAGTGCGTGAGCCACTCTTTTCTCGACCATTATAGTTGAATGCCACAGAATTCCTCAAAAACGATTATAGCACCACCAAGCCGAAAGAACCCGACCCTGAAGGCATCACTAATGATCCTGCTTAAACAACTTATGTAGCTATTTTGAATTACATATTGTTCCGTCAACTCGGTGATGACCCACAACTAGCTGTGATCGGTACCCATCAGCTTTTTGTTGTGGTGGAAAAGGTGGCCGGAATAGGCAGTTGCAGAACGCGTGGACGAGCCACGTCCTTTATTCTGAAAAGGTAATAAGCTTCTGTGTTTTACGAAATCGAAAAACTTTTGATCAAAATAGAGTGAAGGTTTACTAAGACCCTTTGAAATGAGCTCAAAGAGTAAAGGCTTCTTTGAAAAAAGCAAATTAATTTCTCAAACCTATAGAGAGCTATGTAATTTATCTTTAATTATTTCTTGTATACAAAAAATCCATCCTTCGTCGCTTCGCTGAATCTTTTCTTTCATTACATACTTTAACGTGGGGGGTCAATAAAATTCACATGAGAAGCTTACTAATAAGATCCGTGTTTTTGACAAAAAAGATTACTTTGAAAATAACAGGAAACCCAAACTTGGTAACAATATTCAGTTCCAGGTAAAACCCAAAAATTCTTTGCTTTTGTTAAAAGAGGGTTTAGCTAACGCCTGTTAGAAGCGTTTCCCATTAACAGTCTTCCTCGTGCTGTTATTCGTTCTCCATAAAAAACGTTTGCTTCCGCTAGGCCGCCTTCGACTTGGGATACGATAAATTGCTCGGTGTTTGATAAATATTTAAATTTTTTAAGAGTTGTTCTTAAGAAGCCTAACCATGTTCACCAAGTTCAGATAATAAGAGCTGCAATGAAGGTACTCGAACCCACGAGGCTAATTATAGGTGCTTTATTCTCCAACCATTTAAGTTAAGGAGACAACCCTTTCATTCCCGGCAACCGCAACACGTAAGATTATTTCTATCGTGACGCCTACGTGAGGGGTATGTAGTGACAAAGCCAAGGCAGTGATTAAAACGTTAAATATTTAAATGGACAGCAAAAAACTTATGAATTCAACTGACCATGGTTTCTGGACTCAAGACATTAGTAATAGCTTCCTCGTTCCAAGTACGTCAAAATGCAAAACCATCAAAAAGCACAGTCCGTGGATTGTGCCTATTACGCGTTGCACAGCGAACTAATGCTATAACATCTGGTCAATATTTCTTTGGAAACAATTTATTAGATTTTATGAGGGCGAGGTTATATACACGACCATCAATGACTGAAAAAGAAGTCGCACGGTGGGAATTGAACCTAAGACCTTGAGTATGCGCGTCAGTGCTCTTAACCGCTGAGCTACGACGACAACTCTCGACTCCGGTACGATGGTTTTACGTATTTAACCTTACAATGTGGTAGTCCCTTACTAACGGATCGCTTGGCACACTATTCATTATCAAAAGAATTTAACAAGAAAAACAAAAGAGTATACTGAGAGAAAAAGAACATCAGACCCACACCTGTTTATTTCGCTAGTATGATATATATTGCACTTTTTGTTAAAGAAATGCCTCGACTTTTTTTATTTATTCACATGGATGTACTTATTATGAACAGCGCTCATTACTTTGACCTTGCCTAACTATTGGTTGGGGCAAAGTTAGAAAATTACGATAAAAATTTTAATATTTATTAAATTACTGGGTTATACAGATGCGATAAATTTTTAGAATAATAATCGTTATTAGTTCGTAAAGTTATACTTAAATTTTAAAATTGCCTACATACTCTGTTTCTTTATTTTTGATATGATTTATAAATTAGCTTTTTGGTATTTGTTTGCTTCACCCTAAAAAATATTGGTGTCGGCGCTTGTCTATTATAGCGTACGACTTCAAGTATGCCATTTAATAGTTTACGATGTCTGGCTACTTATGATAGCCTTTAGTCTATAGTAGTATTTGCCAATATCTTTTTCTTTTTAGCGCTGGAATGCCTTAAAATTTTAATAAATTTTTATTAACCCCCTTAAATCTTCAACGCACTGTTTATTTCATATAATAAAATTAGTACTTTGCAAGATTACTATTTATTCCATTCACTCTACACATATATTGATGACACAAACAAAGGATAAGTTGAAGAGAGTTGAATTTTCTGTAGCGCTTTTGATATATGTGAGCGTTCTAATTAATTAGAGTAGGGCTACATTATAATGAATATAAAATGGGAATATATAGTTAGTCTGTTAGTATTCGGTCCTTAAAATTGATCCACAAATTAACGTATCTTTAACTCGCTAGCTGCCAGTTTATTTCTTAACTGTATTGTTCTTCTAAGTTATTAAGTATTAACGAAATAAAAGCTATTGAAATATTACACTTCAGAATTGCAGATTAATACACCCAAAATATTACTATTATTACATTCAAAAATTAGGGTATGTGGAGTTGAAAAAAACACTATAGTTTATAAAAGAGATTTTCATCTACCAGTGGAATTGGAGCCACAGCTTCGTGATAACTAACTGTTAGAACTCGTAGATGAAGAAGAGGGACAAGTTGGGCGTGAAAATATTATATATTATTACTATATTATTTTACTAAATAATATTGTAATGGGTGTGCTTAACAAACACAGACCGATGACTGTCAATAATAACTATAATTCTCAGTGATGTGATATTGAAGCTTAAACAACTATTTATAAACTTTTTCTACTTAGAGGCATTAAAAAAAAAAGGCAAAAAAAAATAGTATTTATAAAAGTTCGTTATATTAAAAGAAAAGCATTGTTAAAGGGTGAAACCTAAGTCAACTAAACAAAAAATTCCTGATATACCTATACATTTGCAAATAAGTAAGCTAAAAGAATTTTACTAGCGAATTTTTTTTGGATACTAACACGTCTTCAGTTCCTGCAATGCATGAAGCTAATTTCTTTCTATTTCCTCCCTTTCAGAAGTCTATACAGGGGAAGTTAATTTTTTTTTAAAAAAAAATGATTCTGTTAAAAAATCTTAACGAAAATAAGTTAACTTCAGAGTTCCTGGCGTTTTGACCAAAGTGATAAGAATAACACCCCAAAGTTCATCATGTGTTCTCACTGAAGACGGTCCAACGCTTAACGATAGAAGTTACGAAGTTTCATGTCCTTCTATTAAAAACACTATAAATAGTAGTGTTTTCTAGTTTTAATTTTAATACTACTAGAAATATATCTCAGATGGGCCTACCTATAACGATTAAAAACTTTTGTTGACACTAACCTGATAAAAGAGTAGTGTATGGAAGATAAACTAGACACTTTTCGAAGCATTCCCATCCAATACGGATTAAAAAAAATAGTGGGTGAGTATCAAGAGTTATTTAACCAGTTTCTTAGCTCATTAGATTCGCTGGTACATTATAATACAATAGGATATAAAACTTTTAAATAAATATTGTAATAAGAAACCAGAGTCCAGCCTTGATGTTCTGACCAAAATATTTGAAAAAGACGAAGAACTAAATATAGGACTAAGAACATGTATTTTTTTTTATACTAATAATACTTCTATTAACTTTTATTTTATTATTTATACTTATTTTTTTCCGATAGTAGTTGAACATCAAAGATTCCAAAGCCATATAAATTATTTGGAAGAATTAATTAAGCGGGTAGATAAAGCATTAGTAGATGTTTTGTCCGTTTTAAAAAAAGGTTTATTGCTTCAGGTTTTATTCACTCTCATTTTAATTTTAATTTTTCACAAGTTGAGAACAATTTAGAGCAGGTTGTGGAGAAGAGCAAAAAGCATCGCACCTTTTTTGAAAATAGTTTATCTTAATTTTTTTTTTAATTTGTTAAATAGCTTTAATTTTAATTTTAGAAAGGGAAGTTCCCGTAAATAATATTATAAAGTATGCGGGCCTACTCGCCTACTCTGTTGCCCCTCCTCCCCGCTGGAATTCGGCTTACGAACTTCATCCTTTTAGCAGGCCATATCCTTCAGAGTTAGACAAATTACACTCCCAATTATCTCGTTTAGATGGTTGAAAAAATATATATAAAAATTATTTTTGCTGATAATTTTTTTAACACAGCCATACAAGAAGATACTGCACTTAAACGGGAAACACAAATTTCTTCGTTTGAAAGGAAAAATTCGAATCTCGAAAAAGTGGAACCCCACGAGATTTGTTATTTTCATTTACTCATTATTATTTAATAGTAGTTTAACCTTCTACTTTTATTAATATTAAGCGTGTGCTGTTGGAAGTGAATCGGAGACTGATGTCTCCTTCTTTTCAGAAGAAGATTAATTAGTTCTTCAAGTTTTATAATTATTTTTTTGAATAGACTTATTTTTCACATAGTGATGATTTAAATTAATTAACTTTTAAGTGATTAGCGTTTATACTTAAGAGAGGCACCTGCCACTTTCCTGCAGAATATTTTATTTAATTACTTGTTCGAGGACTTTTTCCATTATTTAGTTATTTTATATATATTAACAAGCAAAAAATATTATAAGAAACTTTCATAATTCAAAAAAACATTTGAAAAAAATACGTAAGTTTTTAAAAGAATATTATTAATAAAAAGATACGTCTAATTAAAATTAAAAGTGCTGATGGCCCATTATTTTTTTAATTTTTTTTTGTTATAATTTTCGAATCCTCACCTTATTATTAGGTCAGTGCTCTTCCAAATACTTTTTAGAGTCTTTAAATTTTTACTCTTAAAAAAATCATAAATAGTAACTACCAAAATTTTTATTATATTTGCAATTAAAAACTAGGGTAGTATGAATCTCCCCTAATCATGCCTGTGCGCTTACAAAAATTAAAAATAATTTTTATAAAAAAAAAAATATACAAGAGTGCTAAAAGATAAGTTAATTTAAAATAAATATCAACGCATACCTATAGAATAATATAATTAATCATTTTTAGTGCCTAAAAAAAAGTTAAATTAAAAACATAAAAAAATTTATTTAATGCTACTTAATAATGCTCAATATCATTAAGAAATAGTTAGTAGCACCAAGAGAAGATTTTCCCAAAGCAGCTGGATTAGAAAACTGGTATATTTCTTGATGCGGTTAATAAAAAATGTAATAAAGAAAGTTATTAGATTTAGTTATTTAGTAAATTTAATTTGCATTCGATTGGAGAAAGTAAGGCATTATCACTACAAAAGCTTTTACATAAGTTTTCTATCAAGCATAATAAAAATATTATGGGAACTGACCGAAACCAACATAGCATACTCGGAAGTGTTTTAAACTTTTATTAAAAAGTTCCAAGATTAAGAACTAATTATATTTCGTTAAATCCTCTTGATTTTTCTGCTTTAGTGTCAGCAAATCATATTCACTAATAACTTTGAATCTTTTACATCAATATAATAAGTTAATTTTGAAACGCTTACTAACTATAAAAGTACTTTAAAAGCATTTGATTCAATTCTGGAATTGCAAAATTCATTCCCACATAGTCAACGACGTTAACAAGATTAGCAACTAATTTTCCTGGTAATTATGATTATACGATTTTACTCCGAAATTAAATCAAAAAAGTATATTTTACAATAAAAATGCAAAAAAAAATTTATAAGCTTCAACATAGAAATTTATGTTATAATAATTAACTAATCATTTTTTAGTGAATTCGGAAGTAAAGATTTTCCTTGTCAAGTATATTTGGTGTTCAAAAGTTTTAATATATAATTTTTAAAAACAGCAACTTTGCATGTATTATAATTTAATAACCGTAACAGCTATAGTACAGGAAATATTCAATTATATTTAAGGAATAAAAATGAAAATCTGCTTTGCTCAAAAGGAATAGAAGTAAATAGTTACTAAATTTACAATTAACTATGTATATAATTATGTGTTCATAGTTAAACTACCTGCAGAGCTTATTATGTAAAGTAAACTTTGCTTGGTGGTAAATAAATAAAGAAGGTTTTAGATACTTTTAGTTATATTGGAGTCTCGAATTAATATTTCATATTTATTTCTATGAAAAATGTGCTGAAAATAGAGTTGCACAAAATAAAATATATTTGTTATAATCAAAATACATTTCAAAATTTGTTTAAAACAATCACCCTTTCTTTGACAATAATAATTGTAAAATAAAAAAATTTAGAATCAAAATATTATGCTGTTCTCTATATTTTTATGGAATCTATTTTAAATATATTTTTATACCAATTTTAGTTTAATTTCTACTAAAAAATTTCAAACTTTTATAAGATTTAAGAATGAAAAGTTAGAATATAAAAATATATCTAAAAAAAAACCAAAAATATGGTAAAAATGGATAAAAATATAAAAAACAAAGTAAAAATTTTAAAGAAAAAATTTAAGTTTTTGATACTAAAATAATATAAATTGAGCGGGAAGCTCTAAAGTCGCTTTTGCCCAACAATACGTATAAAGGCAAAAGGTATTAAAAGTAAAGAATTTACCGCCTCTATAAATAAGTATAGCTGGAAGGCCAACGTCACTATTAAATTTTTCGCTAACTGTCAAAGCTTTGATATAGATGAACTTCACAAGGGGAAAGTCGCGTGCAAGAAGGCTCAAACAAGTATTCATATGGCGACATAAAGGAATGCTCTTTTATAAATATGAAAAATAATATTAAAAAAATTAGTATGAATTTATTTTTAATATAGCTTAGCAATAAATTGGTTTAAACAAATTATTAACTAGTATTAATATATTTATTTAATAATTGTTGTTCATCAAAGATTGATCTCTAAAGTTAAAACTATATTGAAAGGACTATAAGCCTACAAATAGCTAAGCAGTAGAAAAGATTGTAAAATCTTACTAAGAAATTTGTTAAACAGAATTTTTTTAAAAAGCAAGAAATGAAGTTAAAAGTACATAAAATAATGAATTGCAGGTAGTAGAAATATTTTATTTTAATAGGTGTATTCCTAAAAAAACTTATTTACTTCTCAGATTATAATGAACATTTAACGAAATTATTGCTTTTCATATAACTAAAGCACCATTAAATTTTTTTTAGCAATAAAGCAAAGGCTGTATTTTCATAAGAAATTTCCAGCGACCTTCCAGATTCAAGACTATTTCCTTAATATTATTTCACTCTCTACAAACCTAAAAACTGTACCACTTAGTAGTCTGTAATATACAAGAACTCGTTTTCTTTGAGTTTCAATCATAATTAAACGTTTTCTCTTGGTTAATTATTTAATTCTATAGAAAATGTTTTCTTTTGTAACTGTTATTTATTAAATTCAATAAAATCTTTTCTATAATTTTTATTATTCATTTTATTTATTAAATTGCTTGTAAGAAGTTATAACTTGTCAAATAAATAATAGTTTTTATAAATATCTTAATTATAATTATATACTTAAAGAAAATAAAAACTTCAACAAATAATAAGAAAAACATTATTATTTATTTTATTATATAACAAGAAGGATCGATAAAATAATAATAACCGGCTCATATAAGTGAACGACTACATTTGTTTTACGATCTTCACCATCAATTTCTTCTAAGTAGCTGCTTATATTAATTTCGCGTAAAGTTCCAAATTTCCTACAACCAAATTAATATTATCACTTAATAAATTATTATTAACAAAACGTGTAATATAGTAAAATAATATAAAAACAACAATAGAAATCGTTTTGTAAAAAAGTTATTACTATATTTTTTATAACTACTTAGTACAGAGGGAGTGTATATCGACACGCTTTTTTTTATATTCAGTTAAAAGATCATAATTTACTTAAAGTTATAATGAAAAACTTGCTTTTTTTAAATTTAATAAAATTAAATTCTATATATCACGAAACAGAATTTGAATACACAAGATTATGCCGAAAAAATCGCTTCAAAGAAGTTGAAATTTTATTTGTAAAACAATGATTTTAAGTCAAATAATTACGAAATTTTAACTTTAGAAAATATAAGAACGCCTATTTTTTGTTATTTAGATAATAAATTTAAATAAATAAAGAAAACTTCTTATTTCTCTATGAAAATACTACTTGTCTTTGCGTATTTATTATTTTTGTTAAAAATAGCAAGCTTACTTAGATAAATTACTAAATCGAGATATTTTCATTTATAAGGGTAAAGAAGAACAGAACTTTATTGAAATCAAGTATTACACTGTATTTTAATTAAAAGTTTCGATTCTTAAAAAAAAAAAAAAAGAAAACGTACTTTTATATATTTTTTTTGTATAATAACCGATAGAATAATATTTAGTAGACCTTTAAGTTATAGTTGTCTTAATAAAAAAAATAAATATAAAAATGTTTATGTTAAAAGCGCAGAAATTGTGTAAAAACTTTATTTTAGATTAGATCTAAATAATTTTTTATTGATTAAAATTCTTCTAAATTTACCAATTTTTGATTTATAAAATCTATAAACCGTTAACTACTAAGTAAAAGTTATAAAATAATTCAAAGAAACTACGACTTATTAAATTTAGCGAATTGTTAAAAAGTAACTTTTTTACAGAACAACTTTTATATTAATATGGATAAATTACTTTAGAGAATCTATCTCCCTTGTAATTTCGCTGAGTTTTTTCAGTTTATATTCATTTAAAAACTGATCATCAAAAAATGGCTCTTCATATTCATCTTCTTTTTTCTAATAATATTATATATAATTAAGAGGCTATAACATACTTATAATTATATTATAAGTACTCACGAGAACGGAGAAGCGTTTGGCTTCCTCAATTAATTTTAATTTATTTTTAGCATTTTGTATTGTTTGTTTATGTAAAAATCTTCTGTAATCCTGAAGTACACCCTTTGGGCCAGAGCTTGCGCCTTTATTTGCATCTACTGCTGGAATTTCCTTGTCATATTTAATAGTAGAATTATTATAAGTTTCTCATTGTAAGTGTTGAATAAAAAAATCCAAGGCTTTAAGTAGTTATTTTAAACTTCGTAATAGGGCTCCAAATTTTTTTCTTCTTCACTTTCAATATTGGACTGATCCGAGTCGTTATTGCTGCTATCGCTGGTTTTTTCAAGTCCCAGAAGCAGTTTTTCTTCAAGAGTTTTGTGAGACATTGATTTAAAATAAATATTCCTACAGCAATAAAATATATTATACTGCCTTTGAATTAAAAATATACTAAGAAACACAAAAAATTAAAAATTTATAGTCTAATTTAGGTTTCTTTCCGTAAAGCAAAAAATATAAAAGTAAATTTTTAAATTCCTTTATAGTTCAAGTAAGGTACCTTTAGTGTTTCTAATTTTTCACCGATAATTTTCGAGTAGTGAATTAAATTTAACTGATAATATAAACAGGAGGATGCTTTAAAATTTATGCTTTTTTATAAAAAAAATTATTGCAAGTAACTAGATATTTAATTTATAAAAATTTAAAAAAAAATTTATTTTACTTTTATTTTTAATATCTTATAAGTTAGCGTGATATCTGCGTTAAAAAACTTTAAATTAACTAAAAATTATTGCACTTGAAAAGAAATACATGGATAATTTTAAGTTTTTTAAACCAAAATTTTTATAAATTTTTTTTGAGTAGCTGAGTAGAGTGCAACTTCGTACTTCCAGCTAGTTTTTCTGTTTCGTTTACTGTTTTCCTAATTAAAATTTATAGCCTTTTTTTCCTTACCACTAACAAAGTTTTACCACATTTTTAATAAACTGCATAATTTTAAATTTTTAAATGTATTAATAATAAAATATATTTATTAAATATATAGAAAAAAAATTAAAACCTTGTAAAGTTACACACAAATAAAAACTTGAGAATCTGAGGTATTAGATTATTTTTTAATATACACGTTTTATTTTATTATTTCTAGTTTAGTTTTCTTTGGGTAAAACAAAAGGTTTTATCTTGTTAATTTGTTTTAAAACAAAACCATTGCAACTTTACTTTATCGATTTACGATTATCTTAAAATTATACTAAGTCTTTTAGCGTATTAAAGTTTCAAGAAACTTTATAAACCTCGAAAAATGTTTTTACTATTGTTAAATTTTAAGTGCACTTCACCTTTTAACTATTATTTACAATACTTCCCATAAGATCTTACGAGCCATTCCATATAACACTTTTAAGGAAAACGATAAAGAAATTATTCTCAACTTAATTTCTTTTACAATTATTTTTTATACTTTTACTAAAAAATGTCTCCTTACAAATTTTACTTTATTTTACTACAGAAAAAACTTTTACCGCGACACTTTCAAGTGTACAATATAACCTATACTGCGTTGGGAATAATATAATATTTCTTTGCAAGAGAAATTCATTATAGTGAAGGCGACAGATTATTTACTTGAGACTTTAGTTAACTGCGCCAACTCCGCAAAGAAAATTTAATAGCATAAATAACAACTTAAAAATAACATCCTTTTTTTTAAAGGTTTCTTTTAAAAATAATTTCTTTAAAATAGTTTACAATAAAAAATGGTCCATCTAAAAAATTTTTTTAATCAATTTTTAATTTATTAATACAAATAAAACAAATTAGCGCCTTTTTTACAATTAATTATTATTCAAGATGTTTTTTCCAAGAATAAATAAGTTTGAAAAAACTAATTGGTTGTATTTATCTCTTTGCTTCTGATAAAAACTTTTTTTAAAAATAAAAAAATTAAAAATGCTACTATTTCGTCTATGTTAATTATGAGGTACTTATACATAAACATTTATCAAAAAAGTGCAAACACTAAAAACAAAAATTATCTTTATTATTGGAAACTAATAATTTTTATTATTTGTGCTCTTCTAAATTTTCAATTTTTTTAGTAAGTTCATTAGACTTTGCTCCAGTTAAACGGTCAAATAATTCTCCATCCAAAAATAACAAAAAGGCAGGGACGCCGGAGATTTCATACGCATCCGCTATAGAAGCGCACTCGTCCAGATCGACCTATCACGCGAGCACATTATTATGAGTATTATAAGAATCTTTACTACAAAAAGTTTATAAAGCAGTGATAATATTAATATTTATGATATAACAAAAAAATTGAAGATATAAAAGTTGCAGAATGAAATAATATTCAGTATTATAGTTGCCATTTTATTTTAAAAAAGCTTAACATTATATAAATATAAAAGATTGCAAGCAAAAACAGAAATTTTTAAGAATTTAACTCCTAGTAGTCTTTTATAATTTAATGTTATTAATGTTTACACTAAAATATTATACTTTGCAAAAAAGTAAATTTCGATGCTCCGCTGCTAACTTTTCAAACACGGGAGCTATCGCCTTACAAGGATTGCACCAGGTAGCTGAAACATCTACAACAACCTATTTATATAGTTACAGGTCTCACGGTTATAATTTAAATGCGCAGAGAAATAATACGTATTAACCAAAATTATTAAGTCTTACCTTTTTGTTTTCTTTCAAAAGAACTTTTAACTCTTCGAAACTTTTAACTTCTTTAACGTATCCTTTAGGTTCCATTTCAAAAGGTTTTTTTCTTTAAGAGATAAAAAAAAGATTTATATTATTTATTACAAGAGCTCTGATATAATAGGCAGCTAGAAATAGAATTCAAATTTTTAAAATAAAGTTTTTGACCACAACCTTATAGTTCATTAACTAAATGAAAAATAAAAATAACAAAATATATATGTACCAAAGAATAATTTTTTAAATTGAATAAAAATTGTTAAAAAATAAATGTTAAGGCATTGCGGGTACCTATCAAAAATTTCAAATTCGAAGCGCTATAAGCAAAGGAGGGAATACTGGAAAAAAAGTTATCCAGTCCGGATGAGCGGAATAATATATATAAAAGTGCAGCAGTTGCCTGAAAACAGGTGGTATAGATGAGGTTTCCTAAACATTCTTTTTGTAAAACGAAAAAATACCTTTATTTTACCATCGTAAACGGTTTTAAAAAGTTAAAATTAGATTAAAAAATATTTTGAAATCATTTTTATGATAAACGAAAATTTTTTTTACTTAAAAAAAAAAATTAAGCTAGGCAATTCTTTTTTGTATTACCTAAGTTGACTATAAAAACTTTTTAAGTGGGTATATCCTGCAAAGGGGTTTTTTAATGATGAAAATAAGAATTTTTATAAATTCATATTACAAAAGTTTATAGATAATTTCAGAGGAAAGTAATAGTTTATGAGTAGATTGAACTTGCCAAATGTATGCCCTGCACGTGAATTTACTAAGAGTCGGCCGAAAAGTAAAACTAATTTAAAACGTTTCAGCTGATGAATACCGTCTAAACTTTTGTTAGTTTTTTAGATCTATTTTTAAATTATCTATTCCAATAAACATTTTATCTAATAATTAGCTCGAGATTATTGGTCAGTATAGATAAGTAACTTATTTTTATTATGAGGTTTTTTGTGGCGTAAAACTAACTCTATGGTTAGTTCGCGATATATAAATTTGTTTTTCCATTACTGCTTCAGAATAAAAATTGTAATAAACTAGGTTTATCGATAGTTTTTAATTCTAATTCTAATTTTTCTTTGAATAAATGTCGACTAGGTCGCTGTAAGTATTAACATTTTATTAAGAATATATAGCATTAACAAAACACAATTACCTACAGAGGTCTATATATGACTATAATACAGAGACATCAATAACCAACTCTTTTAAAATCATAATCAAACATTTTGCTGAATAAAATTTAACCGACTCTGATATTAAATTCAAGGTACTTACCGGCTATAACATGTTTAAACATGGAGCCAGAGTAAACATTTAATTAATACAACCTAAGTCAACTTAATATATATAAATAAAAATTATTTTGGTATTTTGAAAAGGCATATATTTAGCCTGTGTTATAACGCGGTGTTCATCTCTACGATATAAAAAAAGGGGGATAATTGAAGCGCAGATGTTATATCATTCCCTGAAGCGGTTTAGTAAAACACTTTGTAGTTATTATTACCTCCTCACCAAAATGGAAGCATTATATTGACTATTTTGTAATGATAAATTAAAAATTAAATTTTGTCTTTTATCTTTTTAAACTCCTTTCATATGAAATATACATTAGGCCTGTTCTACTGCACGGTTTTGCATGTTAACAGGCTCCGGATTCTTCAAAGCAACCTTCTCAGAATGATTACAAGCACAATTTGGTTAATGTGAAACTCTCAGTTACCTCGTTAATGTTAAATTTATCTCTTTAGTCACAAACGGCCATAAACCTACCTCTCTGCGTATAAAATATAAACGATTGTAACATTACTTGAGTATATTTTTAAAAATGCCAGTACTGCTACGGCTTCAAACTGGCTTTTATTATTGTATATATACGGGGAAAAAGGAAGAAAGGATAATAAACTTTTATAATTTAAGAGTTGTGTGGTTAAAAAAAAGCTCTATATTCTGAGACTACCCTTCTTAACCTTTCCTGTGAAACTAATGATAGTTTACATAGTTTATATTAGGGCAGAGGCAACGAATGTAGTATGTTGAATGATAAATTACTAAATAAAATTTTTTTAGTTTCTTGTTTTAAAGTAATAAAAATATCCAAATAACTATACTCTTGTCAGAGGTATCATTTTTTAGTCTTCTTATCAGCGTAGAACTTACGATGTTTAATTCCGGTTTTATTTGTTTTATTAGCAAAGCGTCACAATAATAAATAATAAATTTTATGTGAAAATTTCTATATTGTTTGAAAACCTTTGATTATCACTGATATTCCAATAATCCTAGATATATTTCCAAGAACTAAACGCTAGAATTTTATCTGCTTGGCACTCCTTGAACTTTTTTTGTGTGCCGTGAACAATTATATAATCTGTGTGCATATTTTTAGTGTACGCGGTAGCTCCTGAAAAACTTCTTTAAACATTGTCCTACACTTAAGTGATTTTGGTTTCGAATTAAGCCCGTTATAAAATAACGTAGCTTTTTCCTTTAAAGAAACTAATAATTTATCTTTAGCTGTAATCAATAACCTCGTGGCGGGCCAACTAACCTTTTCCTTGCTAATATTTTTTATGAGCCCGAGGTGTTATTATAGTGGACGCATGAAAAAGAGTGTTTGCGCCTCTATTAGTTTTTGTAACCCTTTTTTCTAGTTGCTTACTGAACTTCTAGATAGAGGGATACACTTGTGTCAGTTTCTTTCATTGGAAGCCCATTTTTATTTTCTCACATCACTTTTTTCTGGGCGCTCAATCTGATCGTTAAAGGCAACACCGAATTTACGAGCACTTAAAAGTGTGATAGCGTACACAATTAGCTCTAAGCTTTTATATGATTAATGAATTGTGCGGATGCTCGGTAATGTCGAGCGCAGACTGCTTAATCACAAACAATTTATATTATATTAGACTATATTTAGTTTCGGCGGTCATCTCACAATAAACTTTCTACAGATGTGTTAATGGTATTGGCCAAGTATCACTCCTTGTATACATTTAGAGTTTTTTTATCGTGGTCCATTAAATGTAGTTTCCTATGGTAAATTGGGTGATTAACCTTTATGAGATATAGACTTGTATATACACATGAATAACATTTTTTAAGTTTAATATGAAGAAAAGTAGTCCCGTGTAAAAAGGTAACTTCTAATTATTCAGACGGTAGGAATTTCAGTCTATAGAAAGTTTAATAAAATACGCTTCGGTTGGAGAAGGCGTTTAACGATAAGCCTTGCATTATTTATTAATATTTTCAACGTGAAGCCGGCACTTTTGTTGGTAGGAATATCATTAAATTGTATAATAAATAAACCGGTACTAAAAATATTTATATTACTGCGGTTGAACCCCGTGAATTCCATCTATCGTTAAAAGGTTTTGTTTTATTAAAAGTGAGATGTGTAACGTTTTAGAAATCCTTAAATTAGGTCTTTTCAAAACCAAATGAAAAAATGAGTGCTCGTCAGAGTAATTTCGCTTTCCTTTGACGAGTATGTATAGATTTTCAATGAAGTGCCTTTTAATTTTCTATAACAACCTGTTAAGGGTGCAATTGTTAATGGGTATTTCGTCCAGTGATATTGACGGCCTTTAGGTATATTGTTTAAGCATGCTAAAGTCTTTTTAAGTATTGGGACTTTAAGTTCGTAGTTCTGTAATTTGTTTAATTTATAACTATATAACAAGAAAGTAATATAAAATCAATTTTAAAACTAATTTTGATTGGTGATATTGAGTTTTTCATTGACTTTTAGAATTCGATTTTTTAAGTAAATGCAAAGAAGTTTTTACAATAACTTCAGCCCTCAAGCTTTATCCTATTATTTTTTTTTGCGTTTTCTCTCTAATCTTTTTTTTTGTATTCTTCTATTAGTATTATGTCTTTATTTTTTCATTTTGTTCTCAATTATTTCATAAAATTTATTATTACTATAACGCATTATAAAGTTTAAAAAGTTAATTTTCTAACGGTGCACCCTATTCTTAATTTGTACTCCAAACGTTGATTTTTTTTAGTTTCCATGATTTATTAGGGAAACCATGCTAAGTATGAGTAATTTACCCTGAAGGCATTATTTAATCTTTCTAAAATGATTTGATGTGAAACCTAGTCGCTAAAGAGCACTGTCTTTATTTTTGTGTACTTTACAAGAAGAACGCTTTATCGCAAGCTAGAATTTGTCACTGCTTCTGATAGAGAGCTCAAAGTACTCATAGTTACAATTTGATCGAACGATGAAAAAAGCCATTTTTTGATAACTTCCGTTTAAATTTTAAAATATTTTTTTAATTATTAACCAAAATATCAAGTTTGTGCTTGCACTTATAAATTCTATGTTTCTCTATTATTAATGGTTGCGAAGGTGTTTTAAGAGTATAATGAGAAACTTTGTCACTATAGAGGCTTTGAGTGATACGACGTTATTACCTTAAGCATCTAATTACCACCTACCCTTTGCGCTCGGTGGAAAGCTCCTCGATTGATAATACATTCTCTACGGCTAAGTGCGTCTTGTGTCTCTTTATATGTCCTTGGTTTTGATCCTTATATCTTCTAAATTTCTTTTGTGGTTTTGTTAGCTATTTTTTTCTCTTTTTCATACATTATTATGTTTATAAGGACTTGTACCTATTTGGTATGCTTTACACTTATTATTATTAACTTTTTTAACATTTGAGACTTTAAAGCCCCTTATTGTCCTCATAAACCTCTTACGGCCTTTTAAGTCGTATCATTGGGCAGTTCATCCTTAAAACCGATAGCAATTTACTCCGCTTAAGAATTTTGTATGACAAAGGATAATTATTATTTTGGATTCTGAAAAAGCAGTAGCCACCAAAAAGAGTCACTACTGCTAGTTGAGCTAATGATAAACCAGTTAAATGCAGTGATTTTCTGCCATTATGCGAACATTATATAGGATGTAAAATAGGAGGTAACATCAGTGTAAGTGATGCATTGGTTTTAGAAGGCGTAGAGAGACAAACATTTCCACTCTGACACGGGCAACAGAGTAGCTAATAGAGAAAAAAGCACATCTATGGGCCACACGGAAAAACCTTAACATGAATCAACGATTATAAGACGAATACTCTGAAGTTGGAAAGCTTACAGACATAAAAAATTGTGGGAATGGAAATTATTAAGGACATAAAGTGAGGGTGCGGAGGACGACAAGATTCTTAAGGGTTTTGCTTATCACTGCTAACTATACCTCAATTTAGCTTATAGTATGTATACAAAAAATGCAAACATAGATAAGGCGACAGAACACTATAAAGGCGAGTTTGTTCGAAAATTAGAGTCTAGTAGAACGAAAAAAAAAAAGAGTTAAATAGATTTTTTGTAGTTAAACAAGTCAATGAAGAGCAAAGTAGGCAGGGTGTATTGGTAGCATAATATGCTGAAAAATTTAGAGCAAAAAAAAAAAACTTATAGAAATATACACTGACGCGAGTTTTGCCTTGAATAAGATTGGAAAAAGGGACAGTTTTAATTATATCATAAATTAATTTCCCTACATTAAACTCTGTAATTTAGAATATCTTAAACCGCTTAATTTTGCCTCTTTAATCCTGGGTTTAAACAGCCCTAACGCTCTCTTACATAACGTGCGCTAGGTGTGAAGCAACTCTGACAGCCTCAAGAAAATAAAGATAAAATGGTAGCCGCTTCATTTACTTAATAGGTTTATAGATATATTAATAACATAGAAACTTGTTTATAAATAATCTTTGGTCTTTCCTGTCCTGCCTACCGGTTCGAACCATTTTTTAGAAACTAGTTATTGAAAGGCAACTAAATTTTGGTCCTCTAAAATAATTATAAATTTTTAAAATATTAGGATATAATAAATTCATACTCCCCCCCGGATCCTTATTTTAACTATGGGGACTTGAAACTACTTAATAGTATTAAAAGGCTTTCCTGTAAGAAATTAGGTAAATTCGTCAGCGACTATTAATTTAGTGGGACAAGACATTAAGGTATTAAAACCTTTCTGAAGAATATTTTTAGAATAATGAATGCGTAAGGCTACAGGGCTTGACAACCTTTCTCTATGTTGCCCAACAGCGACATATCAGCAGGTAGATTATCCAAGTATACCTATTAAAGTGATACTCAATTAAAACTTTAACTAACACTTTAAAACCGAGATTAGCATTCGCATATGCATTTGCAACTGCGCCAGTTCATATTGATGAGCTAAAATTAAGTCGGGCAGTCTTTTAAATATACAGAGCAGGTGGACTCAGGGTAATAGGCTCCATGCACTTGTAGGAACCTCTAAAACAAATCTTAGCTGTTTCCCATTCTTTCTAACCCTGAATGCCCAAGTTGTATACTTAAAAGTATAAATGTCAACAATATCCCAAATATTATTTACGGCTCAAGGATGGCAAGTTCTTCCTTCACAGCTGGCTCCATGTCTGATCTAAGAGCGCCTCTTTCGGGTTTTTAAAAATGGTAACTTCGTTTCATTTGGTGTGCTTTAAACAAATCATGAATAACTTCGCCGTCCTCAAATTTTATTTCATCACGGTTTCTTTTCACTTTAATAACGGTAGTATTAAAACAAATTATTTCACCAGCTATATCAAATCCTATTTGTACTCTTTGAATTCAAGCGAAACGTAGCTCTTATTACTTTTGACAGAAAGGTCTTTACTTGTATATATTAATATATTACTATTACTTCCGAAATTTTGAACAGGAGTATAAAACGTATCAGCATTACTTTCAGCTTCTGTTCTAGTGTTAGAATTGTTGTTCAATTGTTCCTATAGTTCTTGCGGATTTTGATCGGAGATCTTAGGTGGTAAATTTAAAAATTTCTTTTAAACATACGTAAAACTTCGAGAATTAAATAACTTCTCCAAGAGTCAACGCAATTATTTGCATACGGGCCGAATATAAATCTTTAGATGCGTTATTAGAAAGTTTGGCTGTCCTTATATCATGTTAAAAAAAGCGTGTCCCAAATTTCCAGTTACTTTAGTTTGGCTTAATGTTGTACGTAAATCCCCAAGCGTCCAAGATGGTTCATCAGAGTAGCATTCTAATCGTTTCGTGAGTTCCATTCCCACCAACGCGTCTTTTCGCTCTCCAACTCTTGCGAAATTAACCTCGCCTTCGTAACTTATAATAATACACCTTCAGGCTACAACCCCTCCTGAAGAGGATAAACACAAGCGGACTAAAAAAGTAAAGTAAACCACCTTATTAATTAATGTCAAAGGGTATAGAGGATTAAATTTCTTGACATAAGACAAGTTGAGTTTAACTGTGTCTTCTTAAGGTCACTCACACTCGTTGGCACTTCATTAATAACTGTGATTAATTTTATTAATATTATTTGAAATTAGGTATATATAGGCCTCATCAAGGTCACGACCAGCTTTCTTGATTTGGTCCTCAGTAGGGGTATGAACAACTGTCCCGCCCTCAGTAAATTATATTGTATTTTTTATATCCTTCATTGTTCACTAAGGTATGATTTATATCACGTTGTGGTAGACTTAACTTAAAAAAGTTCCTTCGAATAATCTTACTCACATTGATAATACTGGCTATTTACTCAACAACAAGGACTGCGATCGCAACCGACTTAGGCAGCTGTTAGCAATCTTGAGGACGAATTCCTCGACTATGCTCGAAACAGTGAAAGGTTTAGAATTTGTTTGCAATGACTTCTAAACTTCAAATGCTTAATTCCATCTGGTTGCTGCTTTGGAGCGCGGAGGGCGTCCAGAAGAAAAAACACCTTCTGCAGGAGTTAATGCAACGAAAGAATAGATATCAGTGTCTTCAGCAAAACAGCTCTTTCCTTAAGTGTCATTTAACATCTACAACTTAGCGACGTATCGTCAGGCTCGGTTGTACACTGGTGCTGGCGTAGGATTTTTATCAAACGAAACATCCAACATCCTTTAATAGCGTTAGCAGCAGCTCTGCAAGGAATCGAGGCAGTTGGTGCTACCCTCACCTGGCTAGACAGGGGTCCATGGCTGTGATTTTCGATATATAAACCGCACAGCCAACTAGTCACATTGTCCGATCTTGACGCTCTTACAGTGCGGAACTTTCCGGTCATTCTATGCGGGACTATTAACTGTAAACATCCTGTGTGGCACAGCCGGGTTGCAAATCGGAACGGCTACACCCTTGAGTCTTACCCTGAGGAACGCGGGTTGGGAGTTCTAGGACCACAGTTGCTGAGACACATGGCGAGGAAGACGGGCACAATGGGCATGAAATCGCCGTGTTAAAAAATATATGCCTTAAATGGCTATTGAGGCGCTGAATGAATTGTCATTGGATCATTTGCCTGGATCTGCTCGAATTGGGCGATGCAAAGGGAGCAGTAGAGACAGCCCCCCGCTCTTACACGAAGGTAAAACAAATATTTGGAATTGCTCGAAACTCTCACCAAACTAAACATTGCTTTTATCGAATTTGAGCGCGCGGTGACAGGAGCTCACAGCAAAGCAACGATGACCCGTGAAGTTGTGTACCGCCTTAAACGCCTTTCTGAGGGGCTAAAGGCATTAATATGCGAGCGATGGAGACTCACCAAAGAAGTCACGGCCTTTTAATGCGCAGCAGAGAAACTAGTTATAAACCGCCTCCACCGGCATATCAGGAAAAGCTGATGGCATATAAACTGCCTATGGAGTGACAAATTAAACGAAGTATTGGAAGCTGGTGACATAAGTCGCGCCTGGATTTGTCAAGGGAGTTAAAAATCGTGTCCATTCAACTCGAACGCCACTTCGCAACGGTGATACCGTAGCCGAAAGCGATCAGGACAAAGCGAAACTTTTTGCTGATCATCTAGCTGCCCAGTGTTCGCCGTCTACCCCCTCATCCTTTGACACCGCTCCCCTTGTGCCTAATTTTTAACTCGTCCGATACAAGTGATTTTCTGGAGGCCTTACCAAGGATGAGATCAGTCATTCCTCAAATTACTGTCGAAGCGAAAGGCGCCCTGCCCTTACGGCATCAAAAAGACCCAGAGGCTGATCAGAATCATCTATGCAGCCTCGTCAACTCGGTGTTGACCTTCGGCTAATTCCGGGCGAGGAAAAACGGCAGTAGTCGTGATGTTACCTAAGGCATCGCAACTGGCATCAGAGCCTCACAACCATCGATTTATCAGCCTTTCGTCAGCAGTGGATAGCTGAAGCATTGATACCTAATCGTTTGACGGCGGTTAAGGACGCTCGTGAAATTTTACCAGAGTTTCAGTTTAAATTTCGCATTGGGCACTCAATGACCCAAACAAATTCTTCGCCTTACTGCAGGGACGACCAGAACCTTTAATTTTAAAAAAGTCACCGGAGCGGTCTTTCTCGATGTTGAGAAGGTTTTTGACCGAGTATGGCACGGCGACCTAGTAAGCAACCCAAGTTCTTTGTCGATTCCGCGCGGACGAGAAGTTCTCAAGTTGTACCTAAACGGCAGGGTCTCCAACATGCGAGTAGGCACTGCGTTGACGCCGCCACGCTATCTTACCGCGGGGGCCCTGCAAGGCTCTCTTCTATCTCCGCTGCTATTCGAGCTCTAAACGAGCGACAATTCTCTTCCAGTTCACCACCACACGCGGATCTTCATAACACCGGATGATACGATGATTTTTCTTCGTTAAAGTTACCCGTTTTACTATGTCAGCGCTTACAATATTTATCTCGACGCGCCTGCCAGCTGATGTCGTCAATGGGGCCTCTCCATTAACACAGCAAAGCGCAAGGCGCTTTTTATAACGAAGAAACGCCATGCGCTGCCGACTTCTTTCATTTTTAACGGCATTAAAAATGCCGTGGTGTGCCCAGGGAAAACACCTGGAGGTCGTTATAGTAATCGTTGTCGTGGCGTCCATACGTAAATTACGTGGTGGCGAAGGTCAAGGTAGCGGCCCAGGTGCTATACTATCTGCAGCAAAAGTAAAGTTACGTTTAAGGTTTTATGCGCTGTGCATTCGGCCGATTATAACATATGCTTATTCTTTTTGAGCCTAGGACTTATCGGTAATAACGTCTTCTCTTCAAGTGCGACGAAACAAACTACCGCGCCGTGGTTTGTTGGCAAATGATGCACTGCACCAAGGACTACTGATTGAGTTGCTGACCACTCTATAAAAATGACGCCGTCGTTCCCTACAAACAGATAGCTGGACACCCTAATCCCCTATTAACGAAAGAACACACTTATGAGTTGTGGAACGGTGCCACAATACCGCCGTTTACGAGATGCACTCCTAGCATGAACGGTTGAAAGCTAAGTTGGGGGATTAAACTGAACGTCAAGGACAAATATTAAGATAATAATTTTACTTGAACTCGTGGACAACTAAAAACCTGTTTAAGAGCTCGTGTATTCGAAGTTGTTAACTCGACGAGCACCAGGAAACGCTTAAATAAATAAAGTTAAAATTAAAGTCAAAGAGAGAGCTCCTCTACTGGGTGAGGAGCTCATAATCGGGGAGACTTGGCTGGCAGTAATGGTAGCTGGTGTCTTCAGGTTGCCTCGGGTCTTGTGCCCAAGGCTGCCTCTCTCGCTGGTGGTTCTTAGCGGTTTTCCACCACAATAGGCCGAATGACTGGAGCCCGGGCCCGATATTTTCCGCTTTTTCAGTCCTTCGGGAGAGTAATTATAGCTTATAAAAAGCGTATACTGCTGTGCACTCGTGCTCCAACACCCGCAGAAGAGAGAAATTCAGATTAAGCAGTTTAAGGTCTTAGTAAGAAGCCCGGCCGTAGTATACCAGCGCTAAAAAGCAAATCAGAGACTGCCTTTAAAAGAATACATTGCCAACTGGCTCCACCAGTTTCAGTAAAACGCCTACCTGATTCTGTTAATTAATTTTAATCCTTGAAAGCACACTATACTATTTTTATTTAGCCATAACCCGCTTTGAAAAAATCGATGGAACTCTTTTAAACTATTATAGTTGTTATTAGTCCTCAATTTAGTTATACGATAAAAAAAGCTATTTCCGTTCATGACCCAATTTATAATCCCTTCTTGCTGGTTTGGTGTGTTGACTTGTCTTAAATACTGTGAGTATCCGATCAACACCGCAACAGACTTTCTTAATAAAGTAAGACTGCACTATTTTTTTATTTAAAAATTTTTTTGTAAGTTTTGCTGATTAAAGCTAACACCGTTACCAGATTGGCAGTTATTACTAAAATTTTTAAGCAAAAAAAGCGTTTTTATTAATTCCAAGGGGTTGCTGGTTAGGTAGTTCCACCTTTTTTTATTATTCTTTCTTTTTAAGTAATTTATTGTTATTTAAGTGTAAGTTTTTTCAACTCCATCCCAGAATGGTTTTGCGAAAACATAATTGAATTCCTTCTTTGCCATCACATTGATTTACCTTTACCTCTTTCTTTGGAGTTCGTTCACGACGCTCTTTCTAATAGTAATTTTTTGCTTCTTTTCTTTTATATATTTTATCTTTTTCTCTTATAAAAATTAATTGCGTTTTAGTTAAATATACTCTCTCAAGTCTCTCTCGTTTAAGTTTTTTACTCCATGAACTTTACGTTTGTCCTTATTGCGCGGATTGTATATATGGGGGTCTCTCTTAACTTTTTATCAAAATAATTTAGGCGAATTAATTCTGTTTGCTTTCTTTTTATATGTAAGTAATGGAAAATTCATCCATTTATAAATATTTTTTTAGAAGAGGTGAAGATAGAAGATGATCCTTTTGCTAATACGATCTCAGCTTTTTTACGTTCGTTGAATTTAATTCAGGATTTTTCATTTTTAAAGTATAAAGAAAATATCGGCGCTTGTCATGTTGGTTGTCTTCTATAGAACGAATCTTTTTTTACTTTTTTATTTCATTGTAAATTTTTTTAATTAAGATTCTAAAAGTGAGGAGATCATTGTTACTGAAGCTGGAACAACAGAAACAGACCAAAGCCAACTTATAAAATTGGAAAAATTTCAAGAGCTCTTTTGTAACAAAGGTACATTTGAAGATCCGAATTTTTCTGTTGAAGAAAAGATCAGCCGATTAGGTCATTATTTTCCTTAAATG